ACCTTACCTCAGTTTATGACAATTGGTAATCTGAGGTCGGCCATCCTGGATATGATGATAAACTACATCTGCATCCTGGGTAAGATGATAAACTACATTCAACAGCAAGGCCTCTAATCACAAGGTTTTGAAGGGTGTGGAACCACCTCATAATTGCTTGTGTTCCCAGGTCCACCCTGACCTGGGGTGGTAATACTTGTTAGGGTCCCAGCTATGGGTAATTAGTTAACCCCCCAAACTGAGGTCAAAACACTATGAAAGTGTAAAAATGGGTTTTAATACCAGAAATACTTTGTAAAAAATTATTACCAGTAATAAATTTTTGAAAAAAAAAATATTACCAGCTACACATTTTAAGAAAAAAATATTACCAGCAATAAAAATCTTGTCAGCATTAAATAACCCATTGAGGTTGATATGCCATAAAACAAATCAAACCAAACCTGAGGTAGGTCAGAGAACATGATGGCCTATATGTACTTGACAGGATCACAGTGCCTTTGTCTGCAATTACTTCTGTTGGGTTTTCATTACAGACTAAGAATTTAATAGCTCTCCACATCTTCCTGTCCCTTGTAGCTCTAAGCAAAGTTTGAGTCTTTACCATGCCTTTTTGTCCCCGTTCTGTCATCTATTCACCCAAATTCATTAGTTAGATTACTTGCTGTTTCACTCTGACTCTCCAGCCTTCAATATGTCCTGTGAGTATTAAATTCTCTAAGCTGTTTTTCTTCATTATGTTTTCCAGAAATTTCAACTGTTTCCTTATTTTAAGTATGTGTCATTTAAGTTACCATTTTCCTTGGTCACATGTTCAGATTATGATATTGTTAGCATCGATCTGTAGAATCATATCTCTGTTGCTTTAAGCCTCCACTTCATCCATTAGGAAATTGTCAAGATGGCAGAAAGGAATCAAAGGAACACTTTTAAAACAAACTTTAAGAAAAGAAAAACCTTTATTGATTCTGTCACTGTGATACAACTGCTTGTTTAAAATCTATTTCACTCTCCACTTCCTGAAAGGTCCTGTTTTAGATCAATTTCCCTCTCCCCTTTCTGAAAAGTCTTGTCTAAAATCTATATGCCTTTCCAATTGCTAAAAAAGTCTTCTTTAAAATCTATCACACTCTCTACTTCCTGAAAAGTCCTGTTTAAAATCTGTCTCATTTCCCACTTCCTGAAAAGTACCATTTTAAATCTGTCTTACTCTCCAATTGCTTCTCTTACTGAAAAATCCTGTTTAAAATTTATATCCCTTTCCAATTGCTAAAAAGTCTTCTTTAAAATTTATCTCATTCTCCTCTTCCTGAAAAGTTGTGTTTAAAATCTATCTCACTCTCCACTTCCTAAAAAGTCTTGTTTTAAACCTCTCTCTCTCTTGCTCTCTCCACTTCATGAAAAGTCCTGTTTCCAATTGCTGAAAAGTCTTGTTTACCATCTATCTCATCTTCCAATTGCTATATTCTTCAAACATGTTCCTTATCTGTTTTAAATCAGTTAATGTGCATGTTTTTAGATATTGCAACCCTTTTGTTACTGGATTTCTTCTTCCTTTATCCAATTCAGTTTTTCGGAACTCCACCCAAAAGAGAAGGTCAAACATCAACCTCTTTGCCCAACTTCAAATTTCAAAATTCTTTGTTGGTATCTTTAAGGCTTTTGATATAGTTTTTGCTTTTTATTGCAGCTTTTTTCACTTACTGAAAAAAGAAAGATGCTTATCTTTCTATTAGCCTACATTTTCCATGTGTCAGTTGTCATTTTGAGTGATCTAGAGATATTAAAAGCACATTGCTATTAAAACTTATCTATTTGATAGTTGGACAAAATAAATATTGAATGCCTCAGTGATTTTGGTGCATCACATATCTACACTTTTATTTTAAGTGAGCTTTGCTTTTTCTGTAACAGATTTTGATCATGACCATAATACGTCTGTTTGGAAAGGATCCAGCTAGGTGATAAACAAAACAAAAAGGCCTACCCAGGGCAATGGTGCACTTATCCTTCTCAAAGTAGTTTTTTGACAACTTACCCACTTATCCTAGCATTTCTTTTCACTTTACAAAATAGTTTGCAAAGTTCTCTTTATGGATCACTATCATCCGTTTCCTTGCATTCTGATTGAAGGCTCACCTTGATCATAGACATGTGGTTGTTGATTCCAGTGTGGGAACCCTCTGCCTTAACCATTGATTACAGTCTCATAATCCCTCTGCTGTGGCATCAGCACCTTGGAGCCCTTTGATACATCTTATTTTTAATCCTGCTGTCTGTCTAGCTACCCTCCTCACCAGAAAAGACTGGTGACAGAACTGTTTTAATCACAGATAACCTAAATATATTGTCCTTGTCTGGCTTACTATGAAGTCCTTTGTGGTCGAATGGTAAAGCTCACTGGATTGAAGTGGTTTGCCCTACAAAGGGAAACACAGATTCAATCCCTGTGGGAGGAGACCTTTTCTTTACTAAGATTTCTTGAATGTGCAGGTCCATAGTTGTAATACACACTGCTTGATAAATAAAAATGGGTCATCTATTTCAAATAAGTGTCTGCTATAATAATGTTTGTAGTAATATATCCAGCTATATTTTTGTTTATATGTAAATGGCTACCCTGTTACTTAACCCATAACTGGTGGAAGATAAATTTTTAGAGTCTATCTTATATATTTATAAGTATCTGTCTATATTTCTGAGATGAGGTATTATGTACACTATTTACATTATTCAGACTATTGCCCTCATTTTTGTTGCCATATTTATTACAACATTTCAGCTGTTGTAGGCTAGGTTGGAATGTCGAACTGAACCCTTTATTTCGCTCACTGGGGTAGACTGTTCTAGTTCCACATGCCATGTTTAATGGATGTCAGTTATCTCCTGTTAATTTCCCTCTCCAAGTTCTCCACTGCCTTAACTGGGTATTGAACTCAAACTCTTTGGGTCCTGTCACTGGATCTAACCGATGCCTTTATCCACTGTGCCATGTGTCTTCAAGGAAGTCTCTTCTGGTTTCTTGCTTTCCAGTCAAAATGTTCAAAAATTTAAATGCAATGTCAATTGTTATATTCTGTCCTCTTAATTCCAGTTCTTTTGTTGTTCTCTCTCTTTAATAATGTTTCCTTTTAATATTTTCTCACAATCAGCAATCTCTTGCATCTTAGTGGCTTTATTGCCTTGCTTGGGGTGTAATGATTAAAAAAGAAAAAAAGTCTTTTTGAAGTGCATTAATGCAGATATATATATATATATATATCCAGAGAAACACATACACACAGATAAGATATAGATAACCAAATTGTAGGGCAGTGGATCTTAACCTTCTTGGCCATGTGCCAGGTTTAATGTGAATATTATGCCAAGAGATGAAATTATTGAAAAAAAATTGCAGCTGTGATATTTGCCATACCTGAAACTCATGTTAGATGCAGCTTTTGTGTGTAATAATCTTTCATGTGTGTTTCAAGTTATAAATGTTGCCACGAAAGGAAACACTTTATTCATGAATACAAATTGCAATTTATTCCTCAGTAGAACACATTTTCAAAAAAACATTTAAACCAACATTCAGACCACCTGGTAAATTGTTACTTATCTAAGCACAGAGTGCAACACAAAGCAAGAATAACAAGAACTGTGAGCGAGATGATTGTGCCATTTCTGATAAATATCTATCATGGTCTGTTCATATCTATAATTCTCTATTTCTGTTTCTATCTACCTACCAGAGTCTGTTTCTATCTACCTACCAGAGTCTGTTTCTATCTACCTACCAGAGTCTGTTTCTATCTACCTACCAGAGTCTGTTTCTATCTACCTACCAGAGTCTGTTTCTATCTACCTACCAGAGTCTGTTTCTATCTACCTACCAGAGTCTGTTTCTATCTACCTACCAGAGTCTGTTTCTATCTACCTACCAGAGTCTGTTTCTATCTACCTACCAGAGTCTGTTTCTATCTACCTACCAGAGTCTGTTTCTATCTACCTACCAGAGTCTGTTTCTATCTACCTACCAGAGTCTGTTTCTATCTACCTACCAGAGTCTGTTTCTATCTACCTACCAGAGTCTGTTTTATCTACCTACCAGAGTCTGTTTCTATCTACCTACCAGAGTCTGTTTCTATCTACCTACCAGAGTCTGTTTCTATCTACCTACCAGAGTCTGTTTCTATCTACCTACCAGAGTCTGTTTCTATCTACCTACCAGAGTCTGTTTCTATCTACCTATCTCTCACAGTATGTTCTCTATGGTGATCTGTTTGTATCTATCTAAGTGTGTGATATGAACATAAGAGGAGTTAGAATGAAGCAAAGACTGTGAGGATAAGAAGGATAGATCATGATTGCCTTTGACTTTTTTTTAGATTCTAATGTTCACAGAAGCATTCATGGTGGATTTTTCCCACAATGTAGCAGTTCTCTGGAAAAATTAAAAATGAACATTTCAAATTTGAAAATCCCCTACACAAGTGGCAAGAGTTATAGAACTACCATCCAAATAACAAACTTTACAAAATTAAATTCTTTGTAGGAGAATGGTATCATGGTCTCAGACTTTCTTGAAAGAAAGAAAATCTTTATAGCATGTTCAAAAAAATTAAAACTAGGATTATTTGAAATAAGAATATTTTGTTAATTTAAAAAATAAGAATATGAAGAACAATGAAAAATAACTTTAAAATCTAATTTGGTACAATATGATTTTTTTAAACCTAAATACATTCTTTTAATGTTTTGATACTTTCTTGAAAAAAACAAAAAAAAACAAGGTCATTTGACATTGATGTAGAAATTACAATATAAGCTGTGTTTTGTGTTGGACATTTTCTGTATAAAATAGTTGTTAGAAATGATGGTATATTTTATAGTAAATATACAGATAAGGATTTGTGCTTATTTGTTGGTAGCAACATGTTCTAAGGGAGAATTGATCTGGGAGTTGTTTGAGAATGCATTTGCAGTTAAAACTGATTTTCCCACCTTTTCTTTTTCAGCTTATATCAGTCAATTAATGGAACAATTGGATGTGTTCATCAGCATCAAATCAAAACCCAAACAACCAAGCAAAGTAAGAAAAGATTCCTTTTTTAGTTCTGATCTTATTTGATTTATTGTAGGTTGTCCTGAATGTACTGTATATATTTATATATATATATATATATATATATATATATATATATATATATATATACACACACACACACACACTTAAACCCACCTAATCGCATGACACTTAAGCTAGCTCGTGCATAGGGCTCTTGATTAGGCCTTGGACTTGTTCATGAGTTTGAGAGTCCCTAAGTCTTGGCATATTTTCATCATTGGAAGCTCTCCTGGCTGCTGTTTGATCTGGCTTCACCTTTGTACATGACTCTCTTTTCCTTGCTGCAGCCTTTACTCTTTAGATTGCAATCTGGTCCTCTGTTGGCACAGATTTCGTTTGGCGAAGCATATTGCTGCTGCATGTGATAGGCAACAATAAACTACAGAAGAACTCAAATTTGATCGCTGTATTTAAGTATTGCATTAATTTTTAAATTTACCTTTTAGAAGTTCAATGATAATTATTCTATCACCACTTAATTTAAAGATAGTTTGATGTGCAGAAGGCCTTACTTTTTGTAAAACAATTTTTATTTCATGGGTGACTTTCACCGGATTTCCCAATTAATTTCGATTATTCACAAATTTATTTCCAAGTTATAAAAATTGATATTGTCCAAAAATTTATTGCAAAAAATCATGTAACAAAAAAAAAAATCACTGTAAACAATCACAGTAATGAAAAGTTGTGAAGCCAAAGAATGAAACTATGAGCTATTGAAAGTTAGAGAGTTGTGTCCCTTTAATTGAAAAAGCGTGACACTGACATTCGCATTTATTATATACATGTAATTTTTTTTTTTTAGGGGTTGCAACGGAAATATATAAATTACAAACAAATCATATACAAGATACAACACAATAAGCAAAGACAAAAAAACAATAAAATTCTTTAGTATACATTTCAGAGAAATGATGGTATATTTTATAGTAAATATACAGAGATAAGAATTTGTGCTTATCTGTTGGTAGCAACATGTTCTAAGAGAGAACTGACTGGGACATCTGACTCCATTGAAAATGAAGAGAAAGAAAATTTGATTTTTGTTTCACTTGACAGCAAAACACCTGTTCCGGTGCATCATGGGAATATTCTATATTTATTTGACAATTTTTTTGTAATCTAACTTTTTTTCTTTCTTTCTTTATAGTCAATTATCATTCTTATCTGTATTTTATTTTATTATTTTGTTTTCATATTCTTACATAGTCTTGTACTAAGGGTTAGAGATTATTTAGAGATTTATTTGTTGCTATCATTACAAATTTATACAATTCTCTTTTATTTCTGTTTCTTTTTTTATCTAACTTATAAGATGGCCACTATTTATGGTAAGTACAAGTTTGTTAAATTCTGTGAAAAAGGCTTGAGAGAAAAAAAAATCTAGCAATTTGAAATTTGAATCATACTCTTGCTTTTGGCCTTTATCAGATTATTCTGCAAAAAATGTTGACAAACCAAACTGATGAATTATTTAGAATAAAACTGAGGGCAGTTGATCAATGCCTTAGGGCCATTGGTTGGTTGTGATATTAAAATATATAAAATTTTCAAACTACTAATCAAGCTACCAAAGTGGAAATGGTATCCAGTTGTGGAGAAGTAGGTCAGGGTCTGATCAACTCTGATTGGTTCAACTATGGAAGGGGGTCTGATGTTGAAAGACTGCCCTCCCACCACCTGATGATCCCAGTAATAAAACATCATTGAAAATACACCCACTGTATCAGAAATATATATTTTGCATGCATACATGCACACACACACAAATATATATGAGGACATTGGGGTCAGCACCCAGTGGCAACAGTCTGTTTCACGCTTAAATGCATAATGTGAAGATTGTGTTTAAGCATGAAACAGATTGTCACTCTGGGTATTGACTTCAATGTCCACTTCTATATTTACGTACACAGTGTCTCTGATATCCATAAAAATAGCCTACCTTAAAACTATATTTTTATCGTTTTATATTATATATATATATATATATATATATATATATATAAGTGTTATGATTTTTATTTTTTGTAAAATAATTGCTTCCCAGTATCATAATTCAGTGAACTTTTGTTAAAAAATAAAGAAGGGATTAATTCAGTTTATTTTTTCTTTTAAATGTCACCCCCAAGCCCATCACCACCCACCCACCTAACATGAAGTTTAAAATCTTATAAGTATAGTAGTACTATGACTTTCTGGAGCCTTCTAGAACTTGTTTTTGTTTATTTGTAAGTTTTTATGCTATACTATAGCTATAAACTGTTAAATGTGTAAAAAAAAAAAAAAAAAAATAAATACATTAATACTATTGATTTACATTAAATTTTAAATTAAAAAAATAATGCTTCTGAAATATTTTAATTTTTTTACCCTTATTGTGTATATGGTAAAATCACATTTTCAGTTTGGGTTCGGGTGAAGTTTTTCAAAAACTAAAGCAAATTAATGCCTTTTTCATTACTTTTTGAACAAAAGTTAATCAATTTATGATGTAGAGGAAATAGGGCTACAAAAGCCATAACACTAATATATATATATATATATATATAATGGTCAGTTTTTTTGTTTTTTTTTAACTAAAATGTATTAATTACATTTACTGGCTGGAAATTTCTTGAACATTAAGGCTGGTGATGTCACAAAAACCTTTCCAGTTTATCATATTTTTCTAAATACTGTTTATTGATATATAAAATTATATATTGTTATATTTATATATATATATATATATATATATATATATATATATATATATATATATATATATATATATAACATTTTGATTTAGTTACACATTGACAGTACTGTTTCACACTTAACAATTTTTCAAAATAAGTGTTTGTTTAAAATCCTCTCAAGATTGTTCTTTTAAAGATTTTCAAAAGGAATGCATAACTAAATCAAAAATGTAATTTTTGTGTACTAAAAAGCTCTTTTAAAAGTGTTTAAAATAGAACACAGTTATATATGTAAGAAAAGGGATATAGTTTTCTTGAACGGTTTTATTATGTATTCAATAACAATAATGAAATTAACACATTACTGCATGATGTTTTGTTAAAATTTTATCCCTTTTTTTTCTAAATCTATCTTGCTGTCTAATAGTAAAATCTTATGGCTGGTGGATTTTAATTTTACATAACCCCCTTTCTAAAACATTGGATACCATGCACAAAAGGGCTAAATAGCTTTATTTGAAATTTTCCATACACATACACACATATTCAACAGACACTCAACAAAATTACATTTTAAACTAGTCACAACATATTACATTGCATCTAAACAGATGGTTCTGTTGATAAAATTTCTTTCTCTCACATGGTCATGTACAACGTCATAGAACCACATTACAAATTTATGACCTTCATCTGCTATTCCACGACCATTATCGTTGTGTAGCAGACTTTTATGTAAACATAACAAGATGCCATCTTTGATGATGAACATCTCTGTTGTATGATCCATATAACCACTCTGGTGATGAGTCATGTGAACCGAAAACTTAGATCAAGGAACAGTATAATAAAAAAATTATCCAGATGTTGGACATTTTTTGTCTGTATTTTCTGCCAAAACTAAAGCCACTATTTGAAGCTTAGAATGCCTCATGTTCAAACATAATAGGCATTTGTTTTCTGTTATATTTAACAATATATATATATATATATATATATATATATATATGGCCTGAAGATGGAGTTTAAGAATGGAACAAACTGTCACCACAGGATGCTAACCTCAATGTCCACTTTTATATTTCCATATGCTCTATCCCTGATAATGAACACTTTAACCCATAAATATAGCATATCTTAAAACTATATTTTTATCATGCACACACACACACACACACACATATATATATATAAAAACAAAGAAAAACTATACTTAGCTGATACCGTTCATCATTTGTTGGGCTTTACCAAGGCAAATGTAATGATTTTATTTTGCAACAAATATGTATAAACAAAAACAAAATTTTGTTAGCTAAATATTCATCATATATGTATAATTAATACAATATAAAATTTGTCACTCAGCTGATTGATGTTATATTCAGTACCTCTATTCCAGATTTTCATGCACAAATCTTTTTGTAATTGTTCAGTCCATTGATCAGGAGATATCAACAAATGTCTGTCAATTTTCTTGTTTTCATTATTTTTATATTAAGTTTTGAAAAAATGCACTTTTTTATTTGCTATGTTTTCTTTATGTGCATGGATGTATGCATACACATGTATGTGTACTCCTGTACACATACATATGTACACATAGACATAAGTCAATATAAACATACATCCTCCTTTATACTTACATTATATATCTAAAGTTGTAAATGTATGTGTATGTATAAGAAATATGCTTAGACAAGATTTATAAAATTTAATTACTTTGACAATTTTTTTTTCTTGCCAGTCGGTCATTGTGAAAAGTGTGGAGCGGAATGCTACCAATATGTATGCTGCTCGTATTCAGCTGCTTGGCCTTGACAAAGAATTAAGTCAAGTGTCTCCCAGCAGTCCAGGAACAAATGGCAGTATATCTGCTACCACAACATCTACCAACATGCTTGGATTGTCTTCTCTTGGTATGTTTTCATATTAATATTCATATTATTATTATTATGATTGTATATAAGCTCTTTACGCTTATTTACCTAGGATCAGAGTGTAGTATCTGTTTGATGCCTGGTCATTCTGAATTGAAATCATTTATGCTTTCTGCTTGAGAATTTATACTATTATTCTGCCTGTTTGTCTCTATAACCATTCTGCTTTTTTTGATCTTAGATCAGAGTGTAGTAACTGCTTAATATCTAGCTCTTCTGAAGTACAGGGTGTTTCAAAAAGAATACGCCAAAATCATCACGTGATATGTCAAAAACAAAAAAAATTACAAATCTCTAGCATGAACACGTGTTATATATACATTCAAGTTTCATTTCGTGTTTTATAAGTGCTCAATGTGGCTACCACCGGCAGCGCGGACAACATCAAGCTGATATGAGAATTCCTCCCTCAGCATGTCACGGTCCACCGTGTTGATTGCAGCTGTTATTTGATTTTTCCAGTCATCGATACTTGCTGGAAGTGCTGGAACATAAACTTGGTCTTTAACATACCCCCACAAGAAAAAGTCACACACAGTGAGGTCCGGGGATCTGGCAGGCCAAGCACAGAGAGCAAGATCTTTAGCACCTCTCCTCCTAATCCATCGCTGAGGCACGTTTTCATTCAGATAAGCTCTAACCCCGAGATGCCAATGGGGTAGTGCTCCATCTTGCTGAAAAATGAAGTCATTCGAATCTGCTTGCAGTAAAGTGAATAGCCATTTTTGGAGCATTTCGAGATAGGTTTGACCTGTTTGTAGCTGCACCGGAAGTTATACTAATGACAGCAGTGAAACTGACATCCAATCAAACTTTGATAACTACTCTATCAAATAACCATTGATTCAGTCCACTACAATGCTATAGACCTGAAAAAACAGTGTAATGATTTTGGCGTATTCTTTTTGAAACACCCTGTATAATGAGCTATGTTTTCTGAATGAGGAACCAAAATAATACTAAGTAGGAAGAATTGGAAACAGTGAGGGAGGTGGAAAGGAGAATATGGGGGAGTAAAGTAAGGAGGTAGGGAAGAGAGAAAGAAGTGTAAAGGAAACCAGGTGAAAAGAAAACATATTTAAATAAAGAAAAAAGGAAAGTGATATGATTGAAAGGAATACAAAAAAGAGGTTTGATAAGTGAATATCAAGATGAGCATTGACAGGCAAGTTCAGTTGGAAAGGCATAAAAATTATAATACATTAAAATTCTTCATAAAGAGATAGCAAAAGAAAGATCTAAGTGAGGATGCAGAAGAAGATATTTATGTACTTATTCCTTTTCTGTGTATGAAAATATATATAAAATGGATCACCAACAAAAATTTGCTTGGGATAAGGGAGATAATGAGAAGATACAGGCAAAAAGTGAGAGAAGGTAAGTGGCATGAAATAATGGATAATCTTTTTGTATTGGAAGGGATAAGGGAGAGAATGAGAAGATACAGGCAAAAAGTTAGAGAAATGCAGAGGCATGAGATTCTCTCTCTTTCAAGTCTGATTTCTACTGAGGTGTATGAAGCCACAGCTGTCAACAACTCTAGGTGTTACTGTTGTGATTGCTTTAACAGGTAAGTTTTTTAAGCTTCTCGTCCCATGACCAACAAGTTTGGTACCCAGTTTTCACTTACAGTACCTGGTATCCCCCCCATCTCAGTTGTGACCAATCTCATCATTGCTTAACTTCAATGATCAAACAAGAACTGGTGTTTCTGTGTGTTTCGACTGTAAGCATGATATAATGAAAGATCTTCAACAACACCGGGGAAATTTTCACAAGTCCATCTTGTATTTCATGATTCAACATCCAAAATGTCACTCAGCGACAATTATCCTCCTGTTGAAAAGTCTAAATGGAGAATAGGAATCCTTTATTAAGCCTGGGATGATCACAACAAATAAGCTGATAAGTCTTCTATTACTTAAGGATTTGGATGATCATTGCTCTCTTCAACTTCCTGTCCTTAATAGCGAGACGAGACCCCCCCCCAACTAGACGCTCCCAGACGAGACATCCCCCCGACTAGACGCTCCCAGACGAGACATCCCCCCCGACTAGACGCTCCCAGACGAGACATCCCCTCCCCCCGACTAGACGCTCCCTGACGAGAAATCCCCCGACTAGACAATCCCAGACAAGATGTTTCCAGATGAGACACCCACAGACTAGATACTCCCAGAAATCTCCAGATGAGACACTCCTAGAGGAAACACTCCCAGACAAGACATCCCTAGACACTGGAATTGGAATGAGAACAACCTATTCATGTAGATTAAAGAAAAGGTTAAGTTAGAAATTCTTTGTAGGTTACCTGGATTGACATCCACCTGATAAAGGGCACAATGACCGAAATGTTGTGATAACAAAAACAATGATGAGGACAATAGTCTGAATATAAAGAGTGTAAATAATGATAACTCATCATCCCAGAAATTCAGACAGAAATTACAGCAACTTTGTTTAAATATTTATAAAGTTTTCTGGCATCACTATTTATTATCAGGTTTTCATTTAAACAAAAAACATTGTTGAAGAAAATAAACTACATCTTTGATTGCATTTGAAAATCAATTTTAAAACTTTTCAAAATATTACACCAACAGCAGAAATACTTAATATTTAATTTTAATATCTTTTTAATCTCTATTTTGTTTAATAAAGTTTTTTTTTCTAATTTGTTGAAACTCTTTTCTAATTTATTTTTTAATGATATCCTTGTCATTTTTCAGGTATTTTGAATCCAAATATTCTTACTGTCAACACAACCAACCCTTTGATGGTTAATGGTCATCATAATCTACCATCAATGGTTAGCCCTGCCAACAGTCCCAATCATGCTTGCCCTTCTAGTCAATGGGTACCACCTCCTCCAGGTAGGTTTTTCTATCATTACTCCTGTTAAACTTTATACAGTGTGAATTGTCTCTTTGTATAAAAATTTACAGTTGGTTTAAATACTTGATTTTATTATTTTAATTTATTTATTCTTACTAAATTTCACCCAATGCAAAGCTCGAGAGCCACCCATGGTAGAGGCTTACTGAATGAGGGGTGTGATATAAATGTAAGAGGTGAAAATTATGAGGATAAGGAGGATAAATAACAATGGAATGATTTGATGCTTTGTGGTAGTTGCTGGGCCAGTGAGGTTCATTATTACACATTCATATGTGCTGACAAAAAAAAAAAGCATCTGCTTAGGATACTTAAATTTGTGCTGTTGGGGGGAAAAAAATTAGAGTGGGCAATTTTTTTTTTTTTATTTAATTAAAACAATTTTTATCTGAGTTGTTTTTAAATATACTTTCCTCTACGGTACCTAGATTTTATGAGTTTAAGCAGAGTACTAGATTGGCAGCAAAGTCTCATCATTGTAGAGTTGAAATTACTAGATGTTACCGTAAGTTCTATGCTAACAATTTCTTCTCTCATTCTTCTCACTGGTAGAACTTGTTGCTTCCCAGTCAACTTTGATCTTCAAAAATTTAAATGCAATATTAATCATTATCTTCTGTCTTAATTCCAGTTCTCTTATTGTTCTTTCATCGTGGGTAAGACTATAAACTACGTCCACATCCTGTGTATGATGATAAACTACATCCGACAGCAAGGCCTCTGATTGGGAGGTTTTGAGGAGTGTGGAACAACCTCTTAATTGCTGGTGTTCCCAGGTCCACCCTGACCCAGTTAGGGTCCCAACTAGGGGCAAATAGTTAACCCCCAAACTGGGGTTAAAACACTATGAAAGTTTAAAAATAGGTTTTAATACCAGCAATATATTTTTGAAGAAAAAAATTATTGCCAGCAATAGATTTTTGAAAAAAAATATTACCAACAATAAAAATCTTGTCAGCGTTGAGGTTGATATATCGTAAAACAAACCAAACATATTGTTCTTTCTCTTTAATAATGTTTTCTTTTTGTCATATTCTTTCACACTCAGTAACCCCCTTTGCATCTTAGTGGCTTTATTGCCTTGTGGTGAAATGATTAAAAAATAACAACAAAGATGAATATATTAGTTTGAATATAAATAATATAAATAAAGATTACTCCTTATCCCAGAAATTCAGAGAAAATTGTTGCTGATTTTTTTTTTTTTTTTTTTTTTTTTTTTTCAGGTGTGTATGCACATCCTGTGATGATGATGAACCCAACAACACCCACTTCCCTCACCTCAGCTTTGGACATTTTCTCCCAGTGCAATGGACTGCAGAAAGGATTCAATCAAAATAACCGAGCACCCTTCACCAGTATCCCGGCCACAACACCAAACACAGAACAAGGTGGGTTTTCTTGATCATGTCCACATACAAACTACCCACACTGGGTTTGATATTTTGCCTTGCAGTTTCAGATTACCTTGAAGTACATATCAGTCTTTCCCCTTACCATGTCTGGAACATCATTTAGGATGTAGCTAACTGGAGATATCTGGAAAACTCTTTGTTTTATAAGCCAGTTTTGAAGTTTTAGAATTTATAATGTAGACAAAATAACAAGGAAATCATTGTACTTCTTGAAATTTTGATGTGAATGTTAACATAAATACTGCTGATGAATATTGAATTAATAGGCATGAAAAAATTATTTACTAGAAATAAAATGTAGAGAAAATAAATATTCAGTCATAGAATGTAATCATGTATCTATTTTAAATAATTTAAAGAATTATTGGCCTGTCAACAGGACTTAGAATGCAATAAGTATATCCCCTACAGACCATTATCACCAAGGGTGACTATCTTCTGGGTGGATATTTGAAGACTTGGGTATATACTGGATCTATGTGTACCTTTTTTGACTTGAGTATAAACTAGAGCTATAGCTACCTTTCTGACTCTAGCGTAAACTGGGCATATGTCCACCTTTCTCAGTATAGGGTAAAACAGACATATATCCACCTTTCTGACCCTAGTGTAAAGCGGGCACATGTCCACCTTTCTGACCCTAGCGTAAAGCGGGCACATGTCCACCTTTCTGGCCCTAGCGTAAAGCGGGCACATGTCCACCTTTCTGGCCCTAGCGTAAAGCGGGCACATGTCCACCTTTCTGGCCCTAGCGTAAAGCGGGCACATGTCCACCTTTCTGGCCCTAGCGTAAAGCGGGCACATGTCCACCTTTCTGGCCCTAGCGTAAAGCGGGCACATGTCCACCTTTCTGACCCTAGCGTAAAGCGGGCACATGTTCACCTTTCTGACCCTAGCATAAAGCGGGCACATGTCCACCTTTCTGACCCTAGCGTAAAGGTTTAGTTTCATCTATTTTTATGTAGTTTAGTTTAACAAATAAAAAATTCATTTCTAATAAAGATTAAGAAAAAACACATGACAAAAGAAACAAAAATGATAACAGAAAACTCATGTAAGTATTTACAATAGTGAAAATACTTTATCTTGAAAACAAATACCCATATGTCTGCCTTTTTTACCCTAGCATAAAGCGGATGTATGTCCACCTTTTTGACTCTAGTATAAACTACACCTGTCATTTATATTTGACACCAAATATCCCAATAAAGTTGATATTAAATTCCCCAACTACCAAATACAGAATGTGGATAAAGCATAAATGTGTATTTATCATTTTTTTAATAATATAAAGAATAGAAATGTAATCAGTTTTTACCCAAGATTTTCTCTATATTATGTTTGATCAACACAATTACTATTTTCATCTGAATTAAGTTAAGCAATGATGAGCTGGGATAGTACCTAGATGGGTGACCGCTTGGGAATACCAGGTTCTGTAAGTTTGGATGTGTGGATAGTGTAATGTTTCAAAATCGTTAATCAGATAGCTGAGTTCCAATTCCCATTGAGTTTGTTACATTCATTTATGTGCAAATAACCTTGAGAAAGGCATGAATCCACCCCTTCATTTATGGCTTAATTAGTAAGACTTGTATTACTAAACAATTATTGTCTCCAAAAAAATAAATTCTTACAATCTAAAAATATTTTCTGGCTTTAAATAACCTGAAAAGGGTTGATAAGTCGTATAAAATGAATGAATCAATCAATCAATCTGAATTAAGTACGTTAACGAAGGAAGAATTTATACTAAAAAAAAAATGGATATCTGTTGGATAAAATTAAATAAAAAGTTTAAGCAAAGCAATGGTGAAACAAGTACCACAAAAAGAAAGAAGGGAAAAAAGAAGTATTGCTCAGAGTGTTAAAAGACAGGAAACTGTGGAGACCCTATTTTTGCACAAGTCATCAATAAACATGATTTTATCTTTCTGCTATCGTCAGCAAATGGTTCGGTGGATATTGAAAAATTTTAATTCAGTTTCAGAAATTGCTCTCACTGAAAATTTTTGAGCAGAGAAGACAAGGTTCATGGGAGATAACTCTGGTCAAATATATTTACAACTATTAGGGTGGAAAGAAAGTTCAGTCGCATGTTTAACATGATCACTTTGAGGAACATTTTCAATATTTACATTAAAATAACAATTAATTTTTTTCATTCTGATGTTTTTTCTTTCTTTACATATTACATATCAGTAGCAATATTAAAAGAAAAAAATCTAAAGGAAAAATCATAGTTGTATTTGTCCTTTCTATTCAGTTTCCTTCGTCAACTATGATCTTCAAAAATTTTAATGCAGCGTCACTCATCATCTTCTGTCTCCTTGAATTCTGTCCTTTTTATTGTCCTTTCTCCTTGGTAATATTTTTTTCAGTTTTCTTCACTCTTTCATCTTCACTCTTTCATCCTCAGTAACCCCCTTGCATCTTAGTGGCTTTATTGCCTTTCTTGGGATGAAACGATTAAAGCAAATGTGAAAAACCTGATGAAACACTTCTTTTTGTGCAAACAAAGTTTGTAGTTATTTCTTTGATTTATCGAAACAAATTCTTTTTTTTTTCTTTTTGTAGGTTTACGAAACCCAAGGGAAAATTCTTCACCAAATGCAATACAGAGTCATTGTGATATTCCAGGCAAGTTAAGAAATGTTTATTAACTTAGCAGTAGATTTTTCTGTGTAAATTTCCATGTGTATAGGGAGGGTAACATTAGTGAGAAGTGAATACCACAGCCTCAGTCAGAATTTGAAATTGGTTTGTGAGCTCTACTTCCAGGCTGATAAACCATTTTTTGACTCCTGCATTGTTCAATATGAGTTTAAAAAGAAATCCATTGCCAAAGGATTTGTACAATACCCACTAGTTAACATGGCAGTCATCAGTATAAAAGGATTTATTCACTAGAGAACAATGGTCTAGTGAGTAAAAGCATGGTTTGTTAATTTGGTGACATAATGGTTGTGAGTTCAATCCCCACTTGTACTCAGTGGAAACGGGCAAGCAATAACTGAACAGTACTAAATAACCTAAAAACTAGACAATATCATTAGGCATGAACAGTGGAGCAAAAATGAATTTTCTGTCTGATTTTCTTGGATGAGGAGTTATCATCATTTACACAATTTGTATTTGGACTATTGTCTTCATCTTTGCTGTTATCACAATATTTCAACCTTTGTGCTCTCTGCCTTCCTTGATCGATATGCACCTGATGAAGGCCGGTGGGCACAACATCTGAAACATTATGATAAAAACAACAATAGTCCGTAAATAAATAGTGTGAATAATGATAACTCCTCATCATAGAAATTCAGACAAGACTTATTCTCCCTTTCTCTTTTTGTCCCAGGATGGAGCAATGACAACACAGAACTTTTTTTTTCCAGGGACACTGCCTGATTTCCCCAAAGCATGTTGTGCACTCACACACACACTACAGCTAAGCACATAAATGTGTGTGTGTGCTTTTGTGTGTGTGTGTGTTTTTTTTTGTTATCTGTGTAAATTTAAATATACTTTTTCTTTTCATCTTCTTTGGTGAGCTATGTCCTTCATACAAATCTATCTCTGATATTGAGCACTTTAAACCATAAATATAGCATACCTTAGAAATATATTTTATCATATAGCACAATTTTAAAATGATGTTCACCGTGTACAAGGCCCAAGAACCACTCGAGGTAAAGAGTTACATTGTAAGAGGTACCACCCCAAGGAAAGTGATAATGCCATCATGACACAAGGGGCCACTGGAAAGAGAAGTAAAAGATTTTACAAGGAAAAACAGGAAACAAAGGATAAACCTCTACTCCTGTTCCAAAGATTGGGGAGGAGTGTAAACCGGACGATTAGCAAACCTATCTACTCCTATTTAATATATATCATTTTTTTAAATAAGTAACTTGTTTATAAACATTTACCCTACCAACTCTGCAATTAATTTATTTTGACATGTTTCCATCCAGGATATTCTTATTAAAACCTTTATTTATTGATATTCTTAGAGTTCCAGCTTGATCAATTCCATAACATCTCTTCTGAAATATTCTCTCAGTCTTTGTGATAATTTTGTATTACAATTTTGACGCTATTCACACTATTTACATTGTTGGCTTCTGTTGTCCTCATCTTTGTTGCCATATTCACAACATTTCAGCTGTTGTACACTTCTTCAGGTGATTGGAATTTCAAACTGAACCCATTATTTTGTCCATCGTTGTAGATTATTCTAGTTCCAGATGCCATAGTATCAGTTATCTCCCTTTAACTCAACTTTTTAAGTTTTTGTTCACCTCAGCCAGACTTTGGGTCAAGTCACTGAATTAAACCAACACTTTTATCCACTGAGCCATGTGTCTGAAGAATGTAAATAGTGTGAATAATTACAATACCTCATCTCGGAAATATAGACAGATAATCTTAACGTGTATGCACATTCTTTTCAGCATAGTTTTCTTTCACAATCTTATATTTTAGCATTTCTTTCGAGCCCCCTACTATTTCAATCCCCCCCCTTTTTATTTGGAATATGAGGGTAAGTCAGTTTTCAGCTATTGAGGATTGTTTTAGGTTTTGCTGCAGTTGCTTTGATGCATTTCTCATGTTTTTGACGCATTTACATTTGATGCATTTTTTACGCATTTCTTTTTTTTTTTTTTTTTTTTCTCTTTCAGTCGATTTTCAATATTCCAGTAAATTCAACGACATATTCAACAACGATCTAACCTTGGGTTTACTTGACCTTGGGAAACCCTGTACTTCGGTTTCTAAACTTCAGTCAAATGTTCTGGATGGGGATTTGGCGTCTTCTCTTCAGTAAGTTTTATTTATTTACTTCTTAAACTGAATTCTTCAAATTCTCTATTCTGTTCAAATTTGCAAATAAAACCTGAATGAATCTTAGGGTATTTGTTTTCGAGATAAAGTATTTTCACTATTGTAAATACTTACATGAGTTTCCTGTTATCATTTTTGTTTCTTTTGTCATGTGTTTTTTCTTAATCTTTATTAGAAATGAATTCTTTATTTGTTAAACTAAACTACATAAAAATAGATGACATTAAACCTTTTTTGTATCTGCCTATATTTCTGAGATGAGGTATTATGTACACTATTTACATTATTCGGACTATTGTCCTCATCTTTGTTGCCATATTTATTACAACCTTTTAGGCCTTTCAGTATCTGTCTATATTTCTGAGATGAGGTACTATGTACATTATTTACATTATTCGGACTATTGTCTTTGTCGCCATATTTATTACATTTCAGACATTGTATGCTTCAGCCTTCTTCAGGTGGTTGGAATGTCGAACTGAATCCTTTATTTTGCTCACTGGGGTAGACTGTTCTAGTTCCACGTGCCATGGCACAGAGGATAAAGGCGTTGGTTAGATCCAGTGACGGGACGGGACCCAAAGACTGTGAGTTCAATACCCAGTTAAGGCAAGTGAAGAACTTGAGAGGGGAATTAACAGCAGATAACTGATATCAATTAAACATGGCATGTGGAGCTAGAACAGTCTACCCCAGTGAGCAAAATAAAAGGTTCAGTTTGCCATTGCAACCACCTGAAGAAGGCCGGAGTGTACAACAGCCGAAATGTTGTAATAAATATGACAACAAAGATGAGGACAATAGTTTGAATAATGTAAATAGTGTAAAACTTTTTTATACTAATGTTCACCAAATACAAGGCCCAAGAGCTACTCAAGGTAGAGGCTTACTGAATGAAGTGTTTGATATGAACATGTAGTTGGTTTCATCATGCTTGAACTAAAATTCCAGTTTTGGAATTGATGTCACAGATTACTTCCACAACGAAGAAAACAAATCGCAAGTTCAAACTTGAATTTTGGGGGCAGAAAGAAATGTTAAAATCTCGATTCACCTGTACTATGTCACAAATCACAATGCACGTAACCAGTCAGGAAAAATAGCACACTCGCTGACAAATGCGGTAGCCAAATACATAAATTTCTATCTCAATTCGGGAATACCAACTGCTTTTATCAACAGAACATTTTTTTCATTCATTGACAGTTGGAAGAGGACACACAATATTAGTATCTCTGAAATACTTTGATGGCAACTTCTGCAACTGACTTATTTCTATTTTGGATATTCTGTTTTTGGTATATCATGCAAAATACATGCCCTTTTTTCTCATGAAGTAACTTGCTTTTTCACTACATTTTCTAGTGTAGAATAGATGCAACATGCTGTTGCTTGCTTTGACACAGTAATTTGATGTTTTCTTCGCTACATAACATAAGAGGAGGAAGTAAGACGTGAATATTACAAGGATATGGAGGACAGATAACAACTGACTCTAGATTTGAAAAGGTTAAGATTGTAGTGTTTGGAGAAGCACCTATGTGGGAGTCTGTTCCGTAAAGTATCAATTCTTGGGGAGAAGCTTTTTGAATGGAACTTCCTTCTTACCAGTGAAATTTAGAGGGAATGAGGATGATTCAACTCTGTGGATGTTTATATAAATCATGTATGGACTGTGAATTTTAAATATTTCCATCTGTAATTCTCAGCTCAAGCACAACAAAAAACAATTCGTTTTTGAAAAGAATGATCACAGGTGATGAAAACAGGATTATTTACAACAATGTGAAATGAAAAATGTCTTGGGTAAAATGAGCAACTCTTAACCACTAAAAAAATAAACCAAAAAAAACTGGTTTGCATCCAAAGAAGGTAATGTTGTGGATCTGGTAGCCTTGGAAAGGTCATTGTGTATTACGGAGCTTTCGGACAAGTACTATTTCCAATTGGACTGGTTAAATGTAGCACTCGTTAGAAAGAATCTGGAATTAGCCAATTGGTAGTGTGTCATCTTGTATTAGGACAACATCAGATGTCATATCTCTTTGCAGATCTGGCAGAAATTGATACAGCTTAGCTGAGATTGATTGATTGATTTTGTTTTTTATGACTTATCAACCCTTTACAGGCTATTTAAAGCCAGAAAATATTTTTAGATTGCGAGAATTGTAGTGGGGGAAATAATAATGGTTTAGTCTTACTTATTAACCCATAACTGGGGAGAAGAGATGGATTCATAACTTTCTCAAGGGTATTTGTGCGTAAGTCAATATAACGAACATGAAGTTGGAACTCAGCTCTCTGATTTCCAATTCTGAGCCATTATCCATTGCACCACCTGCACATCCAAGTTTACAGTACCTGGTGTTCCTAAGTGATCACCCATGTAACTGACCAGGCTTGATGTTGCTTAACTTCAGTGAACCAGTGTCTCGATGTGATGTAGCCTTAAGCTTGCTTGGGATGTCCCACTAGACCTGCTATACTCACCTGACTTTGCACCTCTGGATTACTGCTTATTTTGATCTTGATAAAATTTTCTTAATGGGAAGAACTTCAATTTTCTGGATGCTTGTAGAAACTACTTAAATCAGTTTATCATCCCGAAAGATGTCAAATTCTGAGAGTATGGAATTCTGAAGTTGCCTCAAAGATGGCGAAAGGTAGTTGAACAAAACAGCACATACAATACAGTTCAAAAATATTAAAGTAAACCCCAAAATTAACATGCAATGAACTTGACAGAAGAGTGAAAAGAAAAATGAAAAGAGGTCTTAGAGACATTAAAAAAAAAGAATGGAATCAATTATCAAACTTATATTTTGAGAAACTTTGGCAATGAATGTCAAACATTTGTGCTGCAGTAATCAAGGCTAAAGGAGGATATTTTGACAAGAGCAAAATTTAATCATAAAATGCTTTTTTGTTTTGTCATAAAATTTCTAATAAAAAAAAAAAAAAACATGTCTCGCTTTTTTTAACCATGTATAATAATTTTCTCTCATTTAAATGACAAAACAACTACTTTTTGGGGCTAATTAAAAAATTTACCATGGGTGGCCTCACACTTTTGAATTTTAATGTATGTAATTGAATAAATGTATTTACAAATGTCTAAATATTATCTTTGCTGTATTTTTTTAAATGAATCTCTAACTTTTTTGGGGGCATGATACTTATAATCAGAGAGAGCCAGTTGGAATTTCTGGCATACTTAATAAAGAAAGAGGGTTTGGGAAATCTAACAGGGTTAAATATAAGCAAGAGAATCAGTAAGAAACTGAGTGTCCAACTTAATGAGTTCTGGGAGGAATGAATCAAAGATGCCAATTGTTGATTGATTTGTTTTTGTTTTATCAACAACTTTGTTGGTTATTTAAAACCAAAACATATTTCAGAGATAACAATGATTTTTTCCAGATACAAGTTTTACTATTTAACCCTTAGCTGGAGGAGAAGAGATGGATTCATATTTTCCCAAGGGTATTTGCACATAAATGTATGCAATGAACTTGACTGGGAATTGAACTTGTTTCTCTGATTTCTCATTCTGAGCTGCTATGCATTAACCACCTGCGCATCTACTAAAGATGCTGAAATGTAGTGAAAAAAAAATGACCATACAAATATCTAAATATTGTCTTTGAAATTCATTTAAAAAAACACTACAAACTTTTCTTCGGAGGCAATACTTATAATCAGAGAGAGTCTGTTGAAATTTCTGGCATGCGATAAAGGAAGAGGGCTCAGAAAATCTAACACTCACAGGGCATATTGAAAGCAAGAGAATCAGCAAGAAACAGTGAGTAACTTAACTGGTTAGTGTGAACAGATGGTAGATCCATGACAAAGAGGGATAGTAATGATTCAGAAGTTAGAGCAACAAAAGCAGGATGTTGTGGATAACTGTGATCACCCATGTCCTGATTGGAAATGGCATATGAAAGAAGATATATGAATGATTTTTCCAGATAGAAGTTCTAGTATTTAACCCATAGCTGGAGGGAGAAGAAATGGATTCATACCTTTCCAAAAGAGTAATAGTGTGTGTAAATGAATGCAACAAACTTGACTGGAATTTGAACTTGGCTCTCCAATTTCTCATTCTGAGCCACTATCCCCATTACACCATCTCCACATTCACCAAAAATGGTGATAGGTAGTGGAATAAAATGGCATATGTGGTTGAAAAAAAAATCTGTGTACAAATATTTAAATATTATTTCTTGTAATTCACTTAAAAATGCTGCAAACTTTTGTTTTCAAAGCAACAAAAAATATCTGAAAGTAAAGTGGTTCAAACAAATGTAATTGCAAAAGTATTTCAGCTAAAAGGCGAAAAAAAATATGCAATATAGTCAGTTTTTAAGAATACAGCTTGGAAAAGTTAAAAGAAAAAACAAAACTAATAGTGTGATATGACACTGGACTGCTTTCAAGTTTTTCATCACCAGACTCCCATGTGTGTCTGCTTTAACCTTCTTTTCTTGTTCCTCTGGGCTTTACTAGAGATGAGGCCACATTAAATACTTAATCAGCAGGGTTAGGTTTGTTGCTGACAACACATTATGTCAAACAAGTAATCCTAGAAGAAGAAAAGAGTTATGACAAAATTATTTTGGATTGTGGATAGGAGGTTCCATATAATTTATTTTGGGACTAAAAATATTTTGTCCCTGGATGATTGTCACTTGGGTAAGAAATAAAACACTTTTTTTAGGATAGATATTCTCTTTCTAACATTCCACCCTATGAGCAGGTATCTGTTGTTTTCTTTCAAACACTAAGATTTTTGTCTTTTTTTTTTTTGTTAATACAGTGTGAAAACCATGACTATTATTTAATTTCCCCTTTCCCCTACTACTGGAATTAGTGTGTCACATTATGGCATGTATCTGGAAATGATTCAGTCATTTATTATTAAGTAGTAGAAGTACATGGCATGGCTCAGGAACTAATTTTGTCTAAATCAAAAGACAGGCACTTCATTTTATTTAAATTGATTATTAAAATTATTAATTGTTACCAAAAGTTGATTTATGTGGGAATAACTATTTGACTTTCATGAGAAATAAGGTCAAAGAAGCCATTTGTTTGTCCACTATAGATTCGAAAGCTACTGGATAGGTTTGACCTTAGGGGTTGAAATCCGTCCAGTAGTTTGTGAGTCTGTAGTGGACAGACAGACAGACACTTTATTTTATTTGTATGGCTGAAAAAGTAACCTACCTAGGGTAGTGTGTCCTTAGTCCTCTTCAAAGTATTCCCCTTGGTGTGTCATAGTTTTCTGTTAGCCCTTCTACTTTTCAAGAGAGACTGCAAAGACTTCTTTTGAGAGTGCTATCAGCTGCCTTGTCTACTCTGTGAAATTTCCTTTTCAATGACAATGATAGGGAGCTAAATCTGGATTCTGGTGAATGATTGACTGGGTGATGGGTTGTTGGGACCCACACACAAATATATATAAGCATTTGAGATATTCGAAATGACTGAAAAGGTTCTAGTTATTCAGCAAAGTCTCTAGAATCTTCTAATTCTCTCCCTGGCCATGATTAATTTCTTTTGATTGCAACCCATACATGATCAACATTTTCAGGCATTATCCATTCTCTTTAGTTCTAAAATTCTTTTCATTCTTTACACTATTTACATTTGGACTATTGTCCTCGTCTTTGTTGCTATCACATTTCACTTATTGTGCTCTCTAACTTTCATCAGGTGTATATCAATCAAGGTAACCTACAGGGAATTTCAAACACTTTATTTAATCTACAGGTTAGACTGTTCTAGTTCCACTGCCCATGTCTAGGTTCAATATATACCTGATCAAGGCTACAAGGCACAAAGGTCAAAATATTGTGATAACAACAACAAAGATGAAGACAATAGTCCAAATATAGTGTAAATAAGCAGTAATAAAAGTTAAAGTATGTTAAATTGTTAATGTATTTCTTAATACTATTTTCATTATTCAGACTATTGTCCTCATCTTTGTCACCATATTTATTACAACAATGTTGTTTTTTGTAATAAATATGGCAACAAAGATGAGGACAATAGTCCGAATAATGTAAATAGTGTACATAATACCTCATCTCAGAAATATAGACAGGTATTTGTTAATGTATTTTTTATTTTTTGTTTCTTATTTTGTGTTTCAATTTTTTTTGTTTTCAACATCAAAATATTACTCATCCATTCTTTTATTAGTATAAAAAAAATAAAATCTATACACACAATACAAAGAAAGTTATAACAATTTTAAAAAAGTAGGTGTTCATGTTTTTGCACCCTCAAAATAAAGATGTAGTGGCAGGACAAACAATTCTAGATAGAATTTAGCATGTTAGAGGTTAATTGTATGTTTGTTCATATTTGTGACATGGGTGGGTGCATTGTTGTGTTGAATAATCACACTCTATTGCAGGTCAGGACTTTTCAGCTGAATTGCATCTTTTAGACGGTTCGCTTGATCAACATACAGCTTAGTATTGAACAGTTGGTTCTTTTGATACATTTCATAGTAAATTAGTCCTTGCCAATCCCACCAAACATAGATCATTTACTTGCATGGATGCAGTTCTGGCTTGGTTTGGGGTTGTTATGTCTTCATTGCATTGAATGAAGATAACACAATCAAGAAGTAGTATGTCGCTTGGAGTCTATGTAGTCTTGCTGCAATAGACAGTAAGCTGATAAGCTAGATCTCTCTTTATTTGTTTACTCCTTCTGCTGACGATTCTCAGCATCTCAGGGGTGTTCATCTCCACAACAGGGTTGTTGCCTCTTAGTCGGGACTTGCCCATTCTTTTTCTCTGCTTCATATTCATGTAAAGACACCACTTTTGACTCCTGGTGATAGAATATGGTAAAGGAATCTTTCTTTGCATCCACAAGTAACCTGTTGTTGAGTGAGTAAACTAACAGCTATTGAGAGGTGCTGGAGTTTGTTCCTCTTGGTCAATGCATGTGGCACCCATGTCTCATGTTTCTGGACCTTACCCATTGAGTGAAGATGATAAACAACAGTAAAATAAGAGCTTACCACCTTCTGAGCCAATTCCCTAGTAGTCTAGCACAGTTCGTTAATCAGCACATGTAATTGGTTCTCATCAATCTGAACAGGTTGGCCAGAACACAGAGAGTCTGTGAATTCAATCTTCCCCTTCCTTGAAACAGGAAAACCATTTCTGTGTCATTCTGTCGGTAATGAAGTCATCTCTGTACATAGCACAAATGTCTTAAGCAGTTTTAGCAGCTTTGTGACCTTGATTAAAAGCAAAGAGAAGAAATTGTCAAACATGCTCATTTTTGTCTATTTGGCATTCCATCTCGGAGGTGTGTCTAATCTGAAATAAAATTTCAATAATGTCAGACAACAGTTTCACAAGATGACCAGAGTTACTAAGAAGCAAAAAATTCTATGAAAGATTATTCTTCAAGATCATTCGTAGAACATAAAAAAAAAAAACAAATATATTAAGGTTTGTCTGAAAAGTAACGACACTGGTGTCACAAACAGTTTATTTCAATTCCAAACAATGGCATGGTTTCCTTGTCGAAGTAAACCACCTCAAGTCTAATGCACTTTTCCATCTTTCTCTGCCACATTTCTATGCACTGCTGGAAGGATTCTTCTTGGCTGCCTCTCAGCTCTGTTGTTATAGCCTCCCTGATGGCCTCCACGCCTTCAAAATGGGTCCCCTTGAGCTTGCAGAGAAGAAAAAAAGTCACATGGAGCAAAATCAGGTGAATTTTTTTTTTTTTTTTGTAAGCATTTCACCCCAAGCAAAGGCAGGATGCCACTAGTACACAAGGGGTTACAGAGTGGGAGCAAGAGTAAAGAGGCGTGGTGGAGGAAAGGATGAAGAGAAGGACAGGGAATAGGTCAGGGCATCAGGAGATGTCGATTGACATTACATTTGAACAGTTGGAGATCATAGCTATCAAGGAAACAAGTAATAGGAAGGAAATTCCACAGATGGGAGGTGCGAGACATGAAACTATTACAGTAGAAGAGATGACCACATTTAACAGTTTCAACAGTGAAAGGGTGGGGTCATGAAGCCAGCCTAGTAGCATGCTTAAATTCATGGAGTCTGCGAACTAGTGAAAGTAGCTTGTCGGAGCAGTTACCATGAAAGTATTTGTAGAAAAGACAGAGGGAGGCAACAGCATGTCTGTGAGAGAGCGACTGTAGACGAGATGCCAGATCAGGACCAACCACATATTGGGAGGTTGGTTCAGTACAGTGATGATCTTCTCGGTCAGGAACTGCCAAATGCTCGGGGTGTTGTGAGCGGGTGCATTGTCATGGTGAAGCAGCCGCAATTTGTCTTGCCACAATTCTCGTATGTGAAAAAAGAAATGCAAAGGTTGCAGAAAACTCAGATTACCGTTATATACTCTCAAGATATCATGTTAAATGATAACACAATCTGCTTATGCCTCTTTCACTCAGAGCTCCCACAACACACCCAGACCTGTTACTTTTCAGACAGGATTCATATGTAATAACCTATTATGTTTCTGTTCTATTCACAGTTGGTCTAAACGGCTGTTTCTTGTAACCGGTGATTGGTTCAGAAAAAAACCTTCTCTAGTGAAAATTTACACATTTTTTTCTATTTGTGACATTTTGCAGCAGTGAGCGTTCCACCGAATCTGGGAATGATTCTGAAGGATCAAATAAACGTGCACCTGGCAGTGAGAGAAAAAAAGGTGCTGGTAATAGCAACAACAGTAGTAACAACAACAATTTCTTCCCCAACAACAATCTTCAGCAATCAACTGACGTGGACTATGAGCGGAGGAAACTGCTTGCTACCAAAGGTAAGTTCTGAAACGGTTTTACTGGTCCCACATTATAGGATACTCTCCCCTGCCCTGAAGAAAAAAAAAAAAAAAAAACAAATTCTGATCATTTTTATTATTAAAATTGTTTACCATACTGTCAAATTTTATTTTGAAAAAGAATGTGTTGATGATAAAATTGATCTTAACCAATTGATGTCAGCAAAATTTTCACAATATGACTAATATATTGATCTTGAACAAAAAATAAGAATCAACATCTCCTATAAAGTTTTCCAAGAAACAGAACTGAAGATAAACCTTTCAAAAACAGAAACTATGATCTGGAATTGGAATGAAAGCAGTGATAGCACCTATCATAAAAATTCAGGATGTGGAATTAGTAAACACTAAACATTTCAAATACTTCTGATCAGCTATAACAAATTTAGTTTAGGAGAAATTGAACATGGAATTTGTATTTTTGCCCAACACCACTAATTGCTACAAAACCAAAACATTGACCTGAAAACTCATATTCTTAAATAGTCCTGCCAGTTCCAGATTTTCATGTGGATGTCATGCCTGGTGCCAAAACTCATTTAGAAATATCTAAACTGTCAGTGCTATATGACTACTAAGATCAATGGTTAAAATGAGTGAATGAAGACTGTAGGTCTTAGCGAGGACCATCCTTCTTCAAACCTTCTGAACTGGTGCTACACAATCACAAATAACTGTACCAAATAACAGAAATCACATGAATTGTGGACTTTCTACAGTGGCAACAACTAAAATGCATAGCACACATAACTGAAAGATATAATAATGACATAAGATGTTGATGTTCCACACTACTTCAAATAAAAAATTAGTAGCAAAACCCCAAATGATACTAAGTAATAACAACTACTGGTCTTGGAACCTATTTTCCTGAATAATTCTATTAAGAAAAAGATTTTATAAATTTCAATTGAAAGCAGCAATGAATAACAAATATTTCTTCATAAGGAAATGGCTAATATTATCATTAAAGTAGAGTTCCAATTGTTGTTCATAATATTAATATTAATATTATGCTTTCTAAATGATTTGCGATAGAAATCTATTGGAAAAGTTCTTACTGTAGAAATACATTGTCAATATACATTCTAGAATTGTAAAAAATTATATTTTTCCAAGAGCTGTTCATAATATCGATCTTATTTTTTCTAAATGATTTGCTCTAATACTTGCAAAATATTTTAATATAAAAATACATTGTCAATATACATTCTATAATTGAAAAAGATTTATTTTTAATATACTTTCTAAATTATTTTTTACAGAAATACATTACAAAAGAACATACTATAGCAAAATATTTACTATAGAAATAGATTGTCAGTATGCCTTTTTATAATTTTAACAAAAGTTATCATTAAAATCTTTCTAGACAGATTTTGTATAACTGTACAAAGAAGGAAGCACGGTGGAGTAATGTATAGTAGCTCGGATTGAGGAATCTGGGAGCCGAGTTTGAATTCCAGTCAGATCCATTACATTCACTTATGTGCTAATAATATCCTATGTAAAGGTATGAATCCTCTTCTTCTCACCCTTCCCCCCCAGCTATGGGTAAATAGCAGGACAGACAGTTTTATAGCCTTGGATGGCAACCAGTCTAGGAGAAGGAAAAACTCTGAATTCAAAACTGTCCTGGAGAAGGTTGTGCTCCATCAGGCTATCTTGCCCAAGAAACACCACTTCTATTTTGATGTCCCTATGAGTCATGGGATTAAAAAAACAAAGAGACTCCTTTCTTATGGCTTGTGTACCTTAAGAAGGTTGTAGAATTGAGTTATAAGTAGCCAAAAATTCTGTTCAAGACATGAAACAACTATGATAATATATTAGATGTGTGAAAACTTTTCCTTTTGATTTCCAACTATGCTGGGAATTTGTACACGTGTTTAATACAAGCTACTTTTGACATGCCACTATTTTCTTTTTATACTAATGTTTGTTTTTTGGCCCAAATCTCCCCGCAAGAAATTAAATTTCAAAGATTTCTGTATTTCTGTTTTTGTTCCAGCCATGCAAAAGAAACCAGTTGGGGAATCTCGAGTTCCCACCAACACTTGGTCAGGAATGGGATTCTCAAAATCAATGCCCGAGTCAGCAATCCGGAATCGTCTTGGACAGAACATATCGAACCGCTCATCTAGTTATAATGAATACAACCTTATAATGCCATATGAGGTAAAGAATGCAACACTTTTTTTTTTTTTTTTTTTTCAGACAAATAAAAGAAAACAAGAAATGAGAAACGCATAGAAAAGGATTAAAATTCATGAAAAAAAAAACTGGCATCTATAATTATCAGATTTCTGTTTGTGGGAAGTTTCAATTGTTACTGTCATAGCATACCTACAGACGATAATGGGTATGTCCCCATTCACATAAATACAGTAGTAAATACTGTATGTTGGTCTACAGTTGGAGATTCAATGTGGAATTCACTTGACTCACTTCTAGCAGTTGACTACTTCTTTTACATGCCGCTGACGAATCTTGTATGTGTTGTTCGTGTCCTAAGTATTATCGTTCATTACCAACCTTCGTTTGATTATTACATTCAGTAACCTTCCTTAGGTTACAATGGTTACTATAACAGAAAAAAACAAATAGGAGTAGATAAGTTTGACTAGCATCCGGTTCACACTCCTCCCTAGTCTTTTGAACAGGAGTAGAAGTTTATCCCTTGTTTCCTGTTTAAGATTGGGTTTCCAATTCCTTCTGAAGTCTTTTTATTCTTTCACCCCCAAGTAGTGCCTTGCATCTTAGTGGCATTATCACCTTACTTGAGTTTAAAAAAAACAACACATTGTAACAAGATTTTTGCAAGGGCAATACCATTAAAAATGCTTTAACTTGAAGAATAAAAAAATTTCCAATCCAATTTCCAAGTTAATAATAAGTGTTAGGTCTACATTTACATTTATCCTCTTAATAAAGTTCTGACTTTTTGTGTGTTATAAAAACTGGAAAAAGGAAAGGAAAAATTTAATAATTCCTGCATAAAATAACAACAATGAAATGATACATTTGTTAAAAAAACAAAAATAGACAGCTTTTTATTTTATGCAAAAGTGATTAGTTTTTTCATTATTTTCTTCTCTTTTATAAATGTTTGCACACATAAAATAGCATGTTTGTTTTTCTAAATTATCTACCTCCAAAAAATCAAGAAAAAATAAACATACCTAAGGTTTAAAATTAATTTTTAAAAAGAAAAAATATTTCTTGAGGCTTTTATTTTAGTTTAATTTAAAGCTAATAGATTTGATATTTCCAATAAGCAAAATATTTTGATGTATTTCAAAAACAAATTTAAAACTAAATTGAATGAAAGGATTTTTTTTTTGTTAAAATAGTTGATTAGTGCCCTTTTTTAGTCATCTTTATTCAAAAATAAAATATACTTCCTGAAATTTTTTTTGAGAAATACTAGCTGATTTAAGTATTATTAATCTGATTTGAAACAAATATTTACTTTAAGTTGGAAATATTGCAGGAATGCCTATTTTAAGCCGACTGTAGCCATGTTTTTAACTGACAGTAGTCGTGCTTACATATTTGACAAGATCTAATGTTTCGTGGAAACTTTATCTGTAAAACATAATTGAAGCAAATGATATAAACGTCTTTTTCATTTAATTTTTAAGTTCTCCGAAATCTTTTAAAATTTATGAAAACATTCACTGTAATCTTTTATTGAATTTTTGACTGTAAATTTACTGTAGTTATTGCTTTTATTTTCTGATAATGTTGTGTATGGTTGCCTGTACCTTCAAAATACTGGTATGTTTATATAATAATAAAAAAAAAATTCACAATTATTTAAAAAGTATTGGTTTGATGATTTTCCATTTATAATTAGTAAATATAGTTTTCAATTAATATCATCAAAACCTCTGAAATTAATACAGAATTTTAAGATTTAAAACTTAATACATTTTTATAATTAAAATGTAAAAAAAATGAAAACAATTATTCAATTCAAAAATTATACAAGCTGTAATCCATCATTGACCGACATATATGGCCGAGCTTAAACACAACACACATGGCCTGAAGATTAAATTCAAGCATGAAACATGCTCTTGCCATATATATATATATATATCTCAAATATATGGTGCAGTTCAATTTATATTACAATGAATCATTCATACAAAAAGTAGATTAGTAACAATGATATAAAATGCCAAAATCCCTTCACTAACAAAATTTTAAGGGTGCATTAACCTACAAATCACTTGATGAATGTTATGATCCTTGTTTTTAAAAATTATAAGCTGTATAAGGCCTGGCTTTAATACGCAAGTACTTTCGACTGTACATTCAGTCATCAGGCAAAAGTTTGTATCCGTTATCAATAGCACATTTAAAAAAAAAAACAGAAACATTTCGATTCGCATTATATTTTTTCATCTCAGATGCTACCTGAATTTTATCAAAAAACAAAATAATTTCTATGCCTGAATGTACAGTCGAAAGTATTTGCGTATTAAAGAAAGACCTTATACAGCTTATAATTTCTAAAAACAAGGATCATAACATTCATTGAGTGATTTGTAGGTTAATGCACCTTTAAAATTTTATATCATTAATGTTACTAATCTACTTTTTGTATGAATATATATATTCATTATATATATATATATATATATATATATATATATATATATGCACATACACACGCACAATTAATATAATTAAAAGGTTTGTCACTTAGCTGATTGACATCCTGACTCCAGAGTTTCATAGATAGACCCTCTGGGAATCACTCCCCACTCTCTTCAGAGGGTATCAGCAATTATAAAAAGGTATAGTTTGGCAGCAAGAATGTTTGGTTGCATAATATCAACAAGTTCTGTCTATCCAATTACTTATTAACTTTTCAAATTTCAAAATTAGTTATTTCATATAATCGGAATATATATACCACAAGTATCGTTAAATTATGTATAATTAATCATCAATCACTGACCCTGCTCTTTCTTAAAGAGTCAAATTAATATTAATGATTAAAATAAAAATCTTGTCCATGTAAAGATAAAGAATTATGATTTAAAAAAAAAAAAAAAAAAAATTTCTTCCTTGATACATGGAGGATGTCAGTACACTGATGTAAAAAAATTATTGACCATGGACCCAGATTCAAATCTCACTGTGGTCAGTTTGTTAAGGATGTGATTTTTTTGAGAATACTGATCTGAGGGTGATGATCTCAGTGTGTGGCGCCAATGGAAAGTGCTTGTAAAACATGCCATGGATTTTACCCAAGCTTTGAAAATGACACTGGGTAGTTTGGGTAGTTAAAACTGTTGGTAGTAGTTGACAATTGTGCTTGTCATTGATTTGGGGGTTTTTTTGGGGGCTGAATTTTTTTACACTGAACTGTTCAATATATATTTTGCAATGACAATTCAGTTTGGAAGCTTTATCATAATAACTTATCTTGTTCTTCATCTGATAAATTACTTCAGGCTTTGTTTTGAGAAATTTAAGGAATTTTGATTGTATTCTTCCTGAGCAAATATATTCAAAAGATTGTCAAATATTTTCGCTTTTTGTCTGGAATCAAATTGCAAAATTCTTAATTGAAGAATTTAGAAGAGGAATTCTCAGTTTGACTTTCATCTAGATATTATTCTTAGATGCCTGATAGATGTCGATGTGGTCATTTACTTTTTTTTTTTTTTATATTTTATTGATTTTTTTTTTTTTTTTTTTTTATATTTTATTGATTTTTTTTTTTTTTTTTATATTTTATTGATTTTTTTTTTTTTTATTTTATTGATTTTTTTTTTTTTTTTATATTTTATTGATTTTTTTTTTTTTAAAGAAATTTTCCAAACTCTTTCATGCTTAAGAACTCCACATTTATTTACATTCACAATTTTCAACTCTTTAAATGATTTTCCAACTGCCCATTTATCCCGACTCTGCATTCATTGTATACTGAGAAAAATTACACCCCCTCTGCCGTATAAAGCACCTATGAGTAAAACTGTTACATTTCTTTTTCTTTTTATAAATTTCTAGCAGCCGAATGTGTCAGACTTTCCAGACATTAACCGGGACCTCTGGAAAGACTCTAAACCCCTCAATGCTCCAGTGCCTTCACCGTCTCCCATGTGGGAATATTCAAGTGCACGCAAACGATGTGAGTGATTCATTTTGTTATTGTCAGTGTCAATAATTATTACATGTTATTAAATCAGAATTCCTACTCAATAGCATAGAGGACTTTTCAATTTCTGTGACTTACTTCTCTCCCTAGCCAAATTCATTTAACTAAAGCACAAGCATTTTAATGAGCTTCACTTTTCTTTTTTTTTCCTTTTAGAAAGAGATTTTTTTCTATCCATTCCAACACTCACCCACCCTATGTCCACTCAAAACATCAACCTGCCCTTCCCCAAAACTGTCAGCCATTCCTTACCGGTTCAGTTATCACTTTGTTCTTTGTTGCAAAAACTCCTTAATTACACCCACTTTTTTCATCTCCAGTCATTTCAATAACATTGATATTCAGCACCATTTTCTATTTTGTCAAATTATCTTTAATTATATCTGTGATAATTCCATGGATGTTGACCAAGATTATGCCTTTGCTCTTCTCTCGCTATTTGTCCGTATCATCCTCATTCTCTCCCTCATCCCTTCCGATACAGACAAGATTATGCCTTATCTCATGCCTTTGCTCCTCTCTCGTTATTTGTCCGTATCATCCTCTTTCTTTCCCTTATCCCTTCCAATACAGACAAGATTATGCCTTATCTCATGACTTTGCTCTTCTCTCACTATTTGTCAGGTATGTTTATGAACAAGCATCTCTGTCCTGCCAGATGATACATTTTCTTTAGTAATTCTCTCGACTGCATAGTTTGGTAGATGTAATTCAGACTTATAAAAAACAGTGCATCTATTAAAACATGTGTCTCCAAAAAATAACGTTTGAACGCCAATAATAAAATTGGTTTCACATTTACTGTTTGCCCGTTTGAATTTTTCCTGCCAATATAATGAAAAGTAGTTCTTCCTATTATTTTGAGTGACATATATTTATATAAATTTTTAAAAGTTCTTGAAAAAATAATTTGTATAATCTGTTTTTGTTTCACATCTAAAAAATTTCTTGTAGATAATTTCTTTTCTTTGGAGCAGATTTCTAAATGTTTTTATTTATAACAGTTGAGTTTGGCTTAAGCAACAGCAACCATGCAGACAGTGCCACTCTTCCTACAAAGACTCTGGTCTGGTCTTCGGAGACGGACCTGGCTGAATTATTTAGTAAACTTGGGCTTGGCAAATATACAGATGTCTTCCAGCAACAAGAGGTAAGATGCAAACTGTCATATTTCTAAACAATTTTTTACTCCAGTTTTTAATTCTTTTAACAATGGGAAACTTTTTTTTTTTTATATAATTAAAACTGAACATAAATAGTGATTCTTATAAGCTAAATAATTAAGAGGTGCAAAAATTTCCAGCATATTATTTTTTTTTTTTTTTGACATTTATATTCATATAAACTTTAGGTACCTCTATGAAAATGTAAACAAAGAGCATAGCATGATGAAAAAAACACCGAACTTGACGAAAACAAAATTTTATCGTTTAATGTTCATATTATTATTAAAGAGGAAAGATCAAAGTATTTTTGGGGTATTTTTTTACATTTTTTAATCGTTCCTAGCACGTCAGAAATTTTCGTTAAAAATATTGTTTTTCTTTGTCAAAAAAAAAATGGACAGATAATCCATCATTTTCAACCATTTTTTTCCATTTTATAAAAAAGATGAAAATCTGACTTTGATATTCTTTTAAAAATCAATTATCATTTTTTCAAAACTGATTTTAATAAAAACAAATCATACTGTTTATTTAAAATATTTTGAACCAAGCTTCTGCGCCGAAAAAATGTAATTTGAAAATAAAACAAAGCAGGTCATAACCTTTCGCGTCGTTTAACAAGTGACGAAAGACACATTCATGACGTTTAGATAACTTACGGGAGGATAATTCTTTCTACGGATGGAAGGAAGTGAAATTATTTAAATGAACAAATTATTTACCTCGTTACTTTTAAGGAAAACTTTCAGCGCTCTAATTTTTTTTTTTTATACTTAGCTTTCATCTTTACGTTGCTTTATGGAAAATATAAAGAAATTAAAAAATAAGACTGTTAAGAGTGAGATTAAATTTCATAAGAAAAAGGTATCTAATTAATTTAGGTACCTTTCTTATGAAATTTTATCAGAAGTGTACATAAAATACTATAATTTTATGTACATTTATTACATTTTACTGTGTTATTTGTATTTCCATTCATTTTATTAATTTTGATATTTCATTTATGGAAAAATGTCATAACTGAGATTAATATAAAAAATAAGATCATATAAATTAAAGTTTAGCAGTAGTTAAATTTCATAAGATGATACTGTTACTTGTAGGTACCCTTCTCAGTTGAAATTGAAAACTCAAATTAACTTCTCCATACGGGTTTCAAGTAAAAGTAAAAGGCCTTAACAGCGGAGAACAATGCTGAACTCAAATAATGCAACTAAATTGCATTCTGGTTGGTTTTCCGTACTTGATAATTACTGTCTGACTATAAACACAAAAATTACATTTCTTAATTACCATGGCTAATCTGATTGGTCCAAATTATACAATTTTCAAAGCTAGACAATCTCACATGGACACTTTGAAAGGTTGATGTTGATTTTTTTTAACTAATGTTAAAATATTTTTAAAAAATTCAATTTAAAAATTTTTTAAAATTAAAGAAATAAGAAATAATTGTATTAAAAATTCAATTTTCATTGAAAAAATTTTTTGCTTCCAGAAAATATTGTCCATATTCATAAAAACAAATAAAAGCATTTGAAATTAAATAATATATTTGTTTTATTGAGTTTTGTATGTTACAATTCACAGCTGATTTTCAGGTACGTTGACCAAATAAAATAAAAAAACAAAAAACATGATTTGCATTCTTCAAAGCCTTGTGCTTTTAACTATTGTAATCACTAAAACCGATGGTCTCGAATTTCTAGAGTTTTTCATAAAATTAGTTATGGGGTGTTAATAAATATAAAAAAAAAATATTTCTGCCATGACTTTAATAAAAAAAAAAACATATTTATAATAATTTTGATCATCTGTGAATAGTTTCTGAAAGTTTCATTAACATCTGACAATTATTTTTATTTTTGCAAGGTTTTCCAAATTAATGTGTGTAAATACAAAAAAATGCGCTAAAAATTATCTATGTTATTTACTACCCCTTGTTGTGACAAAGAGAAACAAGGTTTTTTTAAATCAAAATTTAGAATATTCTTAAAAGATGGAAAAATTTTAAAAAATAATTAAAAAAAATTTAGTCTATCCTCTTCATAAAAACATAAGCATTTTGACGATAAAATTTTGTTTTCATAAACTTAGAGCATAGTCTGATGAGAAAGATGCCAATTTTTTTTAGCGATTTCGTGGAGTTACCTATATAAACTCATAGCATTATTATTCTGTCATCATGGTACAGTCTGACCTCTTTCATCTAGCACCAATTGGAATCAGGCTATTGCCGAACCACAGAAAATGCCCGGTGAAAGAAATCACCCCTAAAAAAAAAAAAAAAAAAAAAAAACTTATGTAAACAATCATGCCAGCTCATTCCACATATATATTACTGTTTTATAAAAAAGTAGAACAAGGCATGAAATGAAACAATGATTAAGGCTCCCAAATAAGGTTTTTATCATTGTATGCAATCAGTCAGTCAGATGTGTGCCATGCGTGATACACACGTAGGCGATCATGTATCTCTCGATACATGACTGATGAGGTAGATTTTTTTTCTGCAGTAGACCAGTTGCCATCCAAGGCTATAGAACCCAGACTGTTCTTCTATTTACCCATAGCTGGGGTGAGAAGAAGAGGATTCATATCTTTCCCAAGAGTATTAGCACATCAGTCATGTGCCATGCATTATACACATTAGATGATAATGTTTCGATACATGACTGACGATGCAGATATTTTTTCCTGCATTAAGTTGCCATTTCTTTCTGCAGTAGACCAGTTGCCATCCAAGGCTGTAGAACCCATTCTGTCCTGCTATTTACCCATAGCTGGGGGGAGAAGAGAATTTATACCTTTCCCAAGGGTATTAGCATGTAAGTGAATGTAATGATGAAGCCTTGGCAGTGTTTTTTCTTTAATTTAAAAATTAAAATTTAGGTAAAACTAAAATTTAGGTAAATTTAAATTCTTGAAATTTAGTAAATTTAAAAATTTTAGTAAATTAGTTTATCAGTGGATTATTTTAAATGATTAACTATTAGTGGTATTTACTATTTAAATAAATAAAAATAAAACTTTTGCATTAAAATAATCCAATTATAAACTACTACTAGTACCTGTTAAAAATCATGACTTTTCGGTTTTAATTTTCTTTTTCATTCTCTCACTGAAATTAAACAGAATCTCTGCTATATCCTTCCTGTCTTTTGTCATGGTCAAAATGGAACAGTCCATTATGAGACATTGGCACAACGTTTTTCTTTTTCTTCCTCACTGAAACCAAGTAACATTTCTGCCTTTTACATCTTTCCATACGATCAAAACAATACCATATTTTGATACTTAAGATGCATTTTTTGTCCTATAAAATTTCTCCAAAAAACATCCTGCATCCTATAAATCAAGTGTCAATGATGGGAGTTATAGTTACCATAAAATTGGTATTTCTTCTCAGTCTATGACAAATTTGTCATGATTAGTCAGCAGAAATATGCTATTCAGTGAGTAAGCTTGATAAAATTTCCAATTGTGTGTGCTTTTTTTAAAACATTTTTTTCCCTCTCACCCCCATTCCAGATTGACCTTCCCACCTTCATGACGATGAATGACAATGACTTGCGAATGTTAGGAATCTCAACATTTGGCGCACGCAGAAAAATGTTGCTAGCAATTGCAGGTGAGAAAATTTTTTTCTTTTTCTTCACAGTTCAAGTCACATATTTTTCTCTAAAAAATAAAACTTTAGTGTGTCTTCAGAAACTCACCTCTTAAAGAAATAATTAAAAAAAAAAAAAAAGTTTTTTTTCATAGTACCTACTGATTTTATATTTATATATAATTAATACACAATAAAATCCAAAATCACCTCATATGGGGAATAAGCTTATTTCAACCAATGAAGTTTGTCACTTATTCAACCCTGGTATAGACTGAGTTCGTGTTGACACAAACTCAGTCTATACCGGAGTCTAGGAAAGTTTCTCTATGGTGGTTAAATGAGAACAGTTTAGTTCTGGAGGCATTAAAATTTACCAGTCATTTCCTGCCCCAGTTAATCACTGATTGAAGGTCTTTTTCAAGAGCAGTGGCTAGGTTAACTTTGTCAGCTTTGATGGATTTACTATTGAGACAGGAGTAAATGGCAGTGTCAATCTGCATAAATGCCTACTTGGGAACTGATGACATCAGGAAGATCATTTATGAACATCAGAAACAGTGTAGGACCCAGGATAGAGCCTTGGGGTCATCTGCATTCATGTGAAATGATCTAGAAGCAAGCCCATTCAAAATGATTTTCATTTCATGATTTGATAGGAATGATTGGATTAAATCAATCATCCTGTAATACTGTAACATTGGAGCTTACATAGAAGACCAGCATGCCAAACCTTGAAAAACGCCTTTAAGATATTTAGAGCCACATAAAAAGCTATGCTGTTATTATCAAGAGCTTGGTATATATATTTATTTCAATTATGGCAGATAAGAAACAAAACAATACGAAGTTTACGTAGAAGACCAGCATGCAAACGCCTTTGAGATACCTAGAGCCACAGCTCGAGCTTTGTCGTTATTATCAAAAGCTTGATATACATGTTCAGTGATGGCTGTTACCACATCAGCTGTAGACTTGGCAAAACAGAAGCCATGTTGTTTGTCAGAGACAAGATGGTGAGAGGTAAGATGCTTAACCGCTTTAGCATTGATTAAACTGGGCTTGTACAGGTGCTAGAAACCTTTAAAACTCCTGAAAAATTGACAGAGACTTTTCCAGGGCTTGAAAAGTCCTGGAAAAAACAGCAATAGCCCAAAAGGCTCCTTGAAAAGTCCTGGAATTTTCTAAATTGGGCTGCCTACACAACCTTTTTCTCAATTCATGAAAGTCAAAATGACAGAAAAATTGTTCTTTAAGAAAAAAATTTTTTTTTTTTTTTTTAGTAGTCAATAATATTTGGCAATTATTGCAATGGTAGTTTATTTCCTTGATTAGAAGGAGTTATTACCTCGTAGTTACTTCTGTATTTTTTGTCTAGGTGATGAGAAAGAATATGAAGCTGCTATCCTCACTCTCGTAGAAGAAAAACAAAGATAAAAGGCATCAGACAAGTAAACATCTCAGTTAAAGATAAATTCACACTCATTGAATTTGTAATTTGAAAGGAAAATAAATTATTTTACAGTAATAAAATATATTTTAGTAGAATCTTGAAAAATTTACCAGTTTTTTAAAATTTGAACAAATGAAATTTAAAAAGTCCTAGTCAGCAGTAGGTCAGTTCATGCTTAAACATTGTATCTCATTTATTTCCCTCTGTTATCTTGAAAACATAAGATAAACTCATAGGTAAGTAATGAAATACGTTTACTACATGAAAGTACGAACAGTGAAGAGGGTCTGTGTTATTTGACTTGATGGTAAATAAATATACGCATGTTGATTTGATGCAGTTATGCATTTTGAAATAAATGTAAAGAAAAAAAACAAATATGTATAATAAAAAAATAGATTTGTTTTGAAAAAGACTACACCTGTTTAAAGCTATTGCACCAAATTTTCCCACAGTTTGTTAACAATGAAGCCCGGTGGAACAATAAACCTTCTTTTACCATCTTTAAATAGTAATTAAAAATGTGTAATTAATAATAAAATTGATAATATTGTGACCTCACATTTTGTATCATGAACTGATTTTAAAAGAAAACCAACAGGTTTATGAGTGGACTAGTTCTATTTAAAATAGTTCAGTCTCTGATTTTTATTCAGAGAAGCAAGTATGATTTCTTTTCTTTTTTTTTTTTTCCTAAATTATCTTTAAAGACAAGAAACGGCTTTCAGACAAAACAGATTGTTCCATATGTTTACAAAATGTAGATAGTAAACTTATTTAAAAAGATCTTCATTATCATACTGTTTGTACCTGACAATTTTTCTTTTTTTTTTCCCCCAGACCTAAATCACCAAAAATCCCAACCCACCACCACCACGACAACAGCAACAACGGCGGCAACAACAGCAACCATTACTACGAACAACTCGTTTCCGGCAAACGAGGCTACATCATGGATGGACAATCCTCGGGTGGACATGGGAAGTTTAAGTGGACGATGGTAGAGTTCAGGTAGCTAACTAATGCCAAACAAGCACATAAACCAAAGGAACCCCCCAACCCCTTAATTTTTTTTTTTTTTTTTTTAAATGGAAACCCTAAAATGAAATGTTAATTCTATACATGCCAAATTCACAAACGAAACAAAAGACATGACAGTGGCTACAATTGTGGCTGCACAAATAGAAGATGTGGTCAGTCTAGTCAGTGGACATCTACTGACCATTGCAAAAAAATAAAAAGGATAAAGAAGCACAATTGACTATTCCTCAAGTCAATCTTTTTTCTTCCCCTCTATTCCCACATCCCTTGCTCCCCCCGCATTCTTTGCTCTACCTTTTGTTGTTAGAAAAAAAGAACCAAAATGTTCTCAGATAAAAAAACAAAAAAAAAAAAAAAACAAAAGAGAATGAAAAAACAGTGAACAACACTGCTGGGTCTTGGTCTTATTACAACTTGTCAAATGTTGTCCAAGGTGGAGGCCATTCACACCTGTTAAAAAAAAAAAAAAATCTGGTTTTAGACTATAATACCTAATTTAACTGCTAGAATTACTTAGATACTGACTTGCCAAAAGGTCGTGGGATGGATGCCTACTATTGTGAAGAAATTCCTCTAGACTAGCAAAGATATGTCCTCAATTTCACAAGTTGTTGGAAAGAGCTCAAGAGAGATGTTATGCCATACTGTCTTGATAGTTGTCCATGGCTCCCTGATGCTTATATGGTGAAGGATCTTGTGTGTCAAATAGACTTCTCTATATTGTCCTATAAATACACAATTCGGTTTGGGTTCGTATTGGGTAAATGTGTTGGTTTTTACCGTTCCTTGGAATTTTCTAGAATACTTCTCAAACCAATTCTGGCCAACTTTGGCTCACTGACTTTGATTATTCCAGCAGGATAAGGAAACCATCAACCAGAAAACAATTTTATTAGCCCAGGTGAGGTGCTGTTTCTGGTATTATGGTACAAAGGTACCCTGTTGGGTCTTATCCCATAGAAACTGAAGATTTCAGGGATTCACATTGCCTTACAATGAGCTGCATAGCTAGTGTTTGCACACTTACCAGAATAGATCTAGGTATTTCCATGTCAGCAAAATGTGTGTGTTTGTGCTGGGGTACACCAATTGGTACATACTGCTTTTCCATATCCTTTTTGGTAGAGTATGTGTACGAGGATTAAGATGTAAGCTCTCCTCATGAATATTGTTACCATGAAGAAGTCTGAACCGCATTTGGTTATTTTACGAAACTGTTTTAGAATAAATCTTCAAGTGTCAGACTTCTTTTACAAGACACTTCCTCCATTCTTATATCAATACAGAAATGGCTTGCCTCTGGTGACATTTGTGCATTGACTTCTGATGCATATGTGTTTCCCTTTTTTTCTCTCATAATACAGAATAGATGTCCTATCTGAGGTAAGAGTGCCAGTCTAAGGATAGAGAAGTAACTGGTCTGCTGAAATTTTAATTTTAGGAAGATAGAACCATAGCCATTTATGCTATGTAGCAGTTTTTATTTCAAACAGCATAAGGGGATGGCTACATCTTGAATAGAGTCCTACGAAAATTAACTGACTTAAATGCAATTGTTGACGGCTGTTTAGTAAATTGAATGGCAACTTAGGGCACCTTGGGGCGGTGTAATGGTTAACAAGCTTGTCTCGCTAGAACAATTACGACTGTGTAGAGAGTTCGATCCTCACTGGGTGTCCCTTACTTTCAGCATTGTGCCATACTTGGAAAATCACTTGAATGGCAACTTTGTAATGCCAGAAATTAAAAAAAAAAATTCTTAAAATGTATTTTAAAACTTTACACCCAATAACTAATTGCATTCAAATCAAGTGTATATTCCTGAGTGATGCATAGACTACTTTTACATATTAAACATTATTTTCAGTGGATAATTATATTTGAGTGGATGCTCCATTTATTTATTAAACACTATATCTATTTTTGTCTACTGCTTTGAATATTCAAAGAATATTATTAAGAAAAAAAAAAAGCACTCTCCAGCAGGATTTGAGCCTGTGTTCCTCAAGGGAAACTATCATAAGATCTGACATGCTAATAAATAAACAGTGTTTACTTAAACGTTATTTTTAGTGGATACTCTTAAATGGTAAAGTGATGTATTTCATCTTTTTGGACTTCATCGGACTAAAGCAAAATTTACATTGATAAGTCTCTTCTTCATGCACATATGTAGTTGCATCAGTATAAGCATCACTTTAGTTTGACGTAGTCAAGCTGGTGAATCACCGATGTTAAGCAACAACAGTACCTAGATGGGTGTCTAGCTCGGAATTGTTAACTGGAGTACAGTTCAAATTCCTGTTGAATTTGTTATATTCACACACAAATACTCTTGAAAAGGTATGAATCCATCTCTTCCCCACCCTCCACAGCTACCCATTATCACCTCCCAAAAGAAATCTAAAAATATTTTCTGGTTTTAAATAACCTGCAAAGAAAGCTGTAGAAAAATCAGCCAATCTGATGTAGTCCTAAAGGACAAAACTTGTCAGGTTTTCCCTAAAATTGTTCTTGAGATATACATTAGTTTTAAAGAATTTTTTTTCTTAAGACCCTAAAATGGTTGGGATCTTTATACAAAAGAAATATCTAAAGATCAAGTGTAGAGCTGAACAATTGTCTTGTGACACCAACATACTTTGCTGCTTAAGAGAAGTACAACCTTATTTTTTTTTTTTTTTTTTAGTCACAAAGCAGTGTACATTGGTGTTTCTTTAAGTGTGCCAAATAAATAAACACTAGGATATTTGTGTAATGTCTTCCAGATCTCTTCCTCTTCTCCTAAAGGACCAGCAGTGTTATGTTCCCATTTTGAAGTGACACAAGTTCAATTTTACCTTAAAGAAAAGCCAAAAAAAAAAAAAAAAAGGAAGTGATCCGTCCAGTGTATTACCAATTATTTCATTTTTACCCGTCCCCCCGCATGCTCCCCACTCCCTTTCCAAAATTTCATCTTTGGATCCCTTCCCCCAGCCTTACTCTTCTCTTTCCATTTTAATACACAATGTGCCAAATTAAACACCAGGAAATGCCTTGTTTAGATGAGTTTTAAAAAAAAAAATAAATAAAATAAATGACTTTTTTTCAAAAACAATTGCATTCATTTCTGCAGAAAACATTTTTACCCACCCCCTCCAAACAATGTCTGGCTTTTCATCCATAAACACTGCCATTGTCTTAATTTTCAAGAAATTTGACTCAGTATAGATTCTGTTTAAAATCTTACCAAAGTAGTCTGTCAGAAAAATTCAAGTAATACAGGGATGCAGCAGAAATACTTCTCATATAATGTTAAGTAACTTGTTGCATTGCATTGCCGCTAAGGTCTTACAATTTATGTGGGAGCTGTTTCTGTCGTATCCTGTTAAATAGCTTCATTCATTTGACTTAAAAAAAAAAAAACACACACAAAGTAAATTACTTAAAGAAATCAAGAGATATAGAGTTTAAATTATTAGTTTATAATATAACTTCTGAAACAAAATTGGTTTGGTGACAAACAAGCACAAAAGATCTAGAAATCCACTTAAGATTTGCCATTAGCCAAAATAAAATAAAATGGAAATTATTTAGTTAAAAAAAAAAAAAAAAAAAAAAACACTGTTCACCCATGAGCCACTCAATTTAGTAGGAAAGATACTGAAATGACTTGGTACCCAAGAATACACTATATTAAATTCTAAAAGCAAAAGTTCTTAACTAGCCAGTAAAACAAAATCAAAGGGAAATAATTCAGACAAGTTTTCAGAGAACAGATATTTAGATAATGAGTTCAACCTTTTCCACTCTTGATTATTGACAAATATTACTTCATGGAATTCTTATTTAAGCCTCCTCAACTGCAAATAGCTCCATTTTTGACTTCATCTGCTGCAACAGAACATAACAACACTACAAAATTCAAACATGTTCTGAGTTGGCTGCAGTAGTAGGAAACATTATTTATTTTTTTTTTTTTACTTGGCAAAGTCATAGAGTACTAAAGGTTTTAAGCCCCCACCATTCCATTACAATGTTGGTTAATGGCAAGTCAGATGCAAAAATGGCACCTTTTCTACATGAAGAAAAAAGTTAATCATTTTTGTTTGTCATCTTCACTGTCCCTATTAATGTTATGAAAAGTCCTGTCACAAATTGCCTTTTAATATTGGCCTTGCTTGGAGGAGAGAAGAAAAAAAAACAACCCCCCTCTGCAGTGTGACAAAATTTGTGTCTTATCTTTGAGAGAGAGAGAGCACCTTTAAGATGTCAGCCATTAAATAAATACATTCATTTATGACAACAAACTGGGATCTCTGCACATTTGTGGTTGTTCTATCACAATGCTGCCAGAGGACCACCCCCACCAAAAAAAAAAAAAAATAGTGAATTGTGGGTGGGGGGAGGCAATCCCATCAATTTAAGATTTCTGAATGTAATTGAATAAAAAGGAAAAAAAAAAAAATCTTTCTTACATTTGATGAAAACTGGCTTTTGTTTTAATTCTTTCTATTTTTTGTGTGTGTGTATGTATATATATATATATATATATATATTTTTTTTTTAATAAGAAATTTGACTTTTTACCACTTAAAAATACAAACAAGATACATGCAATGCCATCTTAACCCCTAACTGTTGATGATAGAAATAATATAATGCATTTGTATTAATGTTACAACTGTACTTGACTTCCTCTTGTTATCATTAATTGGTTAATAGACATTTTTTTTTTTGAAGCTGTGACATAACTACTTATATTTTCCATGTGTCTGGGTCACAGAAGTTTAAATAGTGATGGTAAATGCAACACATGGGACCAATGTGGAAAATAGGATAATCCAACACTTAATGTTCAGGCCAAATAGATATTTACATTTACCCCTTGAACTTTTGATATAATGGGGGAATAGAATAGAAACCCCCACCCCATATGTTTTTTTTTTTAATTAAAAAAAAACAAAAAAACAAAACAAGAACATTTAAATTAAAAAAAACACAAAACAAGAACATAAAACAAGAACATTTCTGATAACAGAATTGCCCACTTTAAAATATGATAGCAAGAGACACACACAACTGCCAATTTGACTTTTTGCAGCAATATAAAAGGACTATACATTTTGCTGTTGATTAACTTGTCTAAAATAGACAAAAATGTCTGAAGTTTTCTACACCTATTATATCTACAGCCAAGGTATGTGGTTTCTCCATGAAGACAACTGACACAATAAGATATTACTTAAAAAAAATAAATAAATAAATAAAAAGAAATCAGATAATGTGATGAGGTTAAATTACTGAAAGGAAAAGAGTGCTTATAAATTAAGTAGAGGTTTGCCAATCTTCAAAAAAAAAAAAAAAAAAAAAAAAATAAAAAAATGCTTGACTCTTTATATCTTATTTTGGGTTTTTTTTTTTTTTTCCCCCCACTGTTAGCCATTATAAAATAAGGGAATTAATGAATATTTACTTTTGATTTTTTAAGAAATGTATATCCTTTATTTTAAAGTCAAAATTTGGGGCAAGATTAAGAAAGAAACAGATGTATTAAAGATGACATCTTCCTTTCTGAATTTGGTCAATCAAGAAAGTTTGTAGGTTAGAAACAAGGAACCAGCTGGTGATGTGAGAGAGAACAAGGAATTTTCGTAATTTAGGCAGAGAACATACATCAACAAAAAAGTCTGAAACAGAAAGAAAATGAAAACATTTATGAAACAAACTTTATTTTCATTTTTTTTTTTTTTTTGGGAAATAAAAATAATAATAGTAACAAAAGTTAAGATTTTTCAAGTAAAAATAAAAACAAAATTTTGGGGGGCTTTTCTTAAGCCAGATTTGAAGAATGTTATTAAACATTTAACTTAAAAAAAAAAAAAAATGAATTTCTATGATATGGAGTGTTCCTGCAGATGAATTTCTGGGTATGAGATCCCCATAGAGATTTTAAGAATAGAGAGACGAGGCAAAAAAAAAAAAAAAAAATTTTTAAAGATAAGTCCATGTGTATGTTAGCCACTAGTCTTGCTGGGATCCAATTGTGTTAATAAGGAAGGGTGAGAATTCACCTGGTTTATTGTTGATTGAAGATTCTGGGTGACATCAGAGGCAGACAATCGACAGTGTTCTCTTGCAGTCACTGTACCTGAAATTAAATATTGAAAAGGTAGATATAAAGTTTAGTTTATGAATATCATGTGGATGCCATTCTATTATCAGGCATTTATTTTATTTTTTGAATAGAGAGTTGTGCAAGTCAGTGACTACAAGCACTTTGGTACACTGCAAAAAGGCATCAATTGATTAACTAAATTTTAACTATAAAATGTCCAAATCTATATGATTAATAGTGGGTAACTGAATGACAAAATGGATAAAATTCTATAGAATATTTCTTCTTTTGAAGGAACTTTTGATTAATTTCTTGAAACAAAAGTTTTTTTTTTTAACCCCCTCCCCCATTTATCATACAATTTGTAGGCACTATTAGTTTGAGACAGATAGAAATGAACAGATTGAAATAGATAGATATATTGGAACATATAATACACAAATTTGTATGATTAATACTGACTATCAAATTAAGACATTTCCTTTGTTAATGCACTTATTTACTTAGAATGATGACCATTACTTATTGCCAATTAAAACTGTTTTTACATTTGCATAAGATAAGTAACAGATGGCGATGAAAAGACTAATTTGTTTGAATAATGCACTGACTTGTTTGTGTCATGTAATAATTGTAAGTAAAATGATGCACTAAAATAAGTAACCAAATAATCGTTTTAATGATGCAATTAAAAAATAACTACTAAATTTGATTGTTTATTATATGTCTAAATGAATTATATTTTTTTTTTCTAATAAAAAAAAAAAAAAAAAAATATTTTTCCTGTAAATTTTTCTTTTTTATTCTTGATTGTAGTAAAAAGAGGAAAAAGCATTGTTGCTTGCCACTCACCCAAATGTAACTGACTCACCTGAATTGGGAGAGTCCATGTGGGGTAGGGGAGAAGCAGGCGAGATCGATTCAGTACAGTGCAACTGGCTTGTATCTCTGCTATTTTGCATCGGTACACTTTCACCATTGCAGTGAACATCTGTGCACAGCCCATTCCCCACAGCAGCAGGGAAACTACATGTCACCCCACCAGACGTTGAAAATGTACTGGCCTGTGAGTAGTCAGCCTGGAGAGGGGTTAATGGGGGTGTTGTGTCCAGATTGCAGTCCCCCATTTGGTTGTTAAAAAATTCTTTGCGATTTGAATTGGTTGTAAGCAGGCCAGGAGCACCATTTTCATCAGGTTTGTCCATTGGTTGAAAGGCCAAAGAGGGCATGTCTATTTGGTCTGCAGGCTGGTCATAGATAGCATGGAGGTTGTCATCAAACTGAAGACTACTGAGGCCAGGGTAGAGGCCCGAAAGTGGCATCATTTTGGACAGCTGCTGTACAACATTAGAAACGGGAGACTGTAAATTATCATATAGGTTAGTGACCATGGAGCTGTTAGATGTGAGGGGAGCTGCTTCGCAGGTGGGTCCATTACTGGAGGTGTAGTTGTTGGGGTGACTACCAGCTAAAGAGGCCAGAGGGGAGTCACACTGTGAAACTGTGTTGTCACTTGCAGAAGATCCTGAAGTTGAGGAGCTGTTTAAAAAGCGAGTGGAAGGGAACATGTTAGATGCAAAATTGTTAGTAAAAGTAAGCAAAAAATGATAAAAAATAAAGAAAAGTTTTGGAGCTGCCATGATTTTCAATTTTTAGGAAGTTGCTGTATCAAAAGATATTGTCTATAATTTAAGAGTTGTTTGGTTAATCAAAGTTATTGCATTCTGTTGTTAAAGCAGAGATTGTATAATTGAGCAGCCAAAATCCAGATGCCTTCAGATTTTACAGTCAATAAAGGAGTGACAAAAAAGTCAAGCAGGTAAGTACCAAGATCACTACTTTATAAATTAGAATTACATTTGCTAAAAGGGTGTTGGGAATGTTATCATTTGCTTTAGATTGCAGTTTCTCTTCAATACAAGAGTTTAGAAAAAAGACGAACTCAAATATTAATTTTTACAGTTATTCTTGAGATTAATGGAAAAGAAAAAAAAAGCTTCTAAAAAAGTTAATTTCACTCACTTTTGAATCATTCCACCCCAGTCAAAACAAAGAGCCATTAAGAAGCAAGGAATTACTGAATGTTAAAGAATTTGATGAAAATCATTGAGACAAGATGACAGTAAAGAGAACAGGACTCAAGGATGATGACAATCTTCAAAAATTTAAATGTAAAGTTAACTGAAAAAGCAAGTCAGGAGAGTTCTATAAGGAAGAGCAGATGCCACAATAAGTTCTATGCTATTTCAACTGTAAAATGTAAACCAAACTGCCAATTTAAAAGCATGCTTAAATTCATAAAATTGAGGTACCAAAGAGGAAAGCTCATCAGAACAAATGCCATGAAAATTATATATATATATTTAAAAAAAAAAAAAAAAAAAAAAAGCACAGGAAAGCTATGCTTCATGACTGTTTAAAACCCTTGTTTTTGTCCTATAGGAAAATCCAACATGGTGCGTAAATGAAATATTTGGCAAAAAATGCCATTTGTCAGTAACATTTTAAACACCTCATAGAATGTAAAGTTCTTAAAGCAAACCTGTGCCAAACTGTTTTCCTGAATCCTTGATGACTTGGCTGTCTGAAAATGACATCAAGATGAAATAATGGAAACTGTGAAAAACACAATTATGCGCAATAAGTTTTTGATCAATCAGTAAACTTCTGGACCTTTTCAGGTGACGTTATAGGATTCAGACGGCTATTGTTTGCACATGGAATTATTCACTGGTTTTTAATCTTCGATTTTGTTGTAGAAAATATCGCTCGACAGTTATCATTAAGAAATTATGCCCAATTTTCTGAGAAAAATCACCTTTTTTATCAAAAGATATTTATTTTCACTTCAAAATAATATTCAAACAACATCATTGGATAAAAGGAATGGCTAAAGGGCCCGGTGATGCGAAATATGAAATACATGCGGCGAAAAAAAACGATGTCATCTGCTAAGTGTTGTTGATATCTCCTGGGTCACATGGTGTTAAAAACAAAACAAAACACATCAGGCCATTGTTTAAACATAGGTTTAAAGAAAAAAAAACCCCAAACCTTATATCAAGCCCCCTACCAATGTTGATTTTTTTTTTTTTACTCTTATCTGGGCAATCATTAAGAGCTGACGACAACTTGTTCTAAATATTTATTGCTGGCTGGCTGACCTAGACATGTCAAAATCAATTTGGCTTAATTTTCCTTATTGCTATTTTTTGGGGGGAACCTTTTGGTTTCTGGTGGTCAGGAATTGCAGATAAATCTTTCACTTTTTACTAAAGATTTCTGAGGTTGAGTGTCAATTTTTTAACCCCTGGTAGTCATAACTGAAAATTACTAATGAACTTTGTCGCATTTTGACCCCCTAGGAATTTTGATTTCCGTCAAAACTCAATTTTATACCTGAAATAGTTTGATTATGATTTAGGCTGTCTGATTTAAAAAAGTTAATTTCCCATTAATGGGGAAAATTTTTGTTTAGAACTAGAAAAAAAATGCAAAATTTTCACTATTTTTTTCACATTTTACCCCCTGAAAAAAGATTTTGAGTCATTTACACCAGCCCATTTTACTTTTAAATGAAATATGTATTTTGCTTTCAGAAAATATCTAGTTTCCTGATCAGAAGTTTCCTTGATATTTGTTTAGATGATGATAAAACAGTCATTTTTCAATATTTTACTCCTATAAAAGTATGAAAAGCCATTTTTTTTTTTTTTTTTTTTTTTTTTAAGAGAAAATAGGCTGTGACTAAATGGTTTTTGCCATTTTTCAGATGATTTTTATTTGGAATAGAAAATATTTACCATAGCAAACCTGAATTGACTTTATTTAAGTTCAGTCGGGCTATAGGAAACCTCAAACAGCTGTGGCTTTGGTGGTGGAGAAAGAGAGGGAAGGTACCAATAACATTGCAGATTCTTTGGATTTTGCAAAGAATCTCTAAATACATACAAGCACAAAACCAGATGTGGCAGCAATATTTGATGTATGGTAGACTTATAAATGTGAAAGATGGTTTATCGTATTTTTATCACCAGAATCAAACTTCCCTAGCAGCAGGCCTAGCAAGTGATACAATATAATCATTTCACTGAAGGTTAGCATCAGCCATACTGATGAAAGGTTCTCTAAGATGATTAAAATAGAACAGTTTCATTTTAGAGCCATTAAAATTAACAAGCCATTTCTTGCCCCAGTTAACAACAGATTGAAGATAGTTTTTGAGATCAGCTGCCAATTTGACCTTACCGGACCAATCAGAAATAGTTGTTTTATCAGAGATACAAAATCAAGAACTGAGGATTTTCATACTTGTTGAATTCGCAATGGAGGTTATTCAATCATTAATTTAAGAATCCTGATTCAATAGAAATTCAAATAGCAAAACCTTGAAATTGTTATGGATACTACTAGTTTCTATTAAAGAAGACTATTATAACTTGTTTCATGGATGTAAAAAGTGATTATTAGTAAGTAATAAAAAGAACCAGCATTGTTTAAACATTCTAGAATATAAACATATCAATGGTAAGCAAAGTCTTAATTCCCTTACATGCAATTCTGTTGTTGGTTGTTTGGATTTGTGCAACTGCTTCCTGATTCTGGTAAAACTGAAGTTGCAGACTCAAGGTTGATGTTGAGGTATTCCGATGCCAGCAACTGATTGACTGAAACTCGCATTCTAGGATCTTCTTGGAGACAATGTTGCAAAAAAAGTTTCACTGGCGTTGGCTGACAATATAAATATGGCAAGCATAACATTACAAAGAATAAAATGTCATAGGCATACAAGAAATAAAACAGATTGTTTATGAAAGGTGTTTGTGCATACAGTGGCTTTTGATGTATGTATATTTCAAATAATTTATAAAGTAAAAAAAAAAAAAATTGAAAAAAAAAAAAAAAAGAAAAAAGTCGTTTAAAAAAATGTTTGGACAAAATTCACGTACAATGTGAATCTATAAAGCATCACAATTTTAAAAGCGATTTCTGTTTTAATTTGTAAAAAGATGATCAAAGACTTTTTTCCTAGCATCCGTGTATTTTAGAATCCGTAAGAAGGGCAATGGATGTTACAAGTGAGGAATGAGAACATATATATCTAACCTAATCAAATTAATTTTATTCAAACCATTGAAAGTTTACCAGATGTTAGCCATACATCAATAGGTCAGAGTACACCAACCAAATTTTGGTATAAATACAAAACTAACTAAAAAGTTATTGAAGTGTGTTAGTTACCTAGTTAGAAAAAAAAATTATATAAGCATCATCATTGCTGCTGCTATTATTATGAATGAATCAACACATTTGCCAAGGGTCAGTGGCATACCTGTAAGCTAGGGTCAAAGTCACTCTTTTGCTTAGTGGAGTATCTATGTAAACCTGCTTAACTTTGTCTCATAATAGTTAAATACTTACAAAATTGGCTTCTGACAACTGGGATAGACTGGAAACTTTATCATCTGGTTGATGCCACTGTAAAGAAAGTAAAACAATTTAGGCTGCTTATAAAATGAATGAATGAACAAAAGAACGAGAGAGTGAAAGAGAGGGAACTAGTGAAGGAGAGAGAGAGAGAGATAAAAAAAAGGAACTAGGGAGAGAGAAAAAAGAATTGAGAAAGAGTTCAATACTTTGAAATTTTGGCTAATGTAATTCTGAACCATAGAACTCGTTCTTTCAAGAAAGGTCTAAAGTCAGAAATTAAGGAAATTAAGAACTTGCCAACAAAGTCATAAGTCCAAGATGATAAACATCTGTGGCTGGGGAAGGGTCAACTGTTGGTTGTTGCTGCTGTTGGCATTCAGGGGCCAAGAAAGAATAGCCATTTGGTAACATGTAACGTTTCCGTACCCTGGATACCTGAAATTGTGGTAATAGAGGTTTATTATCAAAAAAAAGAAAATATTGCTTCGTCCTCAAAAGGTAAATTATTTCTTTCCTAATTCGGTTGGAACAGAGAGAATAAAATTACTCACCAGTGGTGTTGAGAAGTCTGGCATGCATATGGCTACTGTTCTATTAGTTTTTAATAGCACTGTGGATGGGTCAATTTCTCCATGTACTATTCCTATGCTATGTAATTTATGAAGGCCTTCACACAATCCACGCACAAAAACTTGCCGTTCCTATAATTATAAAAATGTTCATTTAATATACACGTGACAATATTTTGATTCAGCAGAAACAAGTTTTAAATTCCAAGAAATTTTTTTTTTTAAATTTACGAAGTTACCTACTTTGTCCGAGAACTCTTCTTTCAGAAAATTACTGAATGGCTGGCCAAGTAAAGGCATTTGAAGATATATTTGTCTTTGATTCTATGAAGGAAACAAAAAAAAAATATCAATAAGTACACAATGAAATTTAAAAAAAAAACAAAAAAAAAAAAAAAAAATCTTGTTTGATATTGAAAGAGAAAACATTTTTCTTTTAAATAATCATACTTTCACTTCTATGCGCAATGTTCCTTCAGGACATGGCGGTCATGGCTCTCTTCACAACTTCATATCCCTCTGTGGCACTTTGCAGTTTTTCACCCTGCCCCCATTCACAAGCTTGTCTGATAAATGACTTGCCGCTCCAACCCCCCCACTCTCTCCCTTGCCCTCAATATGCCCTGTGAGGGTTAAGTTTTCCAAGCCCTCCTTCCTCATTATGTGCCCAAGTAATTTCGGCTGCCCTTTCCAGATTTTGAGAATAAATTTTTTTTCTATTGCCATTTTCTTTAAGACTTCCTTGTTGCTTACGCACTCTGTCCAAGAAATTATTAGTATCCTTCTGTAGAACCATATTTCAACTGCTTCATCTGTGGCAAGATTGTCCAGCATTCATAGCCCTATAAGAGGATGGATATTGCATTGTAATCCAACATTCTTTATTTCGAACAATATTTTTGTTTCCCCCAGTGCCTTAGCTTTCAGAATGCTTGTTTTGCCATTCCAATACATGTTTTGATCTTGGTGTTGCGTTTTCCATCCTGTAAAAAAAAAAAAAAACTTCCCAGATATTTAAACTTTTGCACCTGCATGAGGTTTATAGTTCCAATTCGTAACTCACATCTTTGGTCTATTATCTTGCTGATGACAATACTTTGTTAGATAAACATCCTTGTTTTGCAAACAAATCACAAGATAAAAAAAAAAAAAAAAAAAAAAAAATGCAAGATTTAAATTACCTTCCCCTTCATTATAGGTGTTGTATAAGAGTAAGTTTTGTTGCTGACACTGTGGTTTGAGACTAGATTGCCAGTGAATAGCATGGGTGATTCCATTATTAAGTAACTCACATGATCATAAAGTGAATAAATAGGAAGTAACATGATGACTATACGATCACAGTTCAATCTTCTTGTCTATCACTACTAGTATATGTTCACTCTCTCTACTCTATGGATTGCGATTATCTTCTGGTCATTAAAAAAATTAAGAAAATTTCACAATGCTTAAAAAGACACTAGTCATTAAAGAAGTGGCATCCCAATTTATTTGACAAAGAAAGAAAGAAAGAAAAAAAAAAAAAAATTTTTTCCTTGGCAATTACTACTTGAACCAGTATTACTAGTGTGAATATTATTAGGTGTTACTACCAGTACCAGTGTCTACGAGGTCTCAAATATAGGACAAGCATTTTTGGAAGTGATAATGAGCAAAAGTGACATGCAAAGTTGTCCAAAATCACAAAAATAGGCTAAAAGATCCACAAGTGATTTCAGGATGATGATAGTATCAATAGCATCTACAAGTTGTTTTCAGACAACATTAACTGAATTTTGAAAGAATTGTCAATGCATATTCAAGCCTAAAGAATTTCTCGACTAAATTTACTGACTTTTAAAGTAAAATTTTTCCTTATAAAAATGTACAAAAATCATTTGAATTTTTAATAAATATCATTTCATGTTAATCATAACATAGTTGTGACATAATTGCCATTATTTTGGCTTCATTAGCAGCAGCCTCAAAAATATTCATTTTCAGAAAAAAAGAAAAAGAAGAAAAAGAAAAAAAAGAAAAAAAAGAAAGAAAGCTACTTATGATGATAAATCACATTTTTTAAAAATAAGATTGTTAATTGAAGAAAATACATTTTAAGTCAAATTTATCAAAACACACACACACACACACACTATAGAAACATATAAAATTACACACACAAAAATTTTTTTACAATGCTTAAAAAGACACTAGTCATTAAAGAAGTGGGATCCCAATTTATTTGACAAAGAAAAAAAAAATAATTAAATATACAATTTTCAGCTTACCTTTGAAAAAAACACTCCTTGAATGGGAACAAGATTTGGAGATTGAATGCTGTAAAAAGATTTTGCTTGATGAAGAAATTCTTCTTTTCCAACTGGTGCATTGTCACCAATTAAATATTCCTGCAAAAGAAAATTATAACAAATGTAGATTTTATCAAAGCTTAAACTGAGAAATGACAGTGATTACTGGGCTAATATTTTCTACTTTGTGTAAATGCAAATACAACAGGGGATTTAAGGGTTTTCAGTCTGAGAATAGGAGATGAAAATAGAATTGCATAGATCGAGAAAAATAATATGAAAATTTGAGAAATTTCTTTGATGCTTATTTAACAAGTTAAATAATTCAAGTTATTTGCTTGCCAAAAAAAAAAAAAAAAAAATAAAAATAACAAAAAAAGCCTAAGAGACGAGGGAAAGAAAGATAGGACAGGCGAGGGAAAGAAAGATAGGACAGGCGAGGGAAAGAAAAGATGGGAAGGTGAGGGAAAGAAAGATGGGACAGGCGAGGGAAAGAAAGATAGGACAGGCGAGGGAAAAGAAAGATGGGACAGGCGAGGGAAAGAAAGATAGGACAGGCGAGGAAAAGAAAGATGGGACAGGCGAGGGAAAGAAAGGGAGGGGAAAGAAAGATAGGACAGGCGAGGGAAAGAAAGATAGGACAGGCGAGGGAAAGAAAGATAGGACAGGCGAGGGAAAGAAAGATAGGACAGGCGAGGGAAAGAAAGATAGGACAGGCGAGGGAAAGAAAGATAGGACAGGCGAGGGAAAGAAAGATAGGATTATATGAGGGAAAGAAAGATAGGACAGGCGAGGGAAAGAAAGAGGAAAGGAAAGATGGGACAGGCGAGGAAAGAAAGATAGGACAGGCAAAAAAGGGGAGACAAGGAAAAAAAAGAAGTGGCAACATGGAAGGGAAAAAAAAAAAAAAAAAAAAAATTAGAGATTAAGTGAGTGAAGCAACTTACCTGAATAAGAATGTCTTTAGAGTTAAAGTGTGACTGGTAGATTCCTGGGGCTATTTGCTTGTCTAGGCTGTAATGGTCAGGTTCTCGGCCAACTTTCACCATTCCATTGTAACTCTGTCAACAGAAGAGATAAAGAGAATATAGTTATATTGGTGTCAAGTTCGCAACCCCAATGAGAGAAATAATGACATCAAATTTTAATTTAATTTCTTTTTTAGACAAATATTTTGCTCCAATCGAGAATTAATTTTAATATGTATAGCGAATTAAGAATTTACTTGAGTTTGATACTATACCATGGAGTCAATATGAATAATGAAAAAAAAATTTTTTTTTTTGTCATTTCACTGCAAGCAAGGCAATAATGCCACTAAGATGCAAGAGATTATTTGGAGGGGAAGAGAATGTGAAGACTTAAGATAGAGATTGACATTGCCACCTACACTCTTCAAAAATATAAATGCAAAGAAGCAAGAAACTGGAAGAGAGTTCCACCTGCAAGAAGTGCGAGAAAATAAACTATTATAATAGAAGTTACGGTTACCTCTAGCTATTTCAACAGTAAAATGGTGAGACCTAATTGCAAATCTAGTAGTGTGCTTAAATTCATACAGTTGAGGTACAAAGGAGGAGAGATCATCAGAACAATTATTATTAAAACAATTTTTTTTTTTTTTTTTTTAGAAAATACAGAAGCCATGTCATAGCTGGGAGAAAGTGGCTAATGCCAAGATGCCAGGTCAGGACTGCTAATATTATCAATTCTTTGGATTTTGTCAAGAATCTTGGAGATGCATAACAGGAACACCAGACCATATATGGCAGCAATATTCAATGCACAGACAATTGGTAGATTTATAAATGTGCAAGATTGATTCTGGATTCTGGCAAGAAAAATTGTCTGGCCCAACACAGTGAAACAACTTTCTTAGCAGCAATAGCAAGAGATTCAATATGATTTTTCCATTTAATATCAGCAGACATGTTAGGCAGAGAAGGCGTTAGGAGTCACTCTCCTGGAGATTAGCATCAGCCATGCTGGTGGAAGGCAAAAAAAGTTTCTCTAAGATAATTAAAAGAGAGCAGTTTCATTTTGGAAGTGTTAAACTTACCAAACCATTTCTTGCTCCAGTTAACATCAGATTGTAGATCATTTTTGGGCTCAGCTATGAAGTTGACTTTGTCAAACCAATCAGGCTTACCATTAAGACAGGATTAAGTAGTTGTGTCACCAGTATAGATACAGAGTTGAGAACTGATGACATAAGGAAGGTCATTGATGAAAACTATGACAGAGCCCTGGATTACACATGCATTAATGTAAATAGATCTAGAAGAGTGGCCATCCAAAACAACTTTCATGTCACGATTTGATTGAACCAGCTCAAATATTTGTCCAGAAATACCATAACCTTTCAATTTAGGAAGGAGACCAGTATACTAAACATTGTCAAATGCCTTTGCAATATCCAAAGCAACAGCCAGAGTTTCACCATTCTTATTGAAAGCTTGATAGTTTCTTTCAGTAATAATTATTAGTACATCAGTAGTTGAGTTAGAGAAAAGAAAGCCATATTGCTCGTCTGAAAGATGACTGGGGGGGATACTTGACTCTCCAATCTTCATGATTACCCATCACAACTGGTAGGTTTTCCAGTTAGCTTATGGTGTATTCACATATCTGATGAAGGTGTTTCGAGTGAATGACCAGTGTTGGTGCGTCCAGGTTTTAGTGCACATAACAGAACATCACTGCTAAGCATGTCTTTACTACTCCAGAAATGCCCCATAAAATTTGTTCTCGCTCAAATGAATTGAAAGATGGAAAGTAAATGGCTTTAGTCTAGTATACATGTGGAAGGATGGAGGAAGGAATGAAGTAAGTAATGAAGACAGCTTTTTCCTTAAAACTGCCAATAGGATGTTTTTCTGACTGCTACAATCTTAGCCTTTTCAAGAATAGTACTGTTACCTTTTGCTGCACTCATTATCTCTTATGTTCACAATATAATTCAGTAATCCTCTACCTTGAGTAGCTCTTAGGCCTTTTACTGGGTGAACATTAATGTTAACAAAAAAAAAAAAAGACAAAAAAAGGTGGGTGGGGTGTAGATTCCCAGACTGTTGACAACTTGTCCATTGCAGCCCAAGCTTGTTTCATGGAAGAGATGTTCCCAAGATAGGTAAACTGATTGACCATCTTTAATGGCTTGCCTAACACAGGAGATAACCGATATGTCCTGGAAAGGGATATATTTGATCAAAGTAGCTAAGTGGGTTTGGCTACCATAATCAAGTAGTACATGGTAGCAGTAATCGACTGGTACTCGTCGTAGTTGCAGGTAATAGGTATAGATCAATAGAATAGCCGATGGCGTAGTCCAATGGGTATCGCCACAGACTTAAACTCTGTCATACCTACACATCCGTCTGTATTTATGACGGACACCAGCCAATCATATTCCAGTGAGGGGGAACACAGGTGTATGCATATTCCATTATATCAATAACAAATATGCTGAAATATTTAAATGAAGCATCAAAAATCATTTGCACCAAATAGTTGCTTTGATGGGTGGCTTTTATATAAGTAGAAACTTACTGTTCTGTTGGTCGATATTTTACAATGCAAAACACAAGATATAAAGTAAAATGAACACTCAATAACCATATAAAGAAAATAACATCTTTATAAAAAGAAAAAAATGCAAAGTATGTGTGTGTGTATATATATATATATATATATATATATATATATATATATGTGTGTGAAAAATATATAGAAAATAGGAAAGAACTCATTAGGTAAATAATCCAAAGTTCTTTAGTATTTTTGTTATTATTTTTAAAAAATGGTGCTCGATACAAAAGTAGAGCATAAATATAATTATTTATTTAAAAATACGATTCCAACACGCGTTCTTATGTTTCAAAACAAGAGCCGAAAATTTCAATATAATTATTTGAATTAAATTGAATTAAAGTAAGCTGTTCCATCTTCAAGTGAAATTTTTTTTGGAATAACTTATTTCTGAAATTTACGTTTTAATAGCATATTCATTATTGAAATCAAAATTTCTATGGTAACGGCTAGAGCAATTGTTTAAATAAACAGGGGTGTAAGGTGTTAATAATTTGTATCAGTATAAAGTTACATTCACAGATGTCAAGTCAGGGTAAGGTTGGGGTGTCTAAATTTAAAACGGAAGATGATTTTGCCTAGTCTGGTTTACGTGTCTATGGAGATTTATTTATTTTTTATTTTATTTTTTCTGAAAGGGTTTTGTGTATATAAAAACTGCCGTAACATTTTTTTTTTGACGACTTCATAAAGGGTTATCTTTTTTTGTAGGGCATTTAAACTATTTATTAGGACTATGGATTTGAAAAATTATTGTTTGTTTGTATGCTAATTATTCAATGCAAAAATTTGATGATGTCGGCAAAAAACCATTAACTCATGTCTATTGTTTAATAGATTTTTATTATTTAGAAACTTAATGTGTAGTTTTTCATGTAGGCATAAAGGGCATGGGTCATCCCATGTTTTACAAGTTCTAGTTTTATATATATATATATATATATATATGAGAGAGAGGAAAAGAATCAAATGAAGAATTCCACCAAGTAATGTTTTCAATTAGATGAAATGGGGTTGGCACAGAACACTGATTTTTAACATTCAAAATGAATCAACGCTGAGCAAATGTTATTTTGGAAGATTCCTTTTTATTTTTCTGAGGTATTAATATCATTCAATTAATTGAATTACTAATTAATTACTAATTATAATTGCAATTAGAATGTGATTTAAACTTTCAAGTATTTTTTTTCTCTCTCAAGGGTCAGAAATTTGGACAAATCTTTTAAAAGCATAAGCAAGAGATTTCTTTTGTTGCTTGTATTCTAAACTGATGACAGTATACGTTCTAGTTAGGTTAATGGTTCACCAAATTAGCATTACCGACCATTAACCTAGCACTGATGTATACCCCTGGGGATGAGAGCAAATATATAATTAAGGCTCACCAAATAACTGTTCAATCCTAGTTCAGAGTTTTGCAGCATTAACTCTGGAAAGTGTTGTTCAGCTTCTCTGGCAATTTGAGCCTGAAAAGAAACATTGAAAGCGGCAGAGGTCAAAAACAAATTGGTGTCAAAAGAGGCCAGGTGGGAGTGGGTATTATGAGCTAATAAAACCCTCTCCCACTCTCAAAAAAGCAAAATAAATAGATAAATAAAAGGAAGCAGTTACACGACAGAAATATTTTTACGTTAATAAGCAAACTTTCATTTTTGTTGCTTTTTATCCAAACATAACTAGAGTAGTGAAATTAAATTGTTATTCACCCATTAACTGCAGATGACAGGAATTTTCATCATTGTAGTTCTCACAGGAAAATAATAGGTTAAAAATTAGAAGAAAGAGAATGACAAGTCAAGAACCCTGCCTGACCAGGAAAGTTTTCTGTGGCTGAAAGAATAAGGACTTATCTAGATAATTTTTTTTTTTTTTTTATGTAAGGGATTTGAACTGCTTCATTTTGATTTCATGCTGTTTATTTTAACACCACAAAAAAGTTTATTTTTCTCAGCTAATTACATTAAAAAACAAATTTATCAGGTAAGCTTCCATTACCATCAGAATTACAAGCAATGTTTTTGCAAAGAAAAGGTGCATATAAACTTCAGTGATCATTTACAAAGACTAACTTACCATATGTTCATCTTCTTCAGTAATTGCTTGATGCAAATTGGCCCTGACTTCTTCAAGTTCTTTTTTCATTTTCACATGGTGATCATTGTAACCTTCATTCTGCAAAATTAATTACTCGTTATTGTCACTTAGTGGATATATTTAAACAGCAGAACTTTTCTGATGACAAGTTTGGCTCTATTAAAATTTACAATTTCTGTCAGAGTTTCTGGGATGAAGAGTTATTTACACTACATATATATATATATATATATATATATATATAAAAACTATTGTCCTCATCTTTATCTTGTTATCACAACGTTTCAGCTGTTGTGCCCTCTGGCCTTCCTCAGGTATATATCGATCTGGGTAACCGACAGGGAATATGGAACTGAATCTTTTATTTAATCTACGGGAGTAAACTGTTCATGTTCAATTGCTCATGTTTAGGATATCATTAAAACTCCGAATTCCCTACAACAAATCCTACAGGACAATGACAGTGGATTAATGCATTGGTTTGTGTATTTGGTGACAGTGATTGTGAGTTCACTCCCTGGGCATGAGCAGTGTGTACTTGCACTCTGTGGAAATGGGCAAGCAATAACTGAGCAATACAAAATAAAAATAACAAATAGACAAGATATTCCCAAACATGAGCAGTGGAACAAATGGATACATACAGTGAAACCTGTCAAACTTACGCACCCTCAAAGTTACGTTCTGTCAAACTTACTTGAATTTTGAGGGCCTTGTTGGATTTACTAAAAAAAAAAAACCTGTCAGACTTACCATTTGTCAAACTTACGCAAAATTTTGAAAAAAAAAAAAAAAAATCATGCCATTCTTCAAAAAAAGCAACTTATGATCGAAAAAAGCCAACTATACTGACAATTGAACAAAAAAGCAGAGATAGTGGACTATAAAAACAAACATCCGGGGAAAAGGCGGCTAAAAATCGCCATTTTTTCTCTAAAAAGTTCAAAGTTAAGATTGACGGAAGATCTGTCCAAAATTATATAAATTCTAAGAGTAAAATCAAAAGTGGAGTCATACATTGCCAAAAAAATAAATCGAACAGGCCCGTAAAATATAAAATTATTGATGACGCTTTATCAAGTTATATTTCGCAAACAAACTCAAAAGGGGGTTTTATTGATGATTTTACAATAATCACACAATCAAAGAAGATTGCACAAGATAATGGAATAGAAGATTTTAAAGCCTCAAATGGTTGGCTCCAGAGCTTTAAAAAAAAGACACAAACTGTCTCTCAAACCTCTACATGGAGAAACATACTGTGAGGAACCAAAAAACCACGATGAATTTCTTAGCCAAATTGATGAAAAAATCCGCGTCTATGGTGAGGAAAATTTCTTTAATATGGATGAAACCGGATTATTTTATAAATTGATTCCATCTAAATCAGTTTGCCAAACAGCACGAAGAGGATATAAAAATTTTAAAGATAGAGTTTCCATAATGCTCTGTTCGAATATGACAGGATCCATCAAACATAAGCCGATGCTGATCGGTAAAACTAAGAAACCAAGATGTTTTAAAAATTTTACAGGTATAAACTTAGTAAATTATATTTGTTCAAAAAGAGCGTGGATGACGTCTATTTTTTCTGATTGGCTAGATCAATGGAATCAAGATCTTGTTCGTTTCAACAGAAAAGTTGTACTTTTGCTTGACAATTGTCCAGCTCATAAATCTCTAAAAAATTATTCTAATATTGAGCTTGTTTTTCTCCCAAGAAATAGTACTAGTGACTTACAACCTATGGATATAGGAATTATTAAGTCCTTCAAAAGCCATTTCAATCGAATTAAATTTGATAAAATCCTGGAAATGATTGAAGGTGATGATAGTGTTTATGAGAGCTATAAAAAAATAAATCTTGGTAATGTGATCACTTTTACGGATATGGCATGGGAAAAAGCGAGTAAAAAAGTGATAAAGAATTGTTTTAAACACCTCAAGGGAGAAAAAAATACTGATACCGATTTTAATGTCAAAATCGACGAAGAACACCTCGAAGACTACTCAAATTACGCAAGGTTTATCGAAAAAGGGAAAATATTAGATGGGTTAGATTTAAAGGGCTTCAATTCAATAGAGTACACTGAAAACGATGAAATTGAAGAGGAAGTTTGAGATAGAAAACGCGAAAAATATCGACAATATTGGGAGTAATGAGTCAGAAGAAGAGATTAAAGAAACTAAAACACCTATAATAACACACAACAAGTCTTTAAAGAAATTTTTTTTTTAAATAAATGGATCAGTCTAATTGATTGATTAGTTTGCTATGACTCATCAACCTATTGAAGATTATTTAAAGCCAGAAAATATTTTTTAGATTGTAAGAATTTTTTTTTTGTAGATAATAGTTTAGTGATACAAGTCTTACTAATTAACCGATAACGAAAAAGAGAAGAGGTGGATTTATGCCTTTCCCAAGGGTATTTGTGCATAAGTTCATATAATGAACCAACAAAAATTGGGACTTAGCTCTCTGATTAATAATTTGGAGCCATTATCCATTGCAACATCCAAGCATACAGTACCTGGTCTTCCCAAGTGGTCACCCATCTAGGTACTGACCAGGTTCAATGTTGCTTAACTTCTGTGATTATATGGGAGTTGGTGTTTCAACACTATATGTCCGTAAGCAATCTAAGTAGTGTCATTTTACTTTTATGCATGGTTAAAAGACACCGTTCCACAAACAAATGTATATAGCAAAGTAAATCACCATTAAATAAAAATTTATCTTTAGCAGTTTCAAGCTGATTTCAAAATTAACCACAACTGAGAGGTTATAATTATTTTTGCTTGCTTTGGTAAAAGAAGCAAAATAAACAACCTCTGTCAACATTTAGAGGTTTTACAAGTTTGACCAAACACTTTATAACCACACTTCACTACACAAATTTATATATAGGATGTTCCAATAACTTGGACTGATTTTAAATGTGAATTATGTTTAAGTGTCTAATGATTTCTTTTTCTTTCAGATTTAACAACTTAAGTCTTTGGCAGTTTCAACCATGGAAAGATCAACAAACAACGTGTTCCGATTATGAAAATGGATGTTCAAATTTATAAATATACAGCCCGATGTTTCTGCTAGCAAAAAAATGCACACTAAACAGTGACCTTTTGCGGATGCTGAGGCTTTCAACAATCTTCCTTGGATTTTCAACAGCCCAAATGCGACAATTCTGCTTATTAATGAATCTACAAGATGAAAATGGGCTTCATCACTAAATCTTCATCAGCTTGTCTTTCCTTGTGCACCCAATTGACGAATGTACAGCACTCCAAATGGTCAGCAGGTTTCAGTTCTTGTGTCGATTGAATTTTGTAAGCCTGTAGAGACATCTTTTGTCAAAATTTGATGTAACGTTGTTGAGAGGTTCAATTCCTGCGTGCAATGATGAATAGAGATGTCTGGATTTTCGGCCAAATAGCAATGTTTTCATCTGAATGGCGTAAATGAGCACACAATGGTGTTTTCACATCTGCCACTGACCCAGTTTGTTTGAATTTTTCTGATTGTACTCTCAGTTGGTCAATTATGCTGACCAATAAAAAAAATAAAATAATTGCAAAGTGCACAAAATGCATTTCCATTTTAACGTCCATTTTTGTAATAGGGTTCGATAACTTTTAACACGTTTGATTGTTAATCTTTCCATGGTTGAAATTGCCAAAGTTGTTAAATCTGAAAAAAAAAAAAATCATTAGATGCTTAAACTTAATTCACATTTAAAATCGGTCCAAGTTATTGGAACACTATAAAAGACAACTAAAAATAGTACAACATTTACAAATGGGAAGATCCATCAGTTAAAAAAAAAAAAAAAAAAAAAAAGAAAAGAAAAAGTTAACAATTGATCAGAAATAAATGAGTTACCTCCTCAATATCTTGGAGGTCAGCTAGTTTGTGCCGAAGTTGAGATTTAAGCCCTCGTACTTTTTTCTTTGACTCTTGCAGCTCATTCAGTTGGGGTTTCTGGTGTAACCATGGATATAAATCATCCTTCAGCTTCTTGAATTCTGTGATGTATCGATGGAAGTCTGAAAAGGTTTTCTGTTCACTATCAAGTTCTCTCTTTACTGCATGCAGGATGGAAGTAACAAAAGTTGCATTTCGACTGTGTTCCTGCATTTTTTATTTTTTTGTAAAAGAGAGAGTGAAAAAAAAAAATTAAGAAGAAAGAGAAAGAAATGAGGAAAAATAAAGTCTGGAGAGGAAAGAAAGCGTGAATGAAAAAAACATACAGTTTCTTATTGTAGCTACCATTTTATCAACCTAAATCTCTGTAGGGTTCATTTCTTTTATTTAAATTTATATTAGAAATGGAAGTTAAAAGACTTATAATTAAATAATGAAAACTCCTACAAAATTGGTACTGGAAAAACATGGAAATAGAAAAGTTTCAAAGATCTCTCTCTCATCAGCACCACTCATGTCCAAGTTTGAATCTGACATCACTAAGTGTACCCAAGTTGGAAATGGAACTGTCTCAGTCACTGGTTGCATGGTAGGGCAGGAGATGGTCTTAGCTAGATCTTCTGGGCCATGCATTGCTTTCTTTTTACTTCCTGTTCAGTCTTTCTCTTCTCAAAAGTTGAACAACCGAATTGAATTATTCTTTGTCGGGATGGATGTTCAGCAGTTTCCATTTCCCAGGTATTAGAGTCAAATCTGGCTTGAAGAAGCGAAGACTTTAGTTGGTCTTTGAATCTGTGTTTTGGGGCACAGTCTTCAAGAGGCCATTTGGGTGACATGTCTTGAGCAGGAGGATGGCAGCTTCAATGCTCAGCTTGGCTCGTTGAAATCATTCAAACCTTTTCATGTCCTTTCGATATAGGGTCCATGTCTCACAAGTGTAGAACAAGGTGGAGATGACAATGGTGTGGAACATCATGAGTTTTGTTTGGAAGAAGAGCCCATAGTTGCTGAATATGTGCTTGCTTAAACTCCTGAAGACACAATGAGTGGAGTTGATGCAGTGGTCAATGTCTCTTTTGCATGTTCCAGATTGTGAGAGAGAGAGTTGCAGAGGTATTAAAATCTGTTGAAAACTTTAAAAGATAAGCTGCTTATACTAATAGTAATTTCTGGTGTTTCTTGTCCAGGAATAGGCTGTCCAAGTATCTTTGTTTCGTCTATAGTGACTTCCATTCCAATCAATGTTAGGATTTGGAGATGAGAGTTGAACAGCGCTGGGGGTTGGCAACAGAGGAGGCGGGGTGGCATTGTCATCTGTGTACTGGAGCTCTTCGATGTTCAAGTTTTGAATCTCAGGTACATGAGGTGATAGTGGATGTCCATATGAGGAGATCTCATTGTCACCACCAGGTAGATGGAGAAAAAAGGTTGGAACCAAAACAAAATCTTGTTTCAGGCCTCAGAAAGTGCATTCTGCTTGCGGACACATGCTGCCATAGAGTGTGATAATGAAGTCAATGAAGTGATTGAGACAACCAAAGTGATAGAGTTAAGACCACATCGCTGGTCATGGAAAGTTGCCTTGCACAGAAGATAATGTCACTCATTCTAGGTGAATGCTGAAAACCACATTGAGATTTTGGGAGGACCTTTTCTGCAACATCCAGCAAATGATACATAAGAATTCTGGCAAAAGTTTTGCTGGCATTGCAGTGCAGAGAGGTACTGTGGTAGTTGCTGCACACTAACTGGTTTCCTTCCTTGAAGATGATAATGATGTTTACATTTTTGATGTCATCTGAGATGGTTTTAGTGTCTCACATTGATAGCATCAGGTAGAACAGCTTGGTTCTTAAACCGTATGCCCATGGTGGGGTGATATCTTGTCTGGACTGGGAGCTCTTCCAGATTTCATTCATTTATTTGATGGACTGGGGGGAAGCATGTACAGAAATACACACACACAAAAATAAAGAAAAAGATACCCACACAATATGTTGAAAAGTTAATTACTTCACACCCCTAAGAGCTTTCCAACATAATCCCCTTTTTGTCAAATGCATTTAGTATTGAATATGAAGAATTATTCTGACACATTGATCTACTCAGACCAGTATCATTGATCTACTCAGACCAGTATCTTCATTTCATTAAATCCCATTGCAAGGGTTTCGGCAAAGTTTAGTTAAAAATTTCTCTGGTTATCACTAACTACAACACAAACTTGACAGCAAGATGGTGCAACAGCTGAAAGTTTGTGGTGAAATTCACAAGTCAAAATAAATCAGTGTATAATTAAATCAGAGATCGTGAACATTATACAATGAAAGTTTCAAATCAAAATTCAGCTAATAATTGTGCTGATAACAATAGTAAGTAACAGAATTAACACAAAGCCATTAACAAAGTTGTAAATACAAAATTGTAAATACAGAGTTGAGCCAACTTCAATGTGCCATGTTCCTTCAGGATGTTGGCAATCATGGCTCTCCTGGGAGTATCAAATTTTCCAAGCCCTTTTTCCTCATTATGTACCCTAGAAATTTCAACTGCCTCTTCCTGATGTTAAGTATCCCTTTCGTTGACATTGTCTCTAGAACTTTATCATTGCTCACATGTTTGGTTTATGCTATTCTCCGTATCCTTGTGTAGAACCACATTTCTGCTGCTTCAAGTCTTCTCTATCTGAGGAAATTGTCCAACATTCACTGCCATATAGGAGGACCGTTACTATGTAACAGTTCAACATTCTTTTCTAACAATATTTTTGTTTATTAATACTTTGCTCAGCTTTTGAGAGGCAACTTTTGATAATCCCAATTGCGGAAAGGATAATGTTTTGAGAGAAAGTGGCAAGTGTGAGAGTAATTAATTATGAAAGGCGCTGGAGATAATTGGGATGGGTCAACTCAGCCAGGATGGTGGTCAAAGGACCCAGAGCTGAGAAAAGTAGTGTCTTAAATTTATAAAACAAGAAAGTGCATAAGTTGTAATTTTACAAATAGGTAATCTTGACAATTGATGGTCATTAAAAATGCTAGTTATCAAAACACAATAGAAAGCAGACAGGTGTTAAAAAAGTGTTGATTCAAAATATGGAATGGAGGATCAGAACAGATACGATCTGTCGTCCAGAAGTGGAAAATGGAGATTCTTCGTAAACAGGCATAGAATTTAAGGAACGGCCGATCAAGAAGGGCCATGTGTTAAATACCAGAATTTTAAGGTGAAAAATAATTGTTGTAAACCAAAGAACCGATATAAAGGTGAACTTTGTTATTAAATGTGCATCATATTTTGTTTTATTTTTCATTGATGTGCACCTTCACCCTGGTGGATTGACTTAGTACCAAAGATTCCAACAGCAACTGGGCCTGACCATCATATAATTAAAAATTTACAAAGTGGGATAGGACAAAAGTTGGGACTAAACAGGTTAACTTACTGCGGCATCATACATCCTAGATGAGCCCAAGGGCTTGGGCATTACATATTTGGATCAAAGGACAAAGGATCCAGAAGGTAGTACGTTATTAGTCCCATGACCGAAAGTGGCTGAAGGTACCACATTATTGGTAATCATGACCAAGGATCAGCCTCCAGAAGGTATCAAAGCTACTGAATAAATTGTAATCAAGATACAGAGTTATTTCCCCTTTTATCCTGATTCTGCATAGGAAAATGGAAGTAGTGGAAATAATTAGTTAATTATATTTTGTCATTTTTATTGTTGCTTTTTAATCAGAAAGTAGCTTCAATTTATCATACTAAATACACAGACTACCATTAAGATGAAATTATAAAAAGTTATATACCACTCACCAAATCGGTCACTGCAATTTCTTGTTGCAAAACCTGTGTGAACTGTTTCAGCCAATATTGCAGATCCGGGATTTCCTCGCTTGGTGCTAAGGAACAAGTGAGCTTCATTTGCTTAAAAATAAAATAAAATTTTGATTAAAAAAAAAAAAAAAAAAACAGCAAAAAAAACTCATCAATTAAGGCTACAATAAAATACCTTCCTTTACTTTGTATCAAAGTTTACAAACTGAGACAAAAAGCTGACAAGGTATCAACATGCTCACAAGCATTCAAAGCTACATGCAGAGGGTCAACTTATCCCCATTCATTTTGTATTCCTTTGGTAAGGAGGAAATCCCACTTGAACATCACCTTCCCCATAACCGTTACTTTGTGGAAGAGATTCCAGAGAGGATCACTGATCACCAAAATCTTAACCTCTTTAACCTTTAAAACTTGACAGGTGTACATGGCCACCAGTGATACTCTATTTTCCAAGCAGACATGTTTGCCAAGTGACAGACCTTAGTTTCAAAGGAAAATACATTGGTTAAAATATCTATTTTCTATGACAACTGACTCAAAAATCTTGACTTAAATCCCATCAAAAATTTATGGCAGAAGACAAAGAACGACTCCAAAAAGACCTGAAGAATATAAACTGAGCTAAAGTACATTGATTTATGCCATCACATTGAAAGAACATTCTCTGCAGATTGATAGAAGTTATAAAGCAAAGATACCATATTGATTGTTAATCACTCTATACTGTAAAAATTCCAGTGGATGTGTGGCCAAGTGATTAGAACATTAGCATTCTGACCATGATACCCAGGTTCAAATATCATCTGAGCCAACATGTTAATGAAGTGATTTCTTGATAATATTGGCCTGGGGAGAGGATTCCAGTGTGCAACACCATTGGAAATGTCTGAAAACCATACTGTAGAATGACCCAAAGCCTTGTGGGTGAAATTGGATAGACAGAATTGTTGATGGTTGTGCTAACATGAAGTCACAAGTCATTGTGACAAGGTGTAATGGCCTTGTTCAACTACTGTGAATGTTGAAGAAACAAATATGTCTGAGCAGGCATCTGCAATAGGGATTACCTAGCCATCCTAGCAGATGAACATACTCGATGCAAGTAACCAGCCATTATCACAGAAGTTAAAGATTTTTAACCATTCAATTTTTTTCTTCTAATTTGCTTGTTATGAATATGTTGGTTTGAAAATTGTTTTGATGTTCTTTAAACACTTGGGTATATACTGACCAAAATTTATGCAGACATTGATTTTATTGAAAAATTTAATCAGCCTTTTTAAAAAAGGGGCTGACAATGTGCTGTGTATTAGCTTTGCCAAGAAATCATTAGAGGGCAATGTTAAGCAGCAATAAAAACAGGAACTTCATTTACTCTATGACACTGTAGTCCTATTTAACTGATAAAATCTTCCAAAGCATATTGGTGAATTGAAATGTAACCTGACAAGCCTGTAAATTGCTAGCAGAACAAGGAGTCAGAAGAATTATATATAAAAAAAAAAAAATATTGCTAAGAACTAGAAAGAATAGGAAGTTGTGGAGAGCCATGATATTCAACCTACTGAAAGGAAATGATAAATAGAGAAAGAAGGTCTCTAAAAAGTGTCTATATATTTTTTATTTTTAATATTGGTTTGTTTTCACAATTTTCATATACCTTCCTATTCTTAGGGATTCTGCTCTCCAACTATAAATTCAATCAAATTACAACATCAAAAATGAGGCCCAGCCAGGTTAGTAAGCTTGTGACTTTACTTCAATTTTTTCTTAACCTGATTTAATTTCTGATAATAATGTTACATATATTCTTAAAATACATTTATAAAATGCAATGGTAGAGGTCATCAGTGATGTTACCCTGGCTTCATTATGGATTTCAGGTATTGCCACATCAGATCCGTTCTGCCAGAAACCCCGACCTGTTAACAGACCATGACGTGATTTTAATAACAGAAAATGTAATAATAATCAGGAAGTAGATCTTTCTTTTATAATGGCAATGAGACTTGCATTAGCCAACCAGAATTTGCTTGTCTGCTGTCTAGAGGTAAAAGAACAAAAGCACAACATATGCACGCTTTCTAGTTTTGCCTCTCCTGCACATACGCCAATGTTATGGTAAGTAATTTTCTTTTACATTTATTTGAAAAAAAAAAAAAACATTTCATTCAATGAACAGACTTATTCATTCTTTAATCCACAGATCATTCCTTTTCAGCCAAATCCACTGGGATCCTTCTTCAGCTGCATCTGAACTTTCTTTCAGTACTTTCTTTTTTGCAGTTCTCACAATTTATATATATATATATATATATATATATATATATATTCATATATATATAGAGGAAGGTGTATTCAACAAAAATCGAAAATTGCCTTTTTTTTCATTGCAAATTATTCCTTATATCATATCCAAGTATTTTACAAAAAAATTAGAGCCAATTACACAATATTTCAAGTTTAATTTAGGTTTATAGTTCAGAACCATGCAATGTGATGAGGGAACAAATTGTAGATTTGTCTGTGGAATATCATTACATTGTTGTTACATAATTATAGTGAAATCACTAAGGTTTTTCTTGTTAGAAGCATTTTATTTTTGGTCATATATTAATTTAAAATATTCTTTTTTACAGGCTTTATTTTTTAAATGGAATAAGATCATTCTAAATTTCAGAAAATGACTGGAAAAAAGTGATCTAAAGGCAACAATGGAATAAAGAGGTAACGAAGCATAAATGAAATAGCTCCAGTTTGTTCAACTTGGGAAACTTAGCATTGCAGCCAAAGTATTCTAAAATGCTGCCAATAACAAAGGAGAAAATGAAAAATACCTAACAACAAATCAAATACAGTATCAAAATTTATATTATTTTTATGTATTTTTTATTTAATTAAATATATAATTGTCAACAATGTTCCTATAAAACTTGATATTTCCTGTAATAAATTCTTAATATTATTGTTATTATTTTACTTAATTGTAAGGTAGTCCTACATTTACAATACGGCTAACCATGAAAAGAAATGTTGATCAAAACCTTTAAGCATGTATTGCCACAAAATTATCAAATGGTGAATACACCCCTCCTCTGCTGAACAACTGATAAAATCTTACAAAGCATATTGATGATTGAAAGACCAATTGAGAAATCTGAGTACATAAAGTTAATCCAAACTTTATTTTGCAGTGACAGCAAAGACATTGTTACTTATTAACAAGACTGTCTTTTTTGTGTGTGTATATATATATATATATATATATATATATATATATACAACACACATGAGTGAGATAAATCATAATTAAAACATTTTCAGTCTAAAACATTGTTTATTTCTGCAGTCTTTGTGTAACATTGAGTCACAACCACATTTAGTGATGATACCAGTTTCAGTAATAAGTAAATTTTTATGGAGTCTAGGGTGCTAGACTAATGACCAAAGTAGAATGTATTACAGGACAAAAGGGATCTAACTGTCCCTACCATTTCATCTGAAAGGTGGATAGAGAAAGAAATGGATTTAGGTCTTTTCTAAGAGCATTAGTATGAGGTGAATGTAGACTGACTTTACCCACATTTGAACTCCCATTCTTCATGATCTTAACTATCAGGTCTCTTGCAATTATAAACAGAAATAAATTTAATGAAATTCAAAGAAGTTAAATAAAGAAAAATGGTAGCACTTACCTCATCAATAAGCAGTAAAGATTTACTTAAACCTTTCCGACTGGAATCGGTCTCTGTTCGAACTTTTTGAAATTCGATCTCTTTTTTCCTCTGAAAATTAGAGAAAATGCTTGCATATTATAATGAAGAATTAAGTTTTGGTAATTAAAATAAATATTATTTTCTTCCAGTTTAAAGTATACTAGCAGTAGAGCCCGGCATTGCCTGGGGATGTAACAGTAAGAGATAGATCAAGCATCGACCATCATAAAGACTGAAAGATAAAATTGACAAAGATTATTGTTTAAGGTTGATGGACATGCATGTCTTAATTAGTTTTTTGTTTTTTTTTACGAATTGGTCAAACCCAAACTCAAACAAAAACATTGTTTTTAATTGTTATGAGTCTGCCGATTGAAGAGAATTTTATTATAAACAATTGTCTTGTAAATGGAATTTTTAAAGCATTCTGAATGTAAGAATAAAGAAAAAAGTGTGCAAGACAATAAGAAACACTACCCAAAAAAAAAAAAAAAAAAAAAAAAATGAAGTTTTGTTGAAATCGGTTGAAAAATGTAGGAAATCTGATCCCATAGATAAATAAACACACACAAACAACCTGGGTTTTATAATTATAAATCGATAGGAGTTGTCCCCCTTTTATTCTCAGCGATGCCTCTTAATCGTGTTTTCAAATCGATTTCATGCAAAAACAATTGTGTTTTTCCCATTTTTGGCACTGTCAGAACCACCGCAAGGTATTTTACGTAGTCCTGTGAAGTTTTGTTGAAATCAGTTGAAAAATGTAGGAAATCCGATCCAATATATAAACGAACAGACACACACAACCTGGATTTTATAATAAGTATGATTTGCCTAAATTCCTTAAACCGAAATTAAAACTAATGATTTGCAATATCTTTAGTTTAAAAGCCATAGCAATTAAAAAAAAAAAAAAAACACAGAAAGGAGGAAAAAAGACACACTCATATCTCACGTTATGCTGTGTCAAGTGATGACTAAATTTCCATTTGTTATCACAAATAAACCGATCTAAAGTGGTCTTGTATTACTTAACACTACCAACTAAAAAATTATAGTAACAATATCATTTTCATCTACTAAGTGCAGTTTGTCATAGGCAATCATGGCTCTCCATAACTTCCTGTCCTTTGTAGCTCTTAGTAAGAGATCTTCTGCGTTCTGCCAACTATTTACAAAAGCATGTTAGGCCAGTTATTCGCTGCTTTCTTCTGAACCTTTTACCTTCAATGTCCTATGAGTGTTAAATTTTCTAAGCCCTCTTTCTTCATTATGCACCCTAAAAATTTAAACTGTCTTCCTGGTGCTAAGTATAATGAAATTTTCATGTTTCTTAATACTTTGGTTAACTTTTGGAAAACATCTTTTGTTGTTCCAATCTATCTTTGAATTTCGTCCTCTGTTAAAACACTTCTTAGACTATTTAATTTTTTGTATTTGATATCTAAAAGAATAGATAAATCTTGGGCTCATCAAATAGTTCTTTAGGATGAAAACTCTGAAGTTAGACTGTCTATGGACATTTTTAAGTCTACTATTCATTTGTGTGCTAAATATTGCCATCACATCTGGGCTGGTGCTTCTGCGATACATCTAGAAAATTTTTGGAGAAAAAAAAAAAAAAAAATATCTAAAAGAATCTGCAACATTATTGGTCCTGGCCTGGCATCAATCACATTCTCACTATCGTAATGTAGCTTGCCCGTGTTTTTTTTTTTTTTTTTTTCTATAAATATTTTCACAGTAATTGTTCTGATGATCTTTCCTCTTTGGTACCTTGAATTTAAGTGCAGTACTAGATTGGCAGATAGGTTTCATAATTTCACTGTTAAAAATGCTTACTGCAAGTGTAAGTTCTATGTTAATAGTTTCTTCTTTCACACTTCTCACTTAATGGAGCTTTCTTCCAGATTTCCTTTCAATTACAATTTTTAAATATTTAAATGCAATATTTGTACTGTTATCCTTATCTTCATTGCCATATTCACAACATTTTGGCAAGTCCACTGTGCTCAACGACACATGGCTCAGTAGATAAAAATGTTGGTCAGATCCAGTGACTAGTCCCAAAGAGTTGTGAGTTCAATATCAAAAACATGGAAAGTTGAGTCAAAGGGAAATAAGTGAGACATCTGGAAGAGGTATGGCACGTGGAACTAGAACAATCTACCCTGATGGCGAAATAAAGGGTTTGATTTGAAATTCTGATCACCTGAAGAAGGCCAGAGTGTATAATGGCTGAAATGTTGTGAATATGGCAACAAAGATGAGGATAACAGTGAGTAATGTAAATAATCATAATACCTCATCTCAGAGATCTAGACAGATATTAAATGCAATATGTTGCCATCTTCTATTTCATTGAATCCTGTTCTTTATCATTTCACTCCAAACAAGGCAATAAGGCCACTAAGATGCAAAGGGTTACTAAGTGTTAGAAAATATGGTAAAAAATATATTATTAAGGAGAGAAGACAATAAAAGGATAATAATTAAGACAGAAGATAACGACTGACACTGATCTTCAAACATTTAAGTGGGAGGCAAGAAGCCAGAAGAGAGTTCCACAAGTGAGAAGTGCGATAGAAGAAACTGTTCGCATAGAACTTATGGTTAGCATCTAGCCATTTTGACTGTAAAATGATGAGACCTTGCTGCCAATCTAGTACTGCGCTTAAATTGAAAAGTCAAGGTACCACAGAAGAAAGTTCATTAAAACAATTATGAAAGTATTTATAGAAAAGGCAGAGGGTAGCTACAATACGGCAGTAGGAAAATTGCTGAAACCAAGATGCCAGGACTAATAATGTTGCAGATTCTTTGGATTCGATCAAGTATCGCTAAATACATAGCAGGAGCACCAGACCAGATGTCTATTGTCTCGTTTTTTTTTCACTCAGAGTAACTCCTTACATTTTAGTGGCTTTTTATCACATTGTTTAGGATAAAATGATCTCAAAAAAAAAAAAAAATCCTCAACACCAAGAAGTAATGAAAAGATGTTTTTTTTTAAATGAGGTAGTAGAAATTCAAAACAGAACAAACTTTTTGGTAAACTTTGTATTTGAAGTTTTCGTTTTTTTTTTTTTAATCTTCCATGTGTGTGAAAAATATATGGAAGTTGTAGAATTCCTTCCAAAAAGGGGTATCAAAGCAATCGTTAACATTGCAATGAAAGTGGTTGTGCATTCTCATTGAAGGCTGGCTTCGTAGAACACCAATAGTGTCACTTGACCATGTACGCCAAATACCAGCACATGCAGGTCAAACTCCATATGTTCCATTCTGCAACAAACTGTGTGAATCAACAAGTGGGCTGAACAGTGATTTTAAAACCACACCATCCAAAAAGAAGTACCAACAGGATGGTTTCAATGTTGTACTTTTGGAGTGGCATGAAGGTCACCAGCCAGACTGAAGTCACCTTGGAGAATATCTGTGACAATGAAACCTTTGAAAACACATGTACATTCATTAGTAAGAGTGGGATAATGCCAGTAATAGATTCACCAAAATTCCAGTAATTGGCAAATTTAATACTAGGTCTTGTAGAAAAAAAAAAAAACACCATCATGAAAAGATTCATCATTTCCTTTCATCATAAATGTTAGATTCAATAAATAAAATACATAAATTTCAACAATTAAAAAGATAATTGCATGGTAATGACAAACCCAGAAAAATCTTTTTGGCCACCCCCGCCCCCAACACTCACCTTCCATTCTGTATATGCTGGCAAAAGATCTGCCAGGGGAGGGACAGAGTGGATTGAAAAATGAAGAAAGTTTTTATATTCCATTCCTAATGTGTTAACTACATCCTGAAAAACAAGAAAAAAATCTTATGCTAAATTATGCATACTTAAAGTTTTAATAGGACAATAGAAGAAAGGAATTCTTGGATAAATTAATCTTCTGCTTATCATATGATTATTTCTTTTTGCATTGATTAATAGATTCAATTTTTTTTTTATGAATTACCAACCCTTTGCAGATTATTTAAAGTCAGAAAATATTTTTAGATTGTAAGAATTTTTTTTTTTTTTTTGATAATAATGATTTAGTGATACAAATCTTAGCTGGGGGAAAAGAGATGGACTTATACTTTTCCCAAGGTTATTTACATGTAAGTGAATATAACAAATCCAAGGGGAATTGGAACTCTGCTCTCCGATTAACAATTCTGAGCCATTATCTATTACACCCCCTGCACATCCAAGCTTATAGCACCTGGTATTCTCAAGCGTTGGTCACTTTTGTGATGTTAACAAATACTCGTTGTCACTTCCGTAAGACTTTGTAATTGCAGATACAACTATAGTATGCTGGTGAACAATGCTGGTGTCAGACACCTTCGAATATCACTCACTCAAATAGTAATCTGTATAGTGATTTAAACAGTAATAGAAGATAGAATAGAAATACTGATCACCCAACTTTCTAATTATGTTTCCTCTATGGTCATGTGGTCTACATAATTCAATAATGTTATTGCCTGTGTTTGCTCACTGGGGATCGATGTTCAAACTTAAGTGTCAGCAGTGACACGTTATTCCTATATGAGTCACCCATCCAGGTTGTGATCAGGTTCAACATTGCTTAACTTTGGTGATCATACTGGAACCAGTGTTTCAACATGATGTAGCTGTAAGTCCCTTTCACATTAACAAACAGGTAACAGACTTTTATTTTCCCCAGTAATGAAGACTTAATATTGCCATCTTTCAATAAACCCTATTGCAAAAGTTAGCCTACAAAAATAACCAATAAAAATATGCCTAAATTTAAACAATATTGTAATATATCAAAGAGCAAGTGTAATATTAATAACAAAGTTAAGTGTAATATATCATTTAAACTATTAAGGAGTTAAAAATAAAAGGTAATATACTTTTATCTACATTCTGATACAATAATTACAATTGTATACTATTCAAAATTATTTTTTTTACCTGCATTTGATTTAATTTATCTTCCAGTGGAATGTTAGACAGATCAGCCAAACAAGCAGATAAATTTTCATACAGTTTTAGACGAGTTGTGTCCCGTGTTTCTATCAATTCATCAAGTTCACTCTGGAGGAGAAAAGAAGAAAAATAGAGGGAATTTAAATTTATGAACAAACATTCAATGAGGTTTTAAAGCACCAAGAAATCCAACTTGGTAAACACAGTTCAATTTCAGGTAACAGTTGTTACTTTCCTGCAAACACAGATAATGTCATGAATTTAATCACTTTTAGAGAGAGAGAGAGAGAGTATGAGGGAGTGCGCGACAGACAGAGAGAGTATGAGGGAGTGCGCGACAGACAGAGAGAGTATGAGGGAGTGCGCGACAGACAGAGAGAGTATGAGGGAGCGACAGACAGAGTATGAGGGAGGGCGCGACAGACAGAGAGATGAGGGAGGCGACAGACAGAGAGAGTATGAGGGAGGCGACAGACAGAGAGAGTATGAAGTCTTGGCGACAGACAGAGAGAGAGTATGAGGGAGTGCGCGACAGACAGAGAGAGTATGAGGGAGTGCGCGACAGACAGAGAGAGTATGAGGGTCTTGCGACAGACAGAGAGAGATGAGGGAGTCTTGCGACAGACAGAGAGAAGAGGATGTCTTGGCGACAGACAGAGAGAGTATGCGAGGGAGGGCGACAGACAAGAGAGGGAGTGCTTTCGACAGACAGAGAGAGGTATGAGGGAGTCGCGACAGACAGACAGAGAATGAGGGGAGTGCGACAGACAGAGAGAGTATGAGGGCGACAGACAGAGAGAGAGGAGTCTTGGGACAGACAGAGAGAGTATGAGGGAGTCTTGTGACAGACAGAGAGGCGAGGGGAGCTTGGACAGACAGACAGAGAGAGTATGAGGGAGGAGGCAGAGAGAGAGAGTATGAGGGCGCGACAGACAGAGAGAGTATGAGGGACTGGCGAGAGAGAGAGAGTATGAGAGAGAGACAGAGAGAGTATGAGGAGGCTTGGCGAGAGAGAGAACATACATTTCCATTGTTATGACTAAGTACATGTGAATAATTCAATTTTTAAGAAAGAAAAAAAGAATATATGACAATTGCAGTTGTATATTTTGCAAATATATCTTAAAAAAAAAAAAAAAAAAAAAAAAAAATGGAGTACAACAACAACTTAGAGACAAAGTAACTTTTTTTTTATCATAAATAGAAAAGATAGCAACTCAAATATTTAAAATATTGAGTATATCAAAGATATACATGAAGTCAAGAGTAAAGTTTGAAATCACAATCCACTTTGTGCTTGTTAAAACTTATAACAGCGATGTTTTGTTCTTGGCTTTTGTGTCTCAAGGGATATAAATTATCCACTAAATGTGTCCCATTAGCCAAGAAGTTCTCAGCCAATACAGTAGTGATGGTGTAGAGAATGTGTAGGGAATTGGTACTAGAGATTAGCACATTCAGACTACAATACAAGATTTTAAGTCAGACAATCTTGAAAGGTAGCGAATGACATCCAGAAGTCTGATGAAAACAGTACATGAAGAAAAAGGGTTGAGAACCACAGAGTTAGACATTTGTTAACATTAGGGGGTGTTTGCTTACTTATTTCCCCCACTTCAAAGGACGATAACTCAAAACACAATCGAGTTACAGCCCTTGTCTGCTAGTTAGACCACAGCACTTCTGAATTCAATATGATAAGCTGACATGCACATGAAACTCATGGTTTAAAGCCAAACAAATCCTTGCTGTTCTCAGGCAGTAAACAAATAAAAATTATTTTATGTTAAAATACACTTGTCTTTATTTTAATTTGTTTTTGTTCATACCAACAACATGGGATATAACAGTTACTTATAATTGTTGACCAGATTCCTAATTTTTCACAGCAATTTTGTGTATTTGATTACATTTCTGGGTAGAAACTTTGAACCAACAAGTATAAAATCCTATTAGCTAATGCTGTGTTTTTACTCCTAAAACTGGCATTTTAGCTTTTAACCAGAGGGCTTCTATTTCGTTAACAGTGACTTCACCTGTCTATAAATCATAATTGCATACAGAATGCTGATGACTTTTAAGGTAACAAAAATACTTACTTGATCCTTATCAGTACTGAGAATCTCTTTTTGTAAAGTGTTGAACACTGAAATCAAGCTGTTGACTGTGTTGAGGGAACCAGGAGACAGTGTGTGCATTCGGTCACAACTGGTGGCTAACTCAATTGCTTTAGCCAAAGTGCTTGAACTCCCTTCACCATTGCTTGGAAACTGGCTCCTAGAAGTAAAAACAAAGAAAGGGTGTATACAGACATTTTAATGATTATCAATAATGAGGAACATCTTTCTCTGCCAGTCTGTTCTACCTGTGCATATATATCTCACATGTATATTTAGGCAGTAATTTTTCATTAAATAATATAGACAAGTTTTGTCTATTTTAAGTAAGTTCCTTTCATATTGTCTGATAAGCTTAATAACATTATCATTGAAAGACAAAAGGAAATCACCATATTGATACATGTTTAAATCCAATCCAAGCTTTCGGCTTACATAAGCCATTATCAAAGATGACAATTACTTTTCAATATATCAACCAATACACGGACGAAACAATAATGATAATCTGTTTTTGTTGCATGAAAAATTTCAAAGCAACGACTAACTTATGTATACAAGATGCGGAAGCAAAAATCGCACTGCAGCTCGTGACGTCACATGACCACGTGAGTGAAAACGAGTAGAATTAAGTATGGGAAGCCGTTGGTATAAACTAATGGATTCTGTTATCAATTATAGGCATTTAAGAATATTTGTGGAAATTTCGTAGCTTATTTTGTTCAGGTTAGGTTTCAACTGTTTTATATATATAGCTTCAAGAATTTTTAGTTTTTGTTTATTGTTTTCATTTTTAAGCATAGTTGTGTTTTCAACGAGGATTTTCCGAAATTGTGTAGTTGTTGCTTTGAAATTTTTCAATGATAATGTTATTAAGTTTATGAGACAATATGAAAGGAACTTACTTAAAATAAATAGACAAAACTTGTCTATATTATTTAATGAAAATACATACATATATATATATATATATATATATATATATATATATATATATATATATACATATATACATACACAAATATAGTATAGAGTGTTTACTTCAATATTCACACACATACATACATACATATATATATATATATATATATATTGAACAATAAGAAAATAAAAAATTAAAATCTTTAGACACACTGGGTTGTAGATTAATATTCTTTCGTTTTAAGGTAATTTCACTAATTCATCAAAAAATGAGCATGCCATGATGAAAAAAATAGCTCAAACAAGATAAAAACAAAGCTTTATTATCAAAACTTTTGTTATTAAGAGGAAAGACCAAAGGATTTTTTTAATCATTTAATTAAATTTTTTTAATCCTTTCTAGGATGTTCAAAATTTTGTTTTTCTTGTATCAGTGGGAGGACCAAAGATTAGTTGATTAGTATAGGAAATTTTAGTGTCTTTTGTGATAAAACACACCTAGATTAGAAGATTCTTGCAAAAATCAAAATAATTGTCAGATTTTAATGAAATCTTCAGGACTTATTCACAAATGATTTTAAACAAATTATTTTAGATTTTTTTAATTTTTAGGTATGTTACTCTTCCACCTAATTTCATGAAATTTCAAGAAATTAAATTTTAACCCCCTTAATAATTAGCTGAACTCTGAGAATTTAAATCAATATTTTTGTAAAACAAAAAACATTTACAGAAAATCTTTGAATTGTAAAATAAAAGAAAGAAAACTAAGGCATTATTTAATTGCAAAAGCTTTTAACTGCTTTTATAAATAAGATATATTAAAGATACTATTGTGATAAGAAATTTTTTTTTTCCAATAAAATCATTTTCATTAGAATAACTTATGAAGTTTTAAATCTTAAAATTCTGTATTAATTTCACCCTTTACATGATACTATTATTAAATATAAACTATATTTACTAACTTAGTACAATGTATCAAACATATTTTTAAAAGAATTTTGAATTATTTTGTATATGTATATTTAGTGCTGATTTTTGTAAATAGGGACACCCATGTCTATATCCCAGAGATGAAGTATTATTATTTACATTATTTGGACTGTTATCCTCATCTTCATTTCCATATTCACAACATTTCGGCCAATGTACACTCTAGCCTTCTTCAGTTGATTGGAATTTCAAACCGAACCCTTAATTTCATCAACCCAAAGAGTTGCGATTTCAATACCAGGCCACAGCAGTAGTGAACCAAAACTTGGAGAGTTGAGTTAAAGGGAAATAACGGAGACATCTGGAAGAGGCATGGTGCTTGGAACTAGAATAATCTACTCTGGTGGATGAAACAATCACCTTAAGAAGGCCGGAGCATACGACGGCTAAAACATTAAGTATATGGCAAAGAAGATGAGGATAATAGTCCGAATAAAGTAAATAATGTAAGTAGGGACATCCATAAATGGCATTATCAGAAAATATGAGTGACAACTATAGTAAATTTAAAGCCAATGTATCTAAAATTCAATAAAACATTAAAATGGAGAATATTTTCCTAAATTTTTAAGATTACTAAGTACTTAAAAAATGATCTAAATAAGGCACTCAGCTTGTATTGAATCAATTTTTTAACATATAAATCCCTCATAGAAAAACATGTTAAAAAATGCATTTCTGTGATAGTTTAAAGTTAAGTAAATAATGTTTCAAGTCAGATTAATTATACTTTAAACCAGTTAATATTAAAATTTAATATTTAAATCAGTTAATATCAGTTAAAGTTTCAGAAAAGTATATTTTATTATTGGAAGAGAGTGATATTTATATTCTAAGCATAATAAAAAATGCATAAATAATCATTGAACTGCTAAGACTCATGCCCTATATGAACATTCATTGTAATAAATGAAGCCTGAAAATAGCACTTGAGTAGTAGTAGTAGTAGTAGTCTCGAAGTCGCTCAGAGTTGGTGAGTCAGTGTCGGACATTAAAGTATCAACCACCACAACTAGATTGCTGCGTCATTAACTATTATTTCAAGTTCCTAACGTTTTGTACGTTGAACATTTTTTAGGACCGACTTAGTGAAATACAAGCCTCCACTGTGAAACTACTCTACAACACACACACAACAACAAAGCTTGAAATTAAAACTAATATAAAAGGTCCAAGAAAATTTTTTAATTTTTAAAAATTCATTTTAAACCTTAGGTATCATGAATCTGAAGGAACCCAATTATATATAAACAGTGTTGCAATAAAAAAAATATCAAAGTTATTCTTCAGGCACAAACTAATGAAAATGCTGTCATTTCCTCTATGTGCATGTAAACAAGTGTTTGTATTATTGCCAGATACCAGATATTTTCTAGAAACGTTAAAGCAGGAGGATTAAAGAAATATAAAAAGCATATTAAAACATACCTTAGTTTTTTGACCTTTTCTATTAAACTGTTAATTTTTTTAAGCTGAAAGTACAAGAAGTTGAAAAATTTGATGGTAAGCAGATAGCAGATAAAAAAAAAAAAAAAAAAAAAAAAAAAAAAAAAAAAAAAAAAATCAGAAAAAAGAAAAAAAAAAAATGAAAAATCAGAAAAAAAAAAAAAAAAAAAAAATGAAAAAAAAAAGAAAAAAAAAAAAAAAAATGAAAAATCAGAAAAAAAAAAAAAAAAAAAATGAAAAATCAGAGAAAAAAAAAAAAAAAAATGAAAAAAGAAAAAAAAAAAAAAAAAAGAGAAAAAAAAAAAAAAAATGAAAAATCAGAAAAAAAAAAAAAAAAAATCAAAAAAAAAAAAAAAAAATCAGAGAAAAGAAAAAAAAAAAAAAAATGAAAAATCAGAAAAAAAAAAAATGAAAAATCAGAAAAAAAAAAAAAAAATGAAAATCAGAAAAAAAAAAAAAAAAAATGAAAAATCAGAAAAAAAAAAAAAAAAAAATCAGAAAAAAAAAAAAAAATCAGAAAAAAAAAAAAAAAAAAAAAATGAAAAATCAGAGAAAAAAAAAAAAAAAGAAAAAAAAAAAAAAAATCAAAAAAAAAAAAAAAAATGAAAAAAAAAAAAAAAAAAAATCAAAAAAAAAAAAAATGAAAAATGAAAAATCAGAGAAAAGAAAAAAAAAATGAAAAATCAGAGAAAAGAAAAAAAAAATGAAAAATCAGAGAAAAGAAAAGAAAAATGAAAAATCAGAGAAAAGAAAAAAAAAATGAAAAATCAGAGAAAAGAAAAAATGAAAAAAAAAAAAATCAGATCAGAAAAAAAAAAATGAAAAATCAGAGAAAAAAAATGAAAAAAAATGAAAAAGAAAAAAAAAATGAAAAATCAGAGAAAAAAAAAAAATGAAAAAATCAGAGAAAAAAAAAAATGAAAAATCAGAGAAAAGAAAAAAAAAATGAAAAATCAGAGAAAAGAAAAATGAAAAATCAGAGAAAAAAAAATGAAAAATCAGAGAAAAGAAAAATGAAAAATCAGAGAAAAGAAAAATGAAAAATCAGAGAAAAGAAAAATGAAAAGAAAAAAAAAGAAAAATCAGAGAAAAGAAAAGAAAAATCAGAGAAAAGAAAAGAAAAAAAAAATGAAAAATCAGAGAAAAAAAAATGAAAAATCAGAGAAAAAAAAATGAAAAATCAGAGAAAAAAAAATGAAAAATCAGAGAAAAAAAATGAAAAATCAGAGAAAAAAAAATGAAAAAAAAAAATGAAAAATCAGAGAAAAATGAAAAGAAAAAAAATGAAAAAAAAGAAAAAAAAAAAAAATGAAAATCAGAGAAAAAAAAAAAAAAAAAAAAATCAAAAAAAGAGAAAAAAAAAAAATGAAAAATCAGAGAAAAAAAAAAAAAATGAAAAATGAAAAATCAAAAAAGAAAAAAAAAGAAAAAAAGAAAGAAAAAAAAAAAATGAAAAATCAGAAAAAAGAAAAAAAAAAATGAAAATCAAAGAAAAGAAAAAAAAAAATGAAAAAAAAAAAAAAAAAAATGAAAAATCAGAGAAAAAAAAAAAAAAAATGAAAATCAGAGAAAAGAAAAAAAAAAAAAAAAAAAAAAAAAAAAAAAAAAAAAAAAAAAAAAGAAAAAAAAAAAAAAAAAAAGGACAAAAAAAATGTAAGAAAACTAATTTTACTTGCCAGTGCGTGTGGTGACTCCTCTGCAAGTTTGTTGTTATATTCTACTTGTAAATTCTAGAATGGAAAAAAAAAAATTATTGATGGAAAGAGAAAAAAAATATTGTAATGAAGAATCTAATTGACTAGCCTTGTCAGAATTTGAACTCATTTAATTTTGAAGAAAAGACAAATCCTATTCTAGTATGCCAGGGAAATTTATATTCTAATCTTAATCCAAAAATGCACGAGCACTTTATCAAATTGCTTGGATTCATGCCTAATATGCTCTGCCTGAACCAAAGTAATTTCTCATGATTTTTCCTTTATACTTTTTCCTATTGTAGATGCAAACAAGCAGCAATTGTCATAATCATTTCATTACTTCTTTTCTCCCAGTTAATACTGTGGTGAATTGTCACAGTATTAGTAGTGGAGTTTTCCAAACATCCCATTTAAAAAGAACTTTTCCCTGGTTTTACTGGAAAAAAAAAAAAAAAAAAAAAAAAAAAAAACTAGTATTAAAAATGAATTTGTAAGTTTCAAAAATTAAAATATGAAAAAATAGGTTTCACTTTCTTTTCAGTTCGATCTTTTAAAACAATTTTATAAACAATCTGGCTCCTCTTTAACTGGTTCATCACATTCCAAGCAATGAACCAAAAGGTTACTGTCATCTTTGGAGACAATTCAAATACAATCATTACAGGCAGACATCTTTATTGGCCATTTTTGTGTCTGCTGTAGGCTATAAGCCTGTATAGGCAATATTGAAATAAAAGTGGTTTTAATCTCAGGACAGTACTCACAGTTGAAGGATCTTTGATTTTGAGTAACTTAAACTATGGCATATATATTGGCTTATCTATTGTCTATAGAATGACAATTGACAAATGAAATAGTTTTTGATGATGTCATTGAAGAATTTGCCAACAAAAACTAAGAAAAGTTACTTTGTAGAAAGTTGTAATTCTCATTTCAGAAATTAAGATGTTCCTAAATTTTTTTTAACCCCCCCACTAGGTTGTTTTTGCTTTTTAACTGTTACCCGATAGAGTTTAAGTAAGTTTGGTATGTATTTAAAGCATTCTATATCTGGGTATGTGAAAGTAATATTATAATGGTACAAACTCGTTTTATAACTTTAAGAGTGAGTCACTGTGCAATAAGTATTTTTTTTGTGGGGACCTGTAAATTCAAGTGCTGCCCTGGGTGGCACACACTCTAGCTATGCCATTGCATGTTTGTAATTCCCACAAATATGATGATTAAAACCAGAATGTCCTTGCAGTTACTTGACAAAAGGTATTCAGAAGGCTTCTTGACTAATCATGAAAATCTGACCTGCTATTTGCTAAATATTAATGAAAAACATTGTGAGGTATTCAAACATTGTGAGGTAGTCAAACATTCCAAAGTATTAACAGAGTTATTGATTGCTTTTAATAATACTGTGACATTGTACAAATTTGTATTTGTCACTATCAAGCATGAAGGAATTAATATATTTTTTTAAATAATTTTGCAAGTATTTTAACCTTTTCATTAATATTAATCCCATTTCCTTATCTATCTTAAGAAATATTTTGAAATGAAGCTTTATTTTCTTTGTGCATAAACAGAACAAACCAATAAGTTACGATATTGTATAAAAGAAATTCAATTTAAACCATTAATTTGCAGGTAGTTTAATGGATATCAATATGGAAAGTGGAGTTGGCAAGCAAGTTCAAATTCTAGATTGCTGCAAGGTGTAGATAAAGATCCAGGATCGAGACTTGCCATGTTGGAAGTTGATAAGGAAGAGGAGGGAGATGACAGTAGTGGCTGAGAACAGCTTAGCTTTAACAGAGGGAAAGGTACTGGTACAGTTTGTTTAGTGTAACATTTTTTTCACAAAGTAACCCTCCTGCACAAATGAGCCAGTCAAGTTCATGCCTTCATAGAATAAATTCTCCATAAACAACTGGGCTGTTTACCTATTTTAAGATTTCTGGAAAATGTATTCCGTCAAGAAAAGGCCTGGAAAATGTATTCCGTCAGGAAAATGTCTGTGACAATGAAGCTTTGATGTGGCTAAATGTTAATTCTAAGCAGAAAAAGGCTTAAGCCCAAAATGAAATATAAACAGAGAGAGAAGGGAAGACATTTTCCCTGGTAATGTGGAAGTGAAAAAATGTGGATTGTCTCACCCCCTGAACAGTGCACCAAGAGTTTATTTTTTCTTTATAAAAAAACTGGCATGCGAGTAAAGCAAATTGGGAAATGGCTTTATCTCTTTCTTGGGGAATTAGAAAAACATGTCATTGGCAAAAAGAGAAGCAGATGGAAATTATATTTTCATTGGTGAAAATGAATTGAGAAATGAAAACAGGGAAACTCACTGGGGGGGGGGGGTAGGATTATGAAAATCAATCCTGTCATAACAGGCAGGTGGTCTGGTTTGTATTTTCACTAAGACAACAATTGGCCCAAGGATGCAGAACAGCATGTCTCTTTGTTGAGAATTTAGGTAAACAAATATATTTTATTCACAAAAACAAATTGGGAAAATTTTTATCTATTGCTTGGAAGGTTAAAATGAGAAGCAGTGGTTTGGTTTGTGTTCCTGCTGGACAGAGGTAATAGTAGGGAAGTGGAAGGGAGTCAGGGAATTGAAATTAATAAAGGAGAATATACTACAGCCTTTCACCTACTCATTTTAAAAATTAGATTTGTTACAAAGACAGTTATACCAGCCCTGAAAAGTGGGCAGAGTTAGAATACTGAGAAGGAAGGAGAAAGAGGCATAATTTAGCCCTGCCTGTGTGGAGTGGTGGTGAGAGATGTGAAGTAAAGCTCAGTGGGAGGAGTAATCCCTGTGACTACACCCAAGGAAAGTGGATAATTCACCAAATTCGGAAAGTTGATTAAGAAAGTAGAAATCGGGAACAAATAAAACATTTATTGGGATTAATGTGAGAATTGGGGAATCACCGGATCCCCAGAAACCTTTGACCCCAGCTAGTTTTGGGTCAAAGTGCATATAAGCATATGACTTTGGGAGCTCGGAGACATGGGCTGAGAACCCACATTGAGTGCCTCTGAAATCCACATTAGCTGCCGCCAGATTTCCTGATTCCAAGAACTTTGAACCCAACACCTTCACTGTCAATATGATGCAGGAAAAATTAATTTTTGTTGTATAAAGAACCATATAATCCAAGTAAAGATTAACCCCCATGAATTGCTCGTTTTATTTTTTGTTGTGAAGATACTTCTTCCTTAATATAGCACCTGTCATGGATTAAATAAACCAGTGCTATGATACTACAACATCTGATCTTCCACTGTTCTGAGATCAAGAACACAGCATGGACAGAGTTGGTGTAGATCAAAGTGGCCAGCAACCAACAACCAGATTGGACCAGTGTCAACATTGACTAGCATAGAGTTAGCCCTGTGGTTAAAATGCTGTCCTAAAATCCTGAGTACCGGACCACTAAACGTGGTTACACCACTGGGTTTAGGCAAAAGGTGTCAGACATCTGGAAAATGCAATTTTTAAGAAAATGTTTGGAATATGCATTTCTTCAAGACTGATAATTACAGTTACTCGTTGAGTTTAAATTTTCTTTTATAGTTCAGATCTTTCTATCATTTTATGGAAAAAAAAAAAAATTATTTTCATAGTTATTTCTTTATAATATAGTAAATAATTATTTTATAGTTCACATTTTTTTTTTTTTTATAATTTTGTAAATATAAAACTCTTGGCAAAGGCATGAATCCATTTCTCCTACCATCTATTGGTTAAATGCCAACAGACGTGTCTCTCTAGCCGTGGGTGGGACGAATCCAGGAGATGGAAAACTGAATTCCAAATTGTGCAGAAAGAAACGGAAACTGCTCCACTATCTTTCCCAAGAATACATGCCAATTCACAAATAAATAAAAATTTGTGGCGAGTTATGAAGAGACATGATATTGAAAAAAAAGAAAAGGAAGCCTGTGGAGAATTATAATCGTCTACAAAATAAATCCATTTTTTGAAATAAGTGCTTGAACATAACTTTTGAAGGCAAAACTATAGAGCTGTGTTAAGATGATTTGTGAAAGGTAAATTTATGTTCATGCCTTTTCCAAGGTAATTTAACTATAATGAATGATTGCCAAACCAAAATCATTTATGCTTGGGCATTACTTTTTTTTTTTTTTTTAAAATAGTATTAATATTTTTTTGAGAAAATGGCAGCCAAAGTTTTTTTCCTCAGCAGTCAAATGATATGTGTTATTTTCTAAGAAGCAGATGCTTCATGGCAAATAAAGGAACATTATTATGTGCTACAAATATGATTTGCATCATTTTATAACTATGAGTACATCAACATATATTGATGATAAAATTAATTCTGCAAATATTACTGATATCCTTTTTCTTTCTTCAACACATATCTAAGGTAAAAGCTATATAAATAAGGCACAGTGTACATGTGTGTATGTTTTAGAATCTTGACGAAACTGAAGTAACAGGCAATTAAAATTAAATTTAAATATCAGAGTGAAAGGTTTAAAAAGAAACAATTCTTTATTAATGGTTTAATTTTAATTTCATTGATTGATTATCTAATTAAACAGTATTTAAAACTTAATTGGAGCACAGTACATTGCTCACATATTTTTTTTCTTTTTTCTGGCATGGTGTTCTGTGATGCATTTGAAATATTATATGGCTCAGGTTTCCTGTTTTTTTTTTTACAAAAAAAAAAAAGAAAAAAAAAGTTGGTTGAATCTTCATATTAAGTTGGAAATCATTTACCTTTAGCTTGGTGCGAGTATTTGCCAATTCCACAGACAGAACATTATTCTCTTGCCTGGTTTGAACTAATTCTTGTTTAACCGAAGTTAATTCTGATCTCAACTGGATAAGACTCATATTTTCAACAGAACCCCAGCTTGGTGAAGTGGAAGTCATTTCTCTTCTATCACTGTAAACAAAAACAAAAAAAGTGAAAACAAAATAGTTAAAAAACAGTTACTAATTCATAGAAATTGTCCTTCACAATAGCAGAAATTCAAATAGATTTACTTGCATAAAGCAAATACAATAATTTTCTAACATTTTTGTTGTCATATGACTACTTCCAAGATAAGAGCCATAAATAAATTTGACAAACATGCATCCTTTGATTAATGCATTTTCAATTAGTGTGCTAAAATTTCTATATACCAAAATTGGGTTAGTGCATACATAATACTCGATTAGTGCAATAAAAACATTCTTCAGTTTAACTATAGTAATTGAAATTAATTTTTTTTTTATAGTTACTGATATATACATTAGCCACACAATGTTTTTAATATCAGTTTGAAACCAATACAATCTACTGTGTTGCATATGTAAGTATCATAGATGAAATATAGGTACTTCCACTGAATTTTCAATACCTAAGATTTAAAATGAATTTTTAAAAATGAAAAACTATTCTTGAAGATTTCATTTTAGCTTTAATTGAAAGCTAAATAATTAAATTTAATGTTTCCAGTAAGCAAAATAGAAATTGTATAGATCAGAATCTCAACTTTTTGGCTGATTTCATAAAATCAGCTTAAAAGCTGCCATTTTCTTAATTTTAAGAAATTTGTAAACAAAACAAAATTATCAGTTTTAAAAATCTTCCAAAAATAAAATATATATTTGTGACAGGTTATGTAAGTAAAATTAGCAAATTTAAAGTTAAATTAATCTGATTTGGAATAAATATTACTTATAGCATAAAAAATAATATACAAGCATTTCTTTGATCTTTATTGATGCATCAATCATTTCTGAGGTGATGACAGCTAGTATGGATGACCCAGAAGTGACATAAATTTTTTTTTTTTTTAACTACCTAGTAATTTTTTTAAAATCAACATATTTTAAGCAATTAATATTTTCTTGACTTTTACTTAGGTTTCAAGATGCTTTATGAAATTTGGGTTTTTTCTAGGTTCTTAAGTTTACTAGCTTAAACAAAAAGTCACTGAATTGAAGTATGACCCAAACTAAAATACATAAAATAAAAATATTTAGTGAAATAGTAATTAAAAGAGTAAAACTTGAAATTTTGAAAGGATGATTTGCAAAGACGTTAATGATGAAACAGAAGTGAATAATGAAATTGAAAGAATTGCAGAGCACCAGATGACTTAAATCACACTAGCTTTTAAACAATTTTAAAAGCTTGCTTACCAGAAATTGGGGATGTATATACATTAAAATTTATTTTTTAAATATTTGCATACAAATGACTTTTCCAATTTTTGATTTGTAAATGTACTTTTCACTTAACAATATCACCAAACCACCGCCTTGAAGCAATGCAGAATTTTAAACAATTTTTTAATATTATAAATTATTTAATTAAAATTTTTAAAAAATGAAAATAATTATTGTGAAAATTAATTGTTCATTCAATTTTTTTTTCTTAAAACAATAGCATTCTTAATAAATCTTAATTATCAAAGCAATTAAAAACTTTTCTAATAATTAGTTTTTATTGTTATGGCATTTTTTATTTTACAATTCAGAGTAGATTTTTAGTGAAAGGGAAGGGAGAGAGGGAGAGGGAAGGGAGAGAGAAAAAGGGAAAAGAAAAAAGCCTGTGAAAAGGGCATTTTTCTCTCAGTACTTTTTATTGTTTTTAAAAAGCTATTTTTAGAATTTTAATAAAAAAAAAAACAACATATGAAACTGGATTTATTCATTTATTTTTTCTTGTAATTAATCAAAACTACCTCAGATTATTTCTAGTTTTAATTTTCTGAGGTGGGGGATAGTTCGCTATTATTATACAGACTTCACAATATGGACAATTAGATTTCAAAATTCCAAACTGAAGACTTCTTGTAACATAAATACAATTTTAGAAAATTTTTTTCAGGGATACAATGTCAGATGGTTTGGCTCTCATTCCCCAAATACCCATTAGAATTACAGACATTGTGAAAATATAAGGAAAACTTTGTTCACCCAATAAATAGGAAAATATACACCAAAAATATTGATCTCACCTAAAATTAAGAGAATGTTTGGTTCAGAAATTTTACTGAATTTATATGGGGAGAGCAAGTGTAAGAAATGTCTGGAAAGTGTTCCCCTTACCCACAAGAGAAGGACTGGAAAACATTGTTTTCTTTTAAATTTATAATTAGTTAATCATTGTGTTTATTTAAATTTTATCACTTTACAAAATATATATATATATATATATAATTGCAAATTTTATACTTCCAAAACAGAGCTGCTATTCTTTAATCATTATAGAGAACCCTTTTGCCTTACATCAGCATATGGCTGATGCTAACCTCCGGGAGAACAACCCACTGCACCTTCTTGGCCTCATGTTTTCCACCGATATGAAGTGGGTGATAATACTGAATCAATCGTTACATCTGCTGCTAGGAAAGTTGAGTCACTGATGTGCCAGACAATGTTTCTCACCAGAATCCATCTTGCACATTTATAAATCTACCACTTGTCTGTGCATTAAATACTGCAGCCATATTTGAACTGGAGTTCCTCTTATATATCTGCAGATTCTCAACAAAATCCAAAGAAGGGTCTGTAATATTACCTGTCCCAACTTGCTATCTCTCCTTTCCCCACTGCTGTGACAGGACTTCTGTCTTTTCTATAAATATTTTCATGGAAATTGTTCTGAGCTTTTCTCCTTGGTATTTTGGTTGCATGCAGTAAGCATAGTACTAGATTGGCAAGTGGGTCCCATTGTTTTACTGTCGAAATAGCTAGATGTAACTAAGTTCTCTTCTAATCATCTTGCACATCTCGCTTGCGGAACTCTTCCAGGTTCTTGCTTTCCTGTTCTTTTATTGTCCTTTTTCCTATATATGTTTTCTACAGACAATTCTTAAAGAGTTTACATGCACAAACAATAAAGAATTGAGTAAGTTCCAATGAAGCTAACATTTTGCAAAAACAAAATGCTGACATTTGTATAACCCTATAACAAAAGATGCTTTCCAAATGCTAAGCAAAGTATTAAGAAATGGGAAATTTTTTTTAAAAAACAAAGTATACTGAACTGTTGTGTAATAGTGATCCTGACATGTAGCATTTAATACTGGACAATCTCCTCACAGATGAAGAATAGACCTGAGGTAACAGAAATGTTGTCCTATAGAAGGTTGCTGAGAATACTATGGACTGAAGATGTGATCAACAATGAAGTTTTAAGGAAAAGGGAAACAAGGAAGCTTGTATTTAGAATCAGAAAGAGACAATTGAAATGCATACAAAGAAAAGGGCTTAAAGAATCTAACACTCACAGGACAGAGGGAAGCAGCAAATAATCTGCCTAACAAACAAGCTTATGTAAATGGTTGGCAGAATATCGATTAGGAGGAATATCAAAACGACAAACCTTACTAAAAGCTACAAAGAACAGGAAGTTATGGAGAGCTATGATTGCCCAAGTCCTAAAAAGAGACATCACATAGAATAGATTTGCTCATATCAGAAATATAGGTTTTATTATTTTTCTTATATTGTGTGCCAGGGTATCAATATTTAGTTAGTTTAGTACTACATTGGAACAAAATGTAGGTAGAAAGAGTGTGATACATTGTTTTGAAAGAAGGCAAAATTCAGTTTTTTTTTTTTTTTTGCAACATGCAGACATGTGTTCAAATCTTCACAGTATTTAATATTGCCGAGATTATTGCTAACATTTTTTGTTGAGATTTACAAACTCTACGTTTCGTTCAATCTTGCAAACCAATCGATGAAATTGGAATAAGCTCATTTGTTTGGTAAAATACTTTGAGGTTTAATAATTTCTTTAATAGAACTTCATGGGAAACAATATTTTTTTCAAGAAAATTTCTTAACAGCGAAGGATAAATTATTAGGATTTCATACTCTTGAGCATGCAACATTACTGGCTATGGGTAAATATTTCTTTCTGGGGTCAAATTCCAACTTTTTGAAGCGTTTGGCCTTATGAGTTGTTTATAGTTCTCGCAAACACAGGGTGAACAGGAAACTGGACTCTTGTATATAAAAACTTAAAAGATATACAAAAAACAGCATTGCATTTTTCAAAAATCATATGACTCAAACAGCAATCGCTATCACTTTACTTAAAATATTTTTGCCCTTTTTTGCCTTTAAAGGAGTGCCCTTTGCCGTGCTGATGTTGCTACATGCCTTACCTCTTGCCTATCTCACACTGCAAATTTTTTCTAAGCTCTATACTAAACATTAAATCTGTTACGAAAAAAGAACTAAACAAAATGAACATAAAACGATCAGCTTTAAAAAAGGACTCGTAACTGGAAAAACTGAATGAAAAAAAAAAATGTTAAATTTTTTTCCACACCCAACCAGTTCTATGGAATCAGAATCAACGTTGAGTTTAAGCAAGTTTAATGAGCCAATTGGAGTAAAGTGCCATGCAGATTTAAATTTTTCCCACTTGTGACGAATGCAGCTATCGATTTTTTTTTGCATGCTAGTTAACATTAGTGTCCATCAGCTGTTGGCGCTCACGCTGACCAATAGAATCTTCCTGCCTATTTGTGGCAGCCAGCTATAGGCTCTCACTCTGGCCGGTACAAAATGGCAGCATACTACATGAAAAATGCTGTAGAAGCAAAAAAAAAAAAAAAAAAAAAAAATAGATTATTTTCACTGGGAGTTGGGAAATACAGTCGGTCTTGGCCTTCCCACTAACTTGGAGCATGTGCATGTAAATTTTGGTGCAAATCTGTTGAAAATTGTGGCCATGCATTTGTTACACACACACACACAGCCTTTTATAGATAGAGATAGAAGCCTGGAAACTGGCACTGGTTTGGCTTACTGTGTACAGTCATTAAAGATTCAAACTTGTAAAGAATGGACAAACACACACAGGAGCTAGCATGGACATGCACCCCTTCAACAGACAGACACACGGTTAAATTTTGTTGTCATTTACCAATCTGATACTAAAGACTTACTGGGAGATGACTGCCTTGTTCATATTAATCAACTGGTCCATGTTGCTGCAGGGTGCTGGTAAAGGTCCAGCATTGAGGCTTGCCATGTTGGAGGTAGATAGGGAAGAGGAGGTAGATGATGAAAGTGGTGGCTGAGAACAGCTTAGAGTTAACAGAGGGGAAGGTACAGGTATTGTTTGATTGTTTTTCTGATGTAGAATTTTCTTCACAATGTAACCCTCCTGCACAAATAGGTCAGTCAAGTTCATGCCTTCATAGAATAATTCTCCATAAATGCCTGTGCCATCTGTCAGACGAACAGAAGGCCGGAGTCTGAGCAGCTTACCATTGGTAAACTCCTTCACAAATGCTACCCCCTGAAAATAGAAATGGGGGAAAATAATACAATAGTAGACAAAGGTTTTTAGTTACCATATTTTTTTGTGTGTATAATACGAGAAATTTTGGTTAACAATTAAAAACAGAAAAGGGAGGGATTGTATTATACATAAGTATGTTTTTAAAAATTTAAAGTCTCAGTTAAAAAAAAAAAAAAAATTATTTGAAACAGCAAGATTGCAAATACACTCAGCACAATAGATAACAAAACAAAATTTGCAGGTGTTGATAATTGTTCATGATATGTTGGCCATGTTTCTTTGAGAATCAGCATAAATGAATGTCTTTTTGTCTCTGTTTTTCTCACAAGTTTGTTTATATTTTGATTTTGTTTTTTTTATAAAGTTTTTTTTTTTTTCTTTCCATAGTTAATATATAGAAATATATAATACAGTCATATAAAATAGAGAAATATGATGATTGACACTTTAAAATGTATTAGAAGAAACACATAATGAGCAAACATGTCGTCCATTTCTATTTTTTTTTTTTTAATATTGTGACAAGTGAATACAACATTGAGATAATATGGTATAAGTTTAAAAAAAAAAAAAAAAGGGACAGTGATGGCTGTATTATACTCTAGGATGTAATTTGTTTTTAGTTTCAGAAAAACGGGGGTTGTATTACACAAGAAAATATAGTAATTCTTTGCACTTCTTGCATATAATAAAAGATAATTTCTATTCAGATTTCTGAGCTCAAGAACTATTGATATACACTTATTTATTCAAACTGGCATGGTTGATAGATTTTGGCTGGAGAGCACAATGGTCAAAATATTGTGATTCGAAAAATTAGTGTATTATTAATTAATTAATTAATTAATAATAATAAGAATAATAATGATAATAACAACACCACCACCCCTGAAAAACTTAAATAGTTAAATTTCTGGAGTCTTGATTATATTGTTGGGAAAAAAAGAAAAAGCAATACATGATGTTAGTGCAATTAAATCAGTACAAAAAAAAAAAAAAAAAAAAACATACATTACAAGCCAATTTTATATGAAAGTTAATTGATTCTCTCTTTTTCCACTGATAACAAATTTAGCCTCCTTGGTATCACTGGCTATCAGATATGGTTGTAGATTTCAAAATTTAAAAGTTTAATAACTTAAGAGAAGTTATTACTCTTAATTATATATATATATATATATATATATATATTAAATTAAGTATTTTAGCCATTATTTTATTACTTCATCTTGGTATTGTCATAAAAGCAACCACAATTTAGATTGATATACTTTTGGACTAACAGTGAAAAGTTATACATTATTTTATTGTATTTGATACAGTATGATAAAAACCATCAATAAGTGTAGATAAAATATTGTTTACCATAATGTATTAGATTAAATAAAAAAAAACAAAAAAAAAAAAAAACACAGCAACAACGCTGGATAATGAGATAATGTCCATATCGTTATGATTAATAAAAATAGTTAACATTCATTGTGTTTGTAGCGTTTCATTGCTGAACCAAAATGACTAGTGAGGCTGAGAGAAAAAGCCAAGCTGAGATCGTCCACTGCTGTCAACATGCAACATGAATTCTAGTGTTAGAAAAAACAAAAATGAAAAACTGATTACTGTGTTCAGGTAGTAAAAGGTTATAAGTAAGAGTAAATGTTTTATAGATATAAAGGTGTTAAAAAAAATTTTTTTTTTTTTTTTTACCCCTTTTCTAGTTCTTTGCCTTGAATAATTTGTAAAATTCTTACCTTCTCATCATTGAACTTCTTGCTTTTAGTCAAATGTAAAATCACTTTCCTGGCAAATGGCTTGAATTCACATAAAGATTGGGGAACCTCAACAACATTAGCTGCAGCCATCTCTTCTTCATTGCCATAGTCCACAAACAGAACTCGCACCTAGAGATGAGAAGAGAACTTTACATTTTAATATCAGGTGTGTAAAAAATGCTCAGAAATGTTTACATACACCAAATACATTGTAACCTCCAAGATATAACAGTACATTTTTTCAGAATCACATCTAAGGTTTTGTGCATTTAAGGACAAAAAAAAAGAAAAAAAAGAAAAGTTTTTTAAGTGAATAAAGTTTAAAAGTTATTGGATTTTTTTTCCCCACTAGAATATGGAATCTTGTCATAGGGCAGATGTGGCCATGGCTTGGAAAACCCTGTCTAAGAAAGTCAGTCAACAATAAAGCACATGAAAATCATTTCACATTATCAAAATAGGACTGAAGCTTACAAATCTACTTGCAATATTTTATACTAGAAATAACTGAAAATTTCCCAGTTTCCCTCTCGGAATTTCATGATGAATCATAATTCTTCATTTAATGATTGAGTAAGCTCATAGAGAATTCTACGACAATAAAATATCCGTAGAATTTCCCCTCCCCTATTACATCGTTAAATATTTGAGCTTAACTTTAACAAAATACTGCAATAATAATCCTAAACATGAATGCTGGTTGTTATTTTAAGAAGTAAGGGGGTACAAATTAAAAGATTTGAAATTAACATTTCATTTTCTATTTCATTTAAAATAGACATTAAACACTTCTATCTTCCCTTCAGAAACCAAAGAGCTTCTCTGATGTCTTTTGTCCATTATTTTCTATCCATGTTATCCAAACAGAATTATCCATTATTTATGAAGTATTATCAGGGGGCGTAAATTCTATGCTAACCAAGAGAGGAACAAAGAAAATTATAAGATTACTTAATCCCCCCTCCCCCCCCCACCAAGTGTAAAGCAGTTATCAGTAAAGAAAATAGAATCTACAAACCAAGGTTCATTAAACACTTTTTTTTTTTTCCCTTAAGAAAAGATATCACCAATTTCCTCTTCCCAGATATATCTTAATAAAAAGAAGTCTTATCACTGGCATGTCATTATGGTAGAAAGAATAGAGGGAACAGGTACCTAGGAAAAAAATAATTATTTTCTGGTAACTATTTTACAAAAAGTTACTCCTATTGTCAACCTTGACAGAAAACCAGTCAATTATTGGTGTACATTTATAACGTCAGGGTCAAATAAAAAAAACATTGCATAGAGAAGGGGGGGGGAGATAAATGCAACAAACTGTTACTGGTTGTAGTAAGTATTGTATTTGATGGTTGAGTGGTTAAAATATTTGCTTTCCAACTGTGAGATCGGGATTTGAATATTACCAGATTTGATTTTGTCAAGAAGGTGACCTCTTGATTTTATTTCTCTGCAGGAAATGGTCCCAATGTGGGAAATGCATAGTTTAGCAGCATATCAACTTATGTATTATTTAATACCAAAATCTAAATATTTTGAACACAATTGTATGCCTTCAACTACAGATAAAATGCATTGTTGTTAATTCTACTATAAACTGTATTGTAAGTAATAATACTATAAAAAATGTATTTTTATACTTTCATAGGTCTTTGTTTTTGGATTCACTATTTGCCCATAGGACCCTAACAGGTACTACCACCCAGGTCAGGATGAACCTGGGAACACCAGCAATTATGAAGTGGTTCAAGAAAGCAAGATCAGAAAAAAAAGCAACATTAATTCATGGCTTACCCTGTTGGAACCAAGCTGTTCCCTAATAATACATCGATACCACAGCTGATCTTCAGAAAATTTAGCCGCATAGATCTACAAAGAAAAAAAGAAAAATCATTAAATAAAAGTTGGGATAAAAAAAAAAAAAAAAAAAAAATCCAAGTGGTAGAAAGAGATACAGCTCAGTTAATAAAGACTGAAAATTTTTTAAGAAAAGTAAAAATTTAAAAACATTTAACAGTCAAATTTAATTTTGTTGGTATAGCAAGCTCAGTAGATCTCCTCTACACTTGTGAAACTAAGCTTATCAAATAACTATAAAAAATTTAAAAACCTTTACTGAAGTCATATATATATATATATATATTTTTTTTAAATGATCATACATGCAGGTGGTATGACAGCTAATAATACAAAAAATGGAAACAGAAATTCAAATTCCAGCTGAGGCTATTGCATTCACTTCAAAGTAATCCCTTTGAAAAGGGTAGGAATGCATATTTGCATAAAATATACTTTTGCCTAATGTCAGGAGGCAAATTCCATAAAAAAAAAAAAAACTATCCAATTATTACAACCACTACAAAATTTTTTTTTTTTTAATGCTTTATACCAACCCAGTCAACCTATGTGCAGGTGCTAATAGTACCAACTGATGCCCTTGGAAAAGGCATGAATCCATATCTTCTCCCCACCATACTACTATAGGTTAGATAGAACCACAGACTAGTCTTGGGTGGCAACCAGTCTAAGACATGGAAAACTGGATTTTTAATCATGGAGAAGGCATCAGTAAACCACTCCACTATCATACATGGAAAATTATGGAAAATAAAGAAAAAAGAATGTGTTGAGTCCTGATTGTTTACATTCTAAAGAGACAGGACAAAAAGAAAGAAAAAAAAAAAAAAATTGCTTCAGAGTTGATAATGAACATCCAGTAGCAAAGGTTTAATAGTACCATAATAAGGGTTCCTAAACTTGGTACTTGACCATTTCCAAGGCAAGTAAGTTGGTAGTAAAATTTTGCTTTAATAAGAAATGAATTTATCTAGTTACAAAGTAAAACGTAGCAGTAACAAATACTTATGTTTTTAAGCTATTTAAAATCATATCAACATTTAGCACTCTGCATCATTTATGAATATTACTTTCCTTTTTAATGTATATGGAATCCTCTCAAAATAGTGTTATATATATATATATATATATGCAATTGCAGTAACCTATCCCTCAATTTCAGTCAAGATTGGTTTAGGTGTTGCCATAGAAGGATATGACTACACAACCAAGAAATTCAAATTGCATTGGTAGGACTAACATTTTACCTGGCAAAAATAGTCATCTACAGAGTGCTAAAAGGTTAAATATGCTAAAGAGTATCACTAAAGTTCTATGCAAGTAAAGAAATCAAAAAATTTTGACAATTTTGTTGTCATGCTTAAAAATGGCACATCTGTGAAGTAGTTACTTAAAATAGAAATTTTTGAGAACAAAAGAACAAAAAAAAAAAAAAAAAAAAAAAACTGTGTATAGTGCAATCTCCTATTTTATTTTTTTTGGCATAATTACCTGATCATCAAAACTGGCACTATAATTGAGTATATACAGTAATGATTCTTAGTTTCTTTACTAAAAAAGAAAAAATATATTTTTTTAAATTACCTTAATAAGTTGGAAATTGTCAGCCATTTTCGCCGAAGGACATATCTCTGCCAATTGGTTGGACACAAAAAGGAGACGTTCCTGTACATCTTCATTCACAACTTGCACCCACAAGACATTACAGTTTTCCACATAACTTACTAAGACTGTTTCCTGAAAAAGACAAAAATCAAAATAGAAGATAAACACAGTAACTGCCACTTGTGAAGTAGACTCAATATATATATTTTTTTTTTCTTGAGAACTTTAAGAAACTTTTCCTTCGTATTAACTAAGAGTAGGATTCAAATTAAGGATTGCAGCACCCTGAATGCACAGGGGTAGGCGGACACCCTGTGTATTGTGTGTCTCAAATCATTGAGACAAATCACAGCAAAAACTCATTGCGAGATTGAGATATATATATACATATACACACACACACCAACCTCACAATTTTATTGTTTTTAAAGAAATAAACTCATTTCAGGCCACTTTTCAATTGACAGTTTTATGGCCAAAATAGTTTTACAAAACGTGTGAAAAAACGTCATTTTATTTTCAAGTAAACATCAAAGATCTGAATGCTAGTCAAGAGTTAAAATTTTTGCCGATACACCGGGGAGATATATATATATATATATATATATATATATATATATATTGAAGAGGAGTAGTGGTTTATCCCTGGTTTCTTCTAAAGTTTTCTCATTGACTCTCAGTAGTGCCTTGCATCTTAGTGGCATTATTGCCTTGCTTGGAAGATATATATATATATCTTAGTGGCAACTCTAGGTCAATATATGTAACAAAACAACTTAATATTAAGAATGACTCCTCTCAAAATTTCAAATATGTCATCATCTGTTTAAAAGGAATGATCAAATATTTTCTCAAGTGACCATCCTTCAAGTTCTGTCTTACAATTTATTCAGCATTCTTCATTTCAGTTTCCAATCTATAAATTTTGACAATTTGCAAATGGCTGCTAATTTCCCATAATAGTGTTTATATGCTTTCCTTGCATGGAAACTAAATTGGATTAATTAATTGAATTAATATGAGGAAATATTTAATGGTACAATATATCAAAATCTATGATACTACTATGGGATATTAGAACCACAGACGTGTCTTGGGTGCAACTGACATTCTAGAACATGGAAAACTGGATTTTTAAACATGAGAATGATTTTTTTTAACACTCCACTCATCATACATGGAAGTTTCATGGAAAAGAAAGAAAAGAATGGATTGAGTCCTGATTGTTTACATTCTAAAGAGACAGGACAATCTTGGGAAAAAGAAAAAAAAAAAAAAATTGAGACAGAGTTGTAATGAACTGATCCAAAGAAAAATTAGAAATACCATAAAATTTTATTGAGTTATGAAGAGACATGACCATTTGATGATACCCTTCTGTCTTATATAAAAATTTTGTTTTTTAATAAGAAATGAAATCTAGAAAAAAAGAAAAAAAGAAGCATGTAAACAAATCTTATGTTTTAAGCTATTTAAATCATATCTTCATTTAGCAAATTTATGAATAAAAATCATTTTCCTTTTAATGTATAAACAAGACCTCAAAAATATTAAATCATTGATATATATATAAAAAAAGAGATATTCCCTAGATATTTCAGTTAACATTGGTTTGATATTAATGAAGCTGACTACTACACACTGAAGAAAAAATTGCATTAGTGAATAGAAAATTTTTTTGCCTGTTCAAAATTTGTGTTCTACAGAACACCCAAAAACTTAAATAAAATTAAAATTATTCTCAAATATTCATCTACAAATAAAAATAAATGTATGATTAAAAATTAAAGAAATCACTTTTTGACTAAATTAACATTTGTCATAAAAAAAAATTAATAAATAAAATATAGTTACTTAAAATTGCTGTGTTTTTGTAACAAAATGAAAAAAAAAAAAAAAAAGGATTGTATAAAAGGCACTGTTCCTATTTTATTTTTTTTGGCATAATTACCTGATCATCAAAACTGGAGTTAATTGAGGCATATCAGGATCTAATGATTCTTAGTTTCTTTACGAAAAAGAAAAAATATATTTTTTAAATTACCTTAATAAGTTGAAATTGTCAGCCTTTTCACGAAGGACATATCTCTGCCAATTGTTGGACACAAAAGGAGATTTCTGTACATCTTCATTCACAACTTGCAACCCATAAGACATTACAGCTTTCACATATCGACTAAGACTGTTTCCTGAAAAAGCAAAAATCAAAAATAGAAGATAAAAATAATGCCCTTGGAAGTAGACTCAATATATATTTTTTTTTTTGAGAACTTTAAGAAACATTACCAAAAGTAGTCATTAACAAAATCTTAGGATTCAAAACAGAGGATTGCAGCACCCTGAATGCACAGGGGTAGGCGGACACCCTGTGTATTGTGTGTCTCAAATGATTGAGACAAATCAGCAAAAACTCATTAGAGATTAAATAAATATATACATATAGATAAATGGACCATCCTCACAATTTTATTGTTTCCAAAAAATAAACATTTAAAACTTTAAAATTGACAGTTTATGGCCAAAAATAGTTTTACAAAAGGATTTTGAAAAAACGTCACTTTTATTTTCAATTGGCAAAACATCAAAATCTGAAGTTTAGTCAAGAGTTAAAATTTTGGGAGAGGCTACAGGGGAGATATATATATATATATATATATTTATTAAAAAAAATGATGGTTTTATTCGAAGGAGTTTCTTCTAAAGTTTTCTCATTGACTCTCAGTAGTTCTCTTATATCTTATTAAAATTATTGCCTTGCTTGGAAGATATATATATATATCTTAGTGGCAACTCTAGGTCATGTTTGTTGTGCTCATTACAGTCTTTAACAAAATATACTATTGCTAAAACTAAGGAGTAAAGGCATCATTTTACCATCTAACTAAAATACATAATTTTTAAAAATCTGTGTATGAAATTAACAAAAAAACATTTTGGTGGTTAGGGTTAGTGGAATGCACTAGCCAGATAGGTTTATTTTTTTTTTGTTTTTTTTTAAACTAGTGTGTGTGTATCTATCTTGAGTGGGTGTTTTCAAATATGTCTATGTGCCAGAGTGTTTATGTATCTCTGTGAATTTTTAGTTTAATTTATTATACGTTTATGATCAGTACTGCCAACATATATATTTCCTCAACACTACTACCCCAGTCACGTTACTCAGTCCTCAATTATGGCCACTTTCTTTGATTTTTGCCAACTAAGTCAGGCTAAATTTAATTTGCCCTTTTTTTCAATTGATACATTCAGGAAAAAAAAAAAAAACAAAACTTATAGTATACGGAATAAATTATTTAAAACAATATTTGAAAACAATAAGTTGAAAAGCAATGTGTTATTTGAAAAAAACAGGGCATTAAATCAGATTTTAAAAATTTATTTATAAAATAAAAGCAAAATACATAATATATTATGATGTAATAGAGTCAGACCATAGCCCAACTAACATTAGTTTTATTTCATTTTTTTTTTTTTTTCATTTCTTGTTTATTATGAACAATATCAACAAAATGTATTTCAGTCAATATTTTAAGGCAACGGTTAAAACAATTTTGGCTCCAACTGAAGTCAAGAATGAAAATGATGCACTATGAAAGATTTTCATTGCTTTGAAATAGATATACTTGAATGTCGACTCATTTGGGCTAAGCCCAACCCCCAGAGTCACCACTAATATATAAGAAGAATTAATGGATTTTTATTACTTCAAACAGCATGTATTACACCTATCGTTCCTACACATACAGGAAATCGGAGGAAAATAGGGCCTTGTTGCCAAGGTCAAATCAAACTGCCATTTCACCTACAAAGGAGGATGCAGATTTTCCAGCCGAGAGCAGATTTTCTTTAAGTGTACAAACCTATAGACATAATACACAATATAATTAAATACAGCTAAAAATAATAGATGGAAATTGTGAGAATTCCAGGCTAGCAGGACTGAACTGCAAAATGTACTCAATAGATCACTTGAGCTTTAATATTCAATAAATCAACAGAAGTTCAATTGACTTGTCTGGTTGCATGACGACATTTTTACATCTGACACAAATTAGTGCTTTGATACAAAATGTGCCAGTTGGTGAATCAGACAAGTTGCATTAAGTTTTCTTGATTTATTGAATAATAACTATAAGTAATAAAAGAAAAAATTGACAAAAAAAAAAAAAAAAAAAAATATACTAGAAATTGATAATCTTACATCTCCAGAATCCTCCAAAGAGGATTGACTGGAACGAGAACTTTTGCCATCTTGCTTGTTGTTTCCTCCATGCCGGTTTGGTCGGTCCTCAAATGGCACTGTAATGTTAGATAAGAAAGAAAATTAAAAAAAATATCTTGCATATACACAGACGAGTTTTAATGAAATTTAGTCCGATAATTTTACAGTAGTAAACAAAAAAAAAAAAAAAAAAAAAAAAAAATAATTTTAGAAACACTGGGTGCCTTTGTATTTGTTGTCTTGTGCTAAGTTAAGCTTAATAAATAGCTAGATTTTGATTACTAATGTGCAAAAATATTAACATTGTCACTGTTGCATTTTTATAGCATTGTTGCCTGGTTGTGCTGGACAATTTTGGAAAAAATAAGAAATTTCCATATATATATCTTCAGGAAATGAATCTTTAAGGTTTTCTTCTTGATTATTATAATGTTCTGTAGTTTATATTGAACTCTCCCTGGATTAATATCCTCTTGGAATTATTCCTACCAATCACAAATTGGTTATATATATATATATATATATATATATATATATATCTTCAAGAGGATAAAAATCAAGCTAGAGCTCTATGTACAAGACAGCAAGAATATAATATAAAAGGCTCAAACACTCATATTTCATGGTTATAATTTATTACATTGGAATCGTAATCACAATCCAATTCATCAGATGTACAAATTCAAAAAGAAAACAGACCCCCCCCCCAAAAAAAAAAACAAACAATTTCAGTGAAAGTGTATGCGTGGGATTGAAATGTATGAAAACTCTAGAGAGAGGTGTAACAAAAAGAAGAGGAAAGGGCCTAAGGTGAAGATAAGAAAATTAGATCAGCCAATTCCGCTACCTACTGTGGCACCTTGCATTATTAGAAATATTCATAGAAATATGATTTAATTTTTTCTTATTCGGTTTACTAAACAGGTTGTTGATTTTTTTTAAAAGCAGGAAAATAATTGAGTTGAAAATAATTCACTAAGATTGTACTTGGACGATCCTAAGGGAAGAAGAAGGAAGGGGAAAGAGAGGTCAAGAAATACAAAAAAAAAAAAAACGGTCATTAACAAAAACACGAGTCAGAAAGATATCTTAGCTAGCATGTTGACCGAATTTTTTTTTTAAAGACAATTGGAAGAATAGAATTGGAAATAATAAGAAAGAAAGAAAGGGAAAAAAAAAGACATGATATCAAAGCGGGCCGCTTGATGGAAGCCAGATATCGGTCAAAGCACCTAGCCTACTTTTGCATGGAAAGACACCTTATCAATTTGGATAAAAGAAATTTTGGGAACAATGAAACAATCTTAATCAGAGAAAAAAGTGTCTTTTGGGTTGAGGGGGGACCGGTGGAACGGTATACAGGCTCTGACCTGTTAAAAATTAGAACCCCCCAATAATAAAGTGGAGACATTTTCAATGTAGATAATTAAGATTTTTTGACTATCAGGAAAAACAAAGAGGTAAAAAGAAGGGACAATTTTTTTTGGCTCACAGAGGGCGCCAAGAAGAAGGCGGAAAAGATCCTTTCTGAAGTCAAGTCTAATTAGCGGCGGGCTGTTTGACAAAGTCCAGGTGAGAGAAGGCCAAGATGGTCATTTTTCGTGCGTCGAAAAAAAAAGGAAAAATTAGATTTTGTTTTTTAGAACAAAACGATATAAGCCGCCCGATTGATTACAGGAAACGCCCAATCAGGATCTCATTAGCAAAAACGGTCCGTGGCTGCAGAAAAGAAAAAGAAAGAAATGCTCAACCAGAATAAATTAGCCGAAACGTCACGTGGCTGCGGAAAAGAAAGAAAGAAATGCCGATCAGAATCTCATTAGTCGAAAAAGCGGTCACCTGACATACTGAGAGACCGAGAGAGATGGATGTCGCCTCCCCCCCCAAAAAGCACTATGAGGAAGTAGGGTGAAAACAATAGCGATAATGGGGAAACAGAATTAATGCGGCTATTGGAATTATCGAGAAAACCCTGACGCCGACAGACCCACCCCAGTTTGTTGCGGCGTCAATAAAAGCAGGACCCCAGTCGACAGAAATCAGTTGGAGTTGAGAGTTGCAGCTGGACCGCTGGCAGGATAGAGCCTGAACGCGCCATCAGGCCCGATCTATCCCCTTTTGCGGGCAAAAAGAATCTCAGACAAGAAATCCTTCCAGCCCAAGTCGAAGACAGATGAGTTCAGCCTGGACGGCAGCTTAGAAGAGATCACCTCCACGCATAGAGAGAGCGGCTGAGTTGCGTGATCCTTCCAGCCCAAGTCGAAGACAAGAGAACTTCCAGCCTAAGTTCCACGAAGAAGAAGAAATACAACCCAAGTCAAGACAAGAGAACTTCCAGCCTAAGTTTAAGAAGAAGAAATACAACCAAGTCGGAGAGAAGAATCAACTGTGAATGATCGGAGCAGAAATTAGCCCCAGTGTCGAAACAAAACCGACATACACAATTCTAAAGAGTAGGCACCAAATCTTTAGGTTGTGTGATGGTTGTTGTTAGTCCACAGAGCGGGTCGGGAAATAAGAAACAATTTTTTCTTTATGTAACGGACATTAGATATAAAGGTTGTCACCCTTTTATCAGTAACTTTTTGTCTCGTGAGTTTATTTTTCTTTTACTTGTGTTTTGCCACCCCGTGGGACTCAACTTGTATCGGCCCCAATCCTGCTGGTCCCGTCTGTCTAAGATCTAAACACAGCGTGGGTAGACAGACCCGGAGATCAGTACAGTTGCTTCAGTAACCAGGTATTGAAGCGAGTTGGGAAAAAGCGAGGCTGGTGATCATCAACCAGGGGTTGGAGGCGCTTGCGCTTGGAACCAGGAGGGGCGGCGTCACAGTTGGCGCCCGTAATGTGGGATTCGACCCTGGGCCAGGTGTGTAACCGTCACACTACGTCACAACCTTTCAGTATCATCAGGTGATTGTCTGAAATCACCTGAAGATACCGAAAAGTTCAAACCAAGGTAGCAGAATTGGCTAATCTAATTTTTTTTTTTATGCTTAAAAGCTCTACATATTAAATTTTTATCTTTTTTATACGTGTATTGAGCACTTTTTAATACTGCTGTTTCTTGGTCTAATTAACTCTGACCATTAACATAAATTATACATATGCATACATACACACATTATATATATATATATATATATATATATATATATATATATATATATATATATATATATATATATATACATACACACACACTTCAGCAAAAGGCAATGTAAGTGTCAAACATGTATAGGTACAGGGTCATTAAAAAAGAAAGCAGATTTTAAAAATTTAATAAGACAAATGCAAAACATTACTGGATAGGAAAAGGTTCAAAGTTTATTGTCTTAAAGTTATTCAACATGTATACACTAAACATGAGCATCAGGTGTTGTGTGGCAAACATCAAAGGAATATCCCACTTTTTGACACTTGAATCAATTGATCTGTGGATATTGAATTATAGCTTCAACAATTCAATGTCTAAAATGTTCAAGAGTAGCAGGCATAGGTGGAAGATAAAAATTACATTGGGTAAGATCTGGTGACTTGAGAGGCTACAAACGATTATCAAGGTTCTCTTTTCCATAAATTAGGGCAATTTAAAGTTATACAAGTAAAAAAACAAGCATTTCAACAAGGTTGAAAAATTTTTTTCACTTATTTTAATAAATTTTGAACTCTTTCTTATCTAGCAATGTGTTGAATATGTTTCTGTCTATTATCATTTGTTTTTATTAAATTTTTGAAATTTACACTTTTTTGAATAACCCTGTATGTCGATAGCAGTGGAAGTGTTAACCAGAATTAGAAAGATATCTTCCATTCACCATTTTACCGCAACTGGGTTAACATGCCCCTTCCAAACTCTGAGATTAATAATATCAATGAGATAAGAAAGAAATTTTCATAAGCAGTTAAAAAACAAATTTTCTTAGCAAGAAATTAATCCCCAAAAAACTGACAAAAAGAATCTTATTTATAATGTTAATACCATTCATATTTTTTTTTTTATATAGTAACATTTTTTAAGCCTTTATGCTAAAATTATTTCCTCTTAGTAGATTAACATTGATCAATACTTCATCTTGTATTGTCTAAGTAATGAATTAGAAAAGGCTTCATAAAATTTTCAACAACCAAATCATATCTTTATCCTTTCTCTATCACTTTGAAGATGAGCAGGAAACATTAATTATTGCCAAAGAAATTTAATATGAAAAAGATTCTCACCGATGTCTGGTCCTCTGTTGTTCATTTTGTCCATTCTTTTATCAACAGCTTTATTTCCTGTAGATTGTGATTTGTCTCCAGGGAGTCTATAAATAAAGAGACAAGAAGGTTATTATTGTGTAAAGTGGAAGTGTATATGAGGAAGGGCAGAAAGACATATATATATATATACACACACATACATGATAAGGAGGCTGGGGAAAATATCCAGCTTCAAACTGACCTTTGTCTCTTGTCATTCTTGCCTGTTTTCTTCACTATGATTCGATTGCCGTCTACCTCACAGCCATTGCATTCTTCAACGGCTTTCTTGGAATCCTCATCACAATAGTAGCGCACATACCTGTGTGATAAAGAAAAAAGAAAGTCTAATTTCCATGAAGAAATCAAGAGCAAAACTTCAATGGCAGTTGTCTACTTTAATTCAAAACAGATCCACTTTAAAAAATTTTTCTTTCCTATCTGATAAGTATGCAAAGGATATTTAAGTTTCCTTGATAAATTATTTGAATTGTTAGAAGCTAAAATAAAATAAAAAATTAATCTTAATTTTTGGCAAGTCTTGTCTTTATTTAGTTGTCGCTCTTTATCACAACTTTCCATTTTAAATACACTTCGGAGATTCTCAAAACAATACTCATCTGTAGTGCCCATAAAAAAATACTTGAATAAAAAAAATTGATTATATTGTCATTTCCATAAAAAATAAATAAAAATTAATTATATCAAAAATAACTATAATAATTGTAACAATTAATTCACTCTTTCTCAATCAATGAGAATCAATCCCACTCTTCACACAAACACGTGACACTATCAAATAGGCTGTCAACACGTGTGTCAACAAAAATTTTGGCTCCTTTCCTTTATCAGGCCACAATGATACATTTGTCTTTTAACACACAACAAAAATTTGAGGTAGGAAAACCGCAGACGTTTCTTGTATTTTTCCAACTAAATTATCTGGACAGTAATTACACACATGTATAAGAAAGAAAAAAAAAAGCCACCATACATACGCAAAAGACTGTATACACTTTATTCATTCTTTATCTTAACCTGCTAGATTCTGATCCGTATTTGATCTGAAACTCATAATTTTACTCGGTCTTACTGTCTTGTTTCTCCAACACCAGATAACAACCAAATAATAAATAATACTAGTTTTGTCAATTCTACATCTTGGGGTTTCTCATTTTCTACAAGTATTTTTGCATATATAAATGTTAGGAGGATTATAATTGTTTACCGAGAGTTATAACTCTCCTACACATTTGAGACATCATTTTGTGAAAGCGTTTAGAATTACTTATTGAAGTCTTGTTCATGTTTTCTCTTTCACATTACAAATATTGCCATTTAATTGTCAGAGGGCATATCTTTGCCAATCACCATGTCATTAAAAATTGAATGGAAATCAATTTAGGTAGAGGCCAATGCAGGATTTAACTACATATTTCACATTATTTTTGAGAGAGAAGGGGACAGAGGAGGGTGGTGGGAAGAGAAGGGGACAGAGGAGGGTGGTGGGAAGAGAAGGGGACAGAGGAGGGTGGTGGGAAGAGAAGGGGACAGAGAGGAGGGTGGTGGGAAGAGAAGGGACACAGGAGGGGTGGTGGGAAGAGAAGGGGACAGAGGAGGGTGGTGGGAAGAGAAGGGACAGAGGAGGGGGGTGGTGGAAGAGAAGGGACAGAGGAGGGTGGTGGGAAGAGAAGGGGACAGAGGAGGGTGGTGGGAAGAGAAGGGGACAGAGGAGGGTGGTGGGAAGAGAAGGGGACAGAGGAGGGTGGCCTGAAATATTAAAATTGGAGATAGTACCAACACTCACCAGGCTGTATAGAAATAAAGCAATAGCAGATCTAGATGGCATTGTGTTAGAGATGCTGTCAGCATTAGAAGATTTTGGAATTGATAAGATTACCAAAATAATAAAGGAGATGACAGTAAAATACAAGAAGCAATATTCATAGTGATGCTAAAGACGCCAAGTGCAAATGAATGTCAACGACATTGGGCAATTAGCTTAATGCGCAACATTATTAAACTTATTAAGATCCTAATGAATAGAAGTCAGAGCAAAATAAGATTGGAAATCTGGCAAGAAAAGTGTGGCTTTATTGAAAACATAACGGTGAGGATTGAACTCCTTACACTGTTCTTTCATCTGTAATAATGTATAATGTTATTTACTAAACTCAGTGTGACAAGGTGACATGCAATGGTTTAGGTATTTTGTTTTCTTTTTTTTAATGGCACATCAACCTCTGGAGGTCATCTTAGTGTCAAATCTTTTCTTTAGTGTTGTAGAGCAGTTTTCACAGTGGAGGCTTGTATTTCACTAAGTCATCCTAAAAAGAGTCCGATGTACAAAACGTTAGGAACTTGCAATAAGAGTTAATAACGCAGCAATCTAGTTGTGATGGTTGATACTTCAATGCCCGACATCGACTGACTCACACAACACCACTGAGCTCAACTGGCGACCGCTACTACTACTTATGTGTGGGAGAGTCTATTACAATAGAATAGGTACTATAACATCCCCCATAAAACTTTACTCCGTAGGAGGAAAAAAGTTTTCTTTATTCATTTTTCAAATTTTTACAGAAAATATGAAGAAAAAAAACAACAAAAAAATTTTTTTTTTTTTTTTTTTTTAGCAACATCGTAGCATATTTCCTACGTTTTTTTATCCACTTTTAAATGATCAGCTGCCTTTCTTTTTTTCTTCTGGATTGGCGTACCTTAGGTAAAATTATTTGCAGGGGTTCTTAGATCAAACTTATTGAAAAATCACTTCCATCGGAGTTGATCTGGTTACTGCACGTGAGTTTTTCCCCTTTCACCAAGTACATCATATAGCCAATCCGCTTTTTTATTTTTTTTATATATCTCCAAAGCGTTACCAGAAACAACCTTCCGCTTTGAACTTCTTAAAGATGGACTCAGTTTCTGTAGGTTCTTCCTGTTGACTTAAATCATTTAATAATACTGCATGTCCTTGGCTGCAGGTAACTCGTTCCCCAGTTTTTTTCGGTGTTGGCTTCATTTTTACTTTCTGGAGCTTGTTTTTTTTACGTATATTGTTGGTGTTACCCATTCAACATTTTTAAATACACCCGTTTTCTATAATCTGTCCAATTCTTTATCTATCTGTTCAATTGAAGCAAACAGCACATTCTGTTTCTTTTTGAATACCACCCGAGTGTTTTGTTTTGGTTGTAATTTTGCCTCCATCTTGGTACACGTTCCCAAACCTGGAGAAAAAACAGTAGGAAAAGTTCTCTTAAGTTTTCTAACTAATTTTTGGGCTTCGTAGTTTAAATTTTCAACCTTGAAAGAATTTATTGGTAAATCCCATAATTGAAATTTTGTTATCTAATCCATACCAAGTAAGTTTGTGGTAATTTTCTATGACAAATAGTTTAGCTTTACGCGTTTTTTTTATTTAACGTGACGTTTGTAACAAATTCTCCAATAAACTGTATTTTTTCTCCCGTCACTGACCTCGTGATTTTATTTGTTTTCATTAAAATTGGTTTCCCCAACTTCTTCCACATATTCAAATTTATGATAGATAGGTCGGAACCAGTGTCGAGTTGCATTTTTATTACTTATTTCGATGGTAACAAATTTTCTAATTATTCTGTCATTCACTTCGTCGGATTTTAATTTTCTTATTTTATTGTCTTTATTTTTTGACCTGCAGTGCGAGCTTTCATGCCCCACTCTTTCACAGTTGAAACATTTTTTATTCCTAAAATTGCAATATCTGTACCAGTGTAGTTCACCGCAAGCAAAACATGGCTTCGGGAGTTTTTGTTTATTTTTTTTCTGGTATTTCACTTTTTGTTTGATAGACAGACTTTCTTTTTTGTAGCGTATTTTTCTTACATGTGAAACGCCAGACTGTTCTATCATTTTCGAGTCTTTCTTTATGCTAACATATCTTGTGCAGTCTTCTGCCAAACTGTATCGTAAGACTTTGTTGGTTTTCCAATTTTGATAATACCAATTTCCTCAATTCTGCATCACTTTCTGATACCAGTCCTTGAACAAACACTAAGCATTTAAAGTTGTCATCTCTTAATTCTAGACCTTGAACAAATACTAAGCACTTAAAATTGTCTGCGCTTAAGTCTGCTAGCTTGAATTCTTCACAATGCTTGTTCACAGTGGCTGCATACATTATATAGTCTTGTTCATCCTCTTTCATCAGATTCAAACATTTCCACCTCTTGTGAAACAAAGATGTCTTTTTACTAAATAATTCACTTAATATATTTACCGCCTCGGTAAAAGTCAACTCGCTAGTTTTTTTTTTTTTTCGGTAAAATGTAGTTTACCAATTTGTTATGCTCAGCAGTTCCCAACTTGCTTAAAAGAAGTCTAACCTTCTTTCCTTCAGATCATGTGTGGCAGTCCTTGTTATACACGTTTTTTAAAATACTCTTCAAGAGTTATTTTTGTCTGGACTGTACGTGAATATTTCAATCGAATTCCATATTGTATTCTCTGGGAAAGAAACATTTTGTAAATTTTTCTCTTTCCTCTTCTCAGTTATTTCCAGAATTTTGTTTTGAAACTCCTTATGCATCAGTTCCATTTCTCGTTGAAACTGTATCTGTCTATTAAAAGTTTCTTCCTGTAGTTGCATCTGGAATGTTTTCTGTTGCTCTAATATTGTCATTTGTTGTTCCATCTGGAACTTAAAAAATTCCTGGAATATATTTTTGCATTCCTCCATCTTCGCAAAAAGTTTACACAATGCTTAAATATTGTAGAGGGGGTCCAAAACGAATTTGTAATTCGTGACCTATTTGAGAAAACTGTCTTATCGAGAAAAAAAATTTTTTCTCAGTTGAGAATACAACTGATTTTTTTGTCACTAAGTTGACGTCTTGTCTTTCAAAAAACTTTTCCAAGTTTGTTTTTTTTTTTAAATGTGAATCCGAGATGTTGTCGCTGAAAATTTGACGAGCAAATTTTTTTTTCTTCACTGTATGAAACCGAACTTGTTTGTTATGGCGGGTGGATTTTTTTTTTCTCTTTTGTACGAGTTACAAATCCATGTTGACAAGTGTTGTAGAGTGAACGCAAAGTTTTTTGATTTTTTTCTGTATGAATCCAAAATACATTCGTTGCCAAGTCTTGTATATGGTGAAACGAATTTTTTTTTTTTTTTCCTTAAAATTTTTTTTTTTCGTATGAATTTCAAATTCTGGTTGCCAAAGTTGTTATAGAGTGAACAAAAAATTTTTCTTTTCCCGTATGAGAAACGAATCAATTGTCGCCAATGTGTTGTAGTTTTCAGTGGAGGCTTGTATTTCACTAAGTCATCCTAAAAGAGTCTGACGTACAAAACGTTAGGAACTTGCAATACGAGTTAATGACACAGCAATCTAGTTGTGATGGTTGGTACTTCAATGTCCGACATCGACTGGCTCACTCAACACCACTGACCTCAACTGGTAACCACTACTACTACTACTTATGCGTGGGAGAGTCTATTACAATAGAATAGGTACTATAACATTTAGTACACTTCCGATTTGTAAGAAAGTTTGTAGTTGTTTTTGGTTAAAAGAGGAGTTCTTGTATGCCTTACATATTGGAGGTTCCTCATTTTTCAGAAAAAGAGTCGGGTGAGTGTCAGAATTACCAAACCACCACAGTTCAGTGGTCTTTGAAATGGAGACAAATTTGATGCAAAAAATAGCAAGAATTAATCAGTTATACCAGAACGTACCTATTTCTATTGTAAATAGACTCTCCCACAGATAATAAGTAGTAGTCGCCAGAAAAGCTGAGTGAGTTGTGCGAGTCAGTCGATGTTGGACATTAAAGTATGAGCCCCACAACTAGATTGCTGCTTCATTAACTATTATTTCAAGTTCCTAACGTTTGCATGTCGAACCTAATTTAGGACCGACTGAGTGAAATACAGGCCTCCACTGTGAAAACTACTCTATAACATAATCACAAAGTCCCACTGTAAGTAGAAAGAATCACTTTTTACACAATGCCATGTGGCTTTTGTCTTGGTATTTTAGTATTTATTTATTCATATATTTTCTAAATTTTTAATTTTCAGACTAGTTATTTGTAAATTACAACAAAAATCGTCATACATAGCACGTATAAATCAAGCTTGTTCGGGTTTTTGGTAACCAGTGGGACTTTATATTGCCAGATAAAAGGCAGGAAAATGAAGAAATATTTTCTTCTATTTCCCCATCCCCTTTTCTTTGTCTTATTTTCTTATTGAAAAGCAAAGTCGCCATTACCAACTGTTGGGGAGGGGATGTTGACATGTCAGATTTGCCCCCACCCACCACCACACCTTGGTGGTCTCTGAAATGGAGACGCATGTTGATAAAGTCAGCTAGAACAATTCACTAAATAACCATTTGATCCGAAGATAGCAAGAGTTAATCACAAGGTCCCACTGTAAGTAGAAAGAATCGTTCTTTCCACAATGCTGGATAATCACATTGTTCAGTAATGGAACTTATAAGTTAAAACTTAATTGAAAAAAAAAAAAAAAAAAAAAAAAACTTTTTTCATCCACTCCCTGCCACTTTTTGGTAAGTATTCAAGTCGAAATGTTGGCGACTAAACTGATTACCCCATTCCAAGTTCTGAGTGAGGCAGCTCATTAGCAACCCTGTAGAATGAGAAACAAGACCTAACAAAGGGTGGAGGAACTCTGAGTCAATGGCTAGCAAACTAGAGGTGTTGTCTCCTTAAACCACCATGGAGAAGGTAACAGGAAACCACTCCACTATCAATCCAAAGAAAAATCAACTCAGATAATGTGAAACCTAATGGTGTGAAGGGGGTTAAGTCCATGGGAATTAGCTCCTTGCCTGACATGCACAACAGGTGTCACCTGACCGCCATTCAGCAACTGCTAGCATAAACAGTGTAAAAGGGATAAAAGTCCTCAAAACCTATCCCGAGCCTGGAAACATGAGCAACAGGTGTCACCGGACTGTTATCCTGTGACTGCTCGCATCAAACACAATAACTCTTGGGACATGGAATGCCTGAAAATTGAACAACTCTGGCCAGTTTGATAATGTTAAACAAGAGATGAACAGACTTAACATCAACATTCTAAGTGTATGTGAAACCAGATGGCCAAACAATGGTGATTTTGTCAGTCACAAAGACGATAATTTATGCATGCGGTGAGAAGAACGACAGAAGAGTAGGACTAATATTAGATAGTGCATTTAAGAAATGCATTCTAGGATACCACCAACTTTCCAAAAGAATTCTGGTAGTGAAGTTGAAAGGGAAACTTTTCAATGTGGCTATTTTAGTAGTGTATGCACTGACAGCACAAAGCAAGGAAGAGGACATCAAATCTTTCTACTCTATGCAAATCACAGGAAGTCATCATTATCATGAGAGACCTAATGTCAAAATGGGCAGGGAAAAGGCAGGAAGATTTGGACTAGAAACCCACAATGAACGTGGAGTAAAATGAATCCAATGGTGCACAGCCAGTGACCAGGTAATAGTCAACACATGGTTCCAAAAACATCCAAGACAACAATGGACACGGAGGAGTCTAGGAGGAGAAACTAAAACCCAAATTGATTATATAACCATCAAGATTTAAGAATGCAATGATTCACTGCAAAACCTACCCAAGTGCCGACTGTGAAAATGATCATCACCCTCTTATATGTAAACTAAGAGTGAAACTATGGAAATTGAGGAAGCCTAATGCAGCACCCAAACTGCAATACAACAAATTCCTGAGTGACCCTAGCCTAAAAGAAAAATATATGGACAATGTGGAAAGATACGACGCACACAGTGGAATCTTGAAATAGGACACACTAAGAGATGCTTTAGTGACATCAGCAAACGATATCATCCCAAAGGAGGCAGGACAAAGAAGAAAAAAAAAAAAAAAAAAACAAAAAAAACAAATAGATGACTGATGAGATTCTGAACATGATGGAAAGGAGACAGAAAACGCTGCCAAGATAAGGGACAGAGTACAGAAAATTAAACAATGAAATAAAGACCAAATGCAGCCAAGCTAAAGAAGAATGGCTAAACAAAAAAATGTGCAGAAATAGAAAGATTGAGTACTACCAACAAAAGAGACATGCACAAACAAATAAGACAACTAACAGGTCAGAAGACATGTTCATCAAACAGGCTGCCTAAACACTCATCTTAGAGAAGGAAAAAAATTCTTCAATGCTGGAGCGAGTATATTGGAAAACTCTTCCACGACAAAAGGGAACAACCAGCAATACACAGAACTACTGACAGACTTGGAATTTTGAAAACTGAAGTAAAAGCCACACTGGCCAAATTGAACAGAAACAAGGCAGCTGGGCCAGACGGAATTATAACGGAAATGCTGACAAACTCAGATGACTTTGATCACTGAAATAAATGAAATCTATGACAGCAGGAATATACCAGAAGACCTCAGCAGATTTATCTTCATAGCTACGCCTAAGAAACCAGGCACAAATGAATACAAACTCCACTGAACAATAAGCCTAATGAGCCACATGACAAAACTCACCATCCATATTCTGATGAATAGTGCACACACCAGGATAGGACAAGAACAGTGCGGGTTCATTAAAGACACTGGAACAAGGAACACAATATTCATGCTCGGTAGTACAAATGCAGAAGGACATGTACTTGTGTTTTATAGACTATAAACAATCGACAATGTACGCCACAAGGATCTGCTGGAATTGCTCAGCAACCTTGACATATTTGGGAAAGATATCAGAATAATCAAGAACCTATACTAGCAGCAAACAGCATGTATGTGCGTAGGGAATGAGTTCAGTGAATATGCAAAAATATACAGGGGCATAAGGCAAGGATGGGTCTTCTCACCTGACCTGTTCAACCTATACAGTGAGGCAATTCTAAGAGAATTGGAAATCCTACCAGGCTTTAGCATTGGTGGCCACAATCTTAACAACACAAGATACGCAGATGACAGTACCGATAGCAGACATAGAAAAGAAATTACAAAATCTCTTACAGAAGATAGTGACGGAGAACGAGAAGAAAGGACTAAGCATAAACTACAAGACAACGGAATGCATGGTCACTAATAAGAGGATGAGTCAGAAATGCGATTTGCAGGTCAGGTACACTAGAATCAAGCAGATGTGGAAGTTTAAATATCTGGGAAGTATTTTGACAGAGGACAGTAAGTGTGACACAGATTTGTAGACGTATTGGGATGACCAAGGACACATTCCAAAAGCTAGACAGAGTATTGCGAGACAGGAGGATTTCTTTGGTAACAAAGAAAAGAATACTGAGCAGTTACATGACATCTGTCCTCCTTTACGGCAGTGAATGCTGGACGATTTCCTCAAGGATGGAGATGTGATTCTACAGAAGGATGCTAAGGATATCATGGACCGAGTGAGTGAGCAACGATGAGGTCTTAGAGAGGATGCAAACAAAGAGGAGGTTTATGCTTAACATCAGGAAGAGGCAGCTGAAGTTTCTGGGACACATGAGGAAGGAGGGTCTGGAGAATCTGATACTCACAGATCAAATAGAAAATAGAGGGAAAGAGGGACAAGGGAAAGAGGGACAAGGGAAAGAGGGACAAGGGAAAGAGGGACAAGGGAAAGAGGGACAAGGGAAAGAGGGACAAGGGAAAGAGGGACAAGGGAAAGAGGGACAAGGGAAAGAGGGACAAGGGAAAGAGGGACAAGGGAAAGCAGTGCGTGACATTCCTGGCGGGCTTGAGCAGGTGGATGACAGAACGAGGTCTGGGGGACGTAGCAGAAGGAACTTGTTGAGAGCTGCAAGGGATAGAGGGAGGTGGAAAACCATGATCGCCTACATCCTGAAAAGATATGGCACATAAAAAGAAAGAATGTGTGACCAATGAGAAGTCTAGCTAGAACTACCTCTTATCTTTCTATAATCTCGAGAAGGCCACAAGTGAGGAATAAATGTGCATCATGGTTTAATAGATATTGGTTTGGAACAAGAAATCTGAAAACAGAGTTCAAATTCCAGTCAGGTTCATTACATTCATAGTATGCACAAATACACTTGGGAAAGGTATGAATTCATCTCTTACTCCCAGCTATGGGTTAAATAGCAGGACAGACTGGGTCCTATAGCCTAGGCTGGAAACCAGTTGTAGTGAACGAGATAATCAAGTACCCCGGAAAAAAGTTCGTGTTTTGTGTGTGATCTGCCGGGGAGGGATTGCCAAAAAGAAAAGTAGTCAGCAAAACTCTTATAGCGACTTACCTCGTCAACCCAAGCTTAAAAAAGAAACAAGTTAAATCTGGGAGTCGCTATAAGAGTGTATTAATATACAAATTACGGAGCATCCTATCCTGGCTGTGAATTGAATGGAAAAAAATAGGTTCTGCCGATAAAGCAGTTGATGTTGTCGACTCGGGAGGAAAAATTCGGGCAGTTTTAGCTCTGCGTTTCGTGAGTTATTTTCCTGACGTGTTACAAGTGATTCTCTTTCTTTGTGTTGTGAAAGCCACAAATTTGATTTGAGAACGCTTACTCTTCACCAGTCTATAGCAGAAAGAAAAGGCAGCCTACTGCAGGAAGATCATCTGCCTAGTTAGTCAGGAATCAAAAGAGACATGATTGCCTAGGCATTTATCATGTATGGCACTTAACTGACTGATTCATTAAAAAAATTATTATCAATGATAGCTTGTTAACCATTATCCTACCTTAAAGCACCCTTATCTGCACAATGTATTCATAAGGTCCTGAATTTCACTGGCATTTTGTGGAAGGGTGGGCCATGAGTCAAGGAATAATTGATTTCAATTTTTTTTTTCTTCTTTCAATTGAGATTTATTTCATATATTAAGAAAATAATTTGAAATATATAGCAAAATCTTGCCTTGATTGGTAGCCACAATTTCAACAATGCAAGTTTTACAGATTGGAGAACCAAAATCAAACAAGTACATCAATTTAAATGTCTGGAATGTGTTTTAACAGAGGACAGAAAGTGCGAAACTGAAATCTAAAGGTGCATTGGGATAGTGAAAGATGCCTTCCATAAGTTAAGCAAAGCATTAGTAAACAGGAAAATTTTGTTAGAAATAAAGAAAATATAAGTCCTCCTATATAGCAATGAATGCTGGACAATCTCACAGATGAAGACACTTGATGCAACAGAAATGTGGTTATACAGAAGGATGCTGAGAATACCATGGACTGAATATGTCGGCAATTATGAAGTTTTAGAGAAAATGGAAAAAAAAAAAAAAGAAAAGGAAAAAAAAAAAAAAAAAAAAAAAAAAAGGAAAAAAAAAAAAAGGAAAAAAAGAAAAAAAAAAAAAAAAAAAAAAAAAAAAAAAAAAAAAAGGAAAAAAAAAAGGAAAAAAAAAAAAAAAAAAAAAAAAAAAAGAAAAGGAAAAAAAGGAAAAGAAAAAAAAAGGAAAAGGAAAAAAAAAAAAAAAAAAAAAAAAAAAAAAAAAAAAAAAAAAAAAAAAAAAAAAAAAAAAAAAAAAAAAAAAAAAAAAAAAAAAAAAAAAAAAAAAAAAAAAAAAAAAAAAAAAAAGAAAAAAATGACTTATACTTAACATCCGACAGTTGAAATTTCTAGGGACCATAATGAGGAAAGTGGGCATGGAAAATTTGATACTCACAGATCAGATTAAACACAAGAGGGACAGAGGAAAACATCACCATCTACCTAGCGAACTTCAGTAAATGGATGGTAGAACAGGATTGAGGAGATATAACAAAAAGACAATTTATTAAGACAGAAAATCATGGAGATCTGTGATAACCAATGTCCTGAAGGTACATGGCATATAGATCTATCTGAACTGATCTTGATTCAAATTTTAGTGCCAATGGAACTGACAAAAGAACTTATCTTAATAATTTCTAGCTGTTGGATGAAAGTAAGTTTCTCATTATTTTCTTAAATGATAATATTTGTAATATGAAAATATGGATTCCAAAAATAATTATAAACTTTTTCAAAAAGATGTAGAAAAAAAGACTTTGCAAAATTATTATACAGTATACGGCAGATAATGGTAAGACATTAGTGGTAATGGTGTTTTCATTTAGCTAATGTCTTACTATTATGAGGGAGGTATTTCTGCCACACCCTGTAGAGCAGTTTTTGATTATTGACCCATCAACAAATTTACTTTTTACACTATTTACATTATTCACAACATTTTAGCTATTGAACACTGGCCTTCTTCTGTTGATATATGTTGGAATTTCAAACTGAACCCTTTAGTTCACGAGGGTAGATTGTTCTAGTTCCACATGCCATGCCTTTTCTGGATATCCCAGTTTCATTTAATTCTCTTTAGTAACTCAACTGTCCCCAAGGACACATAGGCCAGTGGATAAAAGTGTTGGTTGAAGTAATCCAAAAAGTCACTTGACCCAAAGAGTTGTGAGTCTAATACCAAACCACAGTAAAAGTAAACAGTAGGTAACAACCCAAGAATAAAATCTGGTTTACTGCTGGAAATTGTTTTGTTTTTCACTGGTTGGTAACAATCTGGCCAAAGGGTAATTTTTAAGCTACAAGTGTTTGACTACAAATGGCATTCCGTCAACAAACTTGGTGTCTGGTCTGAGCTGCGATGCAACACTTTCCTCATCATTTTTTTTTTTTTATTATATCCGATTCTACTATTGCAGTTTTTCATTTTTAGTTTCCAGATAGGTTTTGACAAGATGGTGTTATTTCTATACATTTCATATTTGAATGATAAGTAGTTTTTCATATCTTTCAATTCCTTCCCAATTGCTCTGATATAAATCCTCTCCTCTTCTGGATTCTCTTTCATTATCACCTTTGCCTTATATACAACATTTTCTTGTCAGCAATTTCCCTGTATTGGACACTTGGTTTGATTCTACAATTATTTTTTTTGTTAGTGTTTTTGTAAACCACTTTTAAAAGTATTTATATGTATACATAAGAAAAGGAAGATATTATATATGTTTTTATAAACATGACAGAAGATAAAAGAAAGATAATAAAATGCAACTTACGAAATTTTAGTACCAGGTGTACTATTGTTGTCTCTAACAGAGATTGATTGAATTTCTCCAAATTTAGAAAACAAACGTCCAACATTTTTCTAGAAGAAAAAAGAAAAAAAAAAATTAATGAAGGCTAACAATAACAAAAATATACACATGACAAGCAACAATGATAGTAACTTTATTTGTCCACAAATTCTGGTTCAATGTATTTTTATGTAAAAAAAGGACAGGCATAAAGTCAAAGTTATTTCTAAAAAGAAAAAGGAATATTTTTCAGTCATCACTTTGGGTGTGTCTAAATGCCATGTCTCTTCAGGACATAGACAGTCATATCTTTCTGAAGATTCCTTTATATTTTCTTTAAATTGCCAAGAGTCGTTTTCCCATTGCCTTATCGGGTTTGGAATTCAGAGCATTCCTTCTCTTAGGCAGGTTTCCACCCAAGTTAGAGAGTCTAGTCAACTCTGACATTTAACCCATGGCTGGAGGGAGAAGAGGTGGATTCATGCCTTCTCCAAAGGTGTTAGTGCAAAAGTAAGCAAAAGACTTAACCCAGAATTTGAACTTGGCTCACAGATTTTAGTCTTTATGCTGATGATATCCATTACACTACCCACACTTCCTACTTTGGGTAAGAAGATTCTTTCTCCAAAATTACTCACAAAAACAGCATGACAATACAGGAGAAAAAAAAGGGGAGGGGGAGGTCCCATATTGCTTTGTCAATAAATTTGAAAAAAAAAATTTTTTTTTTTTTTTTTACCTGGTAAGTCTCAGCCGTGAAATATTTTTTCTTTTAGTGATAATTGGCGATTTCTTAGTTAATGCCTTTAATTAATCTCCATTTACAATATTGAAAAAGAAAAGTCATCGTACAAGGCTCGAGTTAGCTTGAGGCTTAGTTTTCATGAACTTTCCAAAAGGTGCCACATACTAGAATCATCTCACTAGGCTGATAATATAAAAAAGCCTGACCAATCGTTTATGGTGAGATTTGAACTGGGGTCTCAGTCAGAAAATGAATATTCTAGTCACTTGGCCACATGCCCATTGTTCAGATTACTGAACTCTTTTTTTTTTTTGCATAAGTGTACAACTAAGACATTTTTCTAAAGACATGTTCATATTCTTATTCTTTTCATACTGTTGGTTCCTGTTTATGGGACATCAAGAAGAAAAACAATGCAGGCACTAACTGCTGGATTTGATAGAATTTTGACATTACCAGTCAAAACATTAACATTGATATTTGACCTATTTGTGTTTCTTAAATGAGAGAAAAAAATAATCTGTCTTATTATTCTCAAATAAATAAATAAGAGGTGAAAAAAAAAGGGGGGGATTCAATCAAGAGGAGAAAGGGAAAGTATATCCAATGATATATCCTATCACAGATCTGAAGAATATCAAGAACAGGATGGATTGATTTGGTTTTTATGGCTTATCAACCTTTCATAGGTTATATAAGCCAGAAAATAATTTTAGATTGTAAGAATAATTGTAGAGTGGTCATGGTTAAATGTAGAATAAATGATAGAACTGTCCAACAAACAGAATTGACAAAGTTTGCAATAAGCAATAACAAGAAAAAGAACAGAGGGAAAAAAATAATATAAAGCAAGCAAACAATATATGCAAGGCAAAGCAACAGTAATAAGGCAAAAGTTCAAACTAAGAATTGGGATTGACACACAAGAGCAAGTTTGGACAAGTGAACGTAGTGTTCTGGCTTCAAGACAAGACAGACTAGGACTGGGTCAGATAAAACCAAGAATTGGCTTATTTCATTGGCTAGGAAAAAATCCCAGCATGTATTTGTGTGCTTCTGCCTATAAATTGGGAAGGAGCAAGTGTTTTGTAGTCATTCTTACTGTGAATTAAAACCAACAATAATGATTTTACTGACAAGTTCTAGTAATTATCCCATAGCTTAGGGGAGGAGAAATGGTATATTTATACCTTTCCCAAGGGTATTTGTGCATAAGTGAATATAATGATCCCAACTGGAATTGGAACTCAGCTCCCAGAATTACGATTCAGAGACATTATCCATTACAGCACCTGGTATTCCCAAACGGTTACCCATCTAGATACTGACTAGGCTCAATGCTGCTTAATTTCAGTTATCGTACAAGAACTGAAGAACACAATTTTTTAAAATTGCAGACCAACATGCCTGAAAGATGTAGACATTTCTTTTGGCATGTATTTGTTATGCAATCAAATATCTTTAAAAATTCAGTGAAAACCATAAATATTGGCAATTCTATTACATTTGTGGTTGGCCCTCCTTTTGTTGGTTAGTATGGGCATTAATGGACTATTCCACATTTTGCCTATATGGAAGGAAGGGGACATTACTTTGTTTTAGTGAAAGATAGAAGTGATGATCCCAAACAGTTTTGTCTACCCAATTTCACTCACAAGGTAGGGGTCAACCCATGGTATGGTTTTCAGGCACTTTCCAAAAGGTGCTGCACATTGGGATCAACCCCTCCAGTTTGATAACATCAGGAAGTCACATTCCTGACAAATTGACCATGGTGAGATTGAAACTGGGTCTCATGGTCAGCCATGTGACTAATATATATATATATATATATATATATATATATATATATATAAACAAACACCCTTTCTGCTATCATGAGGCCCTAGGTATTTTTTAACTTTCAGTCTATCTTTAATAAGCAAAGTATTTTCATCATCATAAATTTCTATCTAGGATCGAAGTGTAACATACACAATATCAAGCTGGAAAAAGTGGAGATGGAGATGGAGGAAATGTAGGAGGCAAGAAATTAAAAGGGAGGAGAAAAAAACTGAATAAGAAAAAAAAAGAAGAGGAAAAGAAAAGAATATGAGAGTAAAAGGTGAAAAAAGAAGCAAGAAGAGCCATTTTACTATCCTGCATTAGAATCTCTGGCTAGCTAAAGGAAACTGGACAGAAGCAGAAAGGCTGTTTGACCAACTATGTTCTCAGATATTGATTAATTCTACAGCATTGGCTGAATTGTAACTTAATGAAGACAGATACTGACGACTGACCAACACTTAAAATCTAACACAGACTTCCTATGCTCTCACAAATAAATACTTAATTGAATACTAGAATGAAAATAATTTTCTTTTTTTAAATTTATTTTAGTGAGTAAATTACGTTTTTTATTAAGATTTAATTTTTTTTTTTTGGCATTAGTTAAAAATTAATGCCATGATCATTCATTTTTAGTTGAAAGAGTGTAAAATTTTGGAGCAGCCATTTACAGTTGAATAAAGAACAATTGACCAGTCATGTATTTCTGAAGACTTGCATTTGAAAAATGTAGATTTTATAAAATCAGTTGTCTCCCATATTTTATGACCATAAAAGCAAAGTTCCAAAATTAAAACTGTTCCCCAAGCAATAAAGAGAGAATGGATCTTCAAGTACAAACATTGTACAAGTTCTATTAATAATCAATGAAAGCTAAAAAGGACACAAATATTTAGTTTGCTATCCAGCAAGCAAAACTCTCCATGAGGAGTTATTTGTGAAATGATTTAGCTTAAATTTAGCTTACAAATTTTGTTAGAAGAAAAGTAACATTAAGCAGTTGCAAATTATTATTATTTTTTTTTTTAATTATGAACTGGGAATATTTTTTTTTTAATTGCATATTACTGAGGATATTGATAATTTGTTTTCAAGAGTACAAAAACTGCTATAAGGACAAGGAAAGGAAAAGACGAAAACCTTACTCTAGTTTCATGAAGCACTGATTTTTCTAATGGCTACATGCAAGTGCTGAAAAGTTCTTGTCTCAACCAAGCTGCTGTTACAAAGAAAAAAAAACAAAAAAAAGAAAACAGGCATATGAAGTGGTTGGGCCAAGAACTTTTCAGCACTATCCAGATCTACATATAAAATATATATATATATATATATATATATATAAAATAAAGAAGTTAATAGCCAGAGTTGAATTAGGCCAGGAAACGGTAGCATTAAAAATGCTCAATACACATAAAAGATTCTGCTACCTTGGCCTTAGCCTTTCAGTATCTTCAGGTGGTTTTGGTCAATTGATTTCCTAACGCTTTCTTTTTTGAAAAATAAAAATTTATGAACACTATATTAAAAAAAAAAAAAAAAAAATTGGATTCAGAGAGAGGTGGAGGAGTCTAATGGTAATTATGATGGTACGGCAGCTCAGAAAACTCACTCTAATCATTCTGATAAGTAAAGAACTCCTGAATTTTTTGATGAGAGCCCCGAGATTCAACATTGAGGCCTACATCAAATGCCTTGAGGAGGTAGTGTTGCCCTGGATCAAGAGTGTCGCTACTGGAAGACCCTATGTCTGGCAATAGGACTCTGCACCACAGAAGCAGGAGAATGACAATTTTATTGTTTGTTTTGTGGCATATCAACCTCAATGGGTCATTTAATGCCGACGACTCCCCCTCCCACCCGATAATATTTTTGTTTTGTTAGAAATCCATTTCTATCAATATCTCTTTCTTCAGAAATATATAGCTGGTAATAGTATTTTTCAAAAACGTATAGCTAGCATATCTTTTCAAAAACGTATTGCAGGTACTATATTTTCTTTCAAAAATTTATTTCTGGTAATAATTTTTTTTTTTATTTATTCCTCTACAGTTCTATTGAAGTATCTTATGTGTGTTTGTGATCATTGTCTTCCTGTTTGGTTCATTGGATTACTTTGTGTTTTAAGGTTTGTGTAGGTTTTTCCTTTCAAAAACGCATTGCTTGCAACATTTACAAAAATGTATTGATGGTAATAATTTTTTTTACAAAGAGTTTCTGGTAATTAAAACCCATTTTTACACTTTCACAGTGTTTTGACCCGAGTTACAGTTCCATTGAATAAGGTTTTGTTAACAAACGTATAGCTGGTAATATTTTTATTTATTTTTTTTTTAAACGTATAGCTGACAATATTTTTCCAAAAATGTATAAAAAAAAACACACTGTTGGCAATATTATTTCTTCGAAAACGTATAACTGGTAATACTATTTTCCCAAAAATGTATAGGCGACAACCTTATTTTTTCAAAAATGGCCTTTCTGTTGGATGTAGTTTATCGC